GAAATCCTAAGTTTAACCCTAAGCTTGAACCCACAACCCGAATGAAGTACCCTATATGATCCTTTAAAGGGTATATATAGGTGGACATAGGTTTAGCCCTAAGTTGAAACCCAAAAACCCTCAAACCTTGTGTCGCGTTGCCTGCCATCTTGTTTCGCCGTCCCGCTACATAACCATCATCACCACCCTGGCTGGAGGAGGGTACCAAAGGTCTTGAAGAATACATATATATATATAACCCTAAACCCTAAACCCTAAACCCTAAACCCTAAACCCTAAACCCTAAACCCTAAACCCTAAACCCTACAAAACTTCTTTGGGGAAGTCCACAAGTAACACCTATGTTGACTGCTTGCCGCCGTAGGATGAGGCTTAAATGAACCCTGGAATTGGAGTCCTGAACCCTACTATAATCCTCTGAACACCCTAAACCCTAAACCCTAAACCCTAAACCCTAAACCCTAAACCCTAAACCCTAAACCCTAAACCCTATTTATGGTCCATTTGGTCCCCAAGGCGCCTTGAGAGGCAACATGAACCCCAAAATTGTCACGTTTCCATGATCTAAGTCAGTCATGCCAATGATCTTGCTTCATCAGTTGAGCAATCCCTAAACCCTAAACCCGAAGGCTCCAAATAGCCCAAAGTCAGGTATTGCTTGCAGACTTTAAACCCCCATGTAGGTACGATTTGTATACTTGGAGCCTTAGGGTAATTCACGGGGATAGCTTTGGCGTGACATGTTGAAACAGACAGAGGGTGCCGTCCAACTCCCGGCTTGTTCCGAACCCTTTTCCATCCGGGCACCCTAAACCCCAAACCTTAAACCCGAAACCGGTTTAGGGTGATTGGTGAGGCCCGACATTTAGCCTTAAACCCGAAACCCTAAACTGCTGATTGGTGAGGCCCGACATTTGTGGACCAAACGAACCATAAAGGGGTCTATATTTCATATACCTTAGTAGGAATTATAGTCGTATAGGGTATATGACCCCTTTACGGCTACAAGTATCCAAGTAAAACCCTACATTGGGGTCTAAACTCTGTAGATAATAAGACCCCCCTTCCCCCCCCCAAACCCTTGCGAGCAACGGCCCCCTAAACCCTAAAGCCCTGGCCCTTTCGTCCTCGATCCCTGCTATCATACGTGTCCATCTATTGGGGGTCGTTTTACCCTGAAAGAACCCAAGGGCTCTCACTAGCCCCCAAAACATGGGTCTTGGCACGTGCTCCCTTCAAGCAGTCCACAGCGCTCCGATGTTTTCCGAGGCCGCGACACATGTGGCTAGGGTTTTGGGTTTAGGGTTTACAGTTTAAGGCTTCGTTGTATGATTTGTCTACTTGGAGCCTTAGGAAAGGAGACCATCATTTAGCGAACTGGCCGGCCAAACTCACCTAAGCTGTCCAGTACCCTAGGGCAACAACAAGTTTAACCTTTGGGGTTCGATGGGGCGTATAATGCCCCCAACAATTTAAGTTCAAGTAAACCCTAAACTCAAAACCCTCAACCCTAAACCCTAAACCTCAACCCTCAACCCCACAAGCGCTGCAAGGCCGCCTACTCCACGAAATTCCCGCGCCTCGAAGGGGTCGGACGGCAGCTCGGGTGGGCCCGGGCTGGGTGTGCGCTGCCGTGGTCGGTCACGTCGTTCAAACCCTGTGTCAACGGCCCAGTATAGGGTTCTTAACCCTAAGGGTCCATGTACCTTATAGAGTATATACTTGGGCCTTAAAGGGGTCCCTTAGGGTTCAGGGAGGGTTTAGGGTTTAGGTTTTAGGGTAGTTCACTGTTGGATATGTTAGCCACACCTTCGCTCGTACGATACATGCAAGGTGTTATATTTACTCGACTCTGCACGGTCGACCCGCAACCAACGCGCCTACATATGTGGATTCACTACATCTACAGATACACATTGAAAGACATCGCACTTTCAGCACTGTGCGTTGCAGTACGCTGCACGTGAGATTGCGTTGCACTATGTATGTTTCGGGAGGTTGGCTGCTTAACGGCATGGGCATCAGCTGACAAGCTCAAACGAATACTGCGCTGAATTTTGAAACCCCTGAATTCTTAAACCCAGCAAGCCACTGCACCCTTAAATCCCACAGTACCTCTGAATCCTAAACCCGACACAAGTCCCTGAGCCCCTTTGACCCTAAACCCTGAGCCTTCAACTGCTATTGAACCCCGAACCTCAAGCCAACAGACCGAAACTAGACTTAGAGGTCAAGCTGCCGAGGGCGAAGCACACGACTCAGCTTCTTATCTGCAGTAGGCTCGATGTACCAGTGCAGAAGGTCTCTCAACAGACAACATGCATTGCACCACTTTGCATCTCGAACATCCGAACCGCAACCATTCCTGACACGAGATCTTTCAAGCCTTCGCTGTTGCTTCAACGCTAACCTCGCCTGTCGACCCTAAACCCAAAACCCTAAACCCTCAACCCTAAACCCGAAACCCTAAACCCTGACCTTCTGCTCCTGGGCGTTTGTGGAAAGCGCGGATAAAGAGTCGACCGCCTGGAGCGGGGCTGCAACCCTTAAACCCTAAAGCCCCAAAACCCAAAACCCTTAAACCCAAGCCCCAAAGCCCCCACGCCCCTGCTTTGCTGACTGTTTGACTTTGGCGGAACTCACGTCGAGGGCGTCATGTTGTACATTTCGCTGAGAGAGAGGGGAAGGGCCCTCCAATACCCAATCGAAGCCCCTGAACTCTACTTATGGTGCGGAGACATGCTGTTCATCCCTAAACCCTAAACCCTAAACCCTAAACCCTAAACCCTAAACCCTAAACCCTAAACCGTGTTGCTGCGGGGTTTAGGGTGTAGGGTTTATGGTCCGGCTGCAGGTTGTCGGGATGCCGGGCTTTCAGGGGAGGATGCCTGGAATTTGGGGGGGGGGGGGACATGAACTAGAAGATTGGGATGGTTAGGGTTCAGGGTTTAGGGTTTAGGGTTTAGGCTAAAAAACCCTAAACCCTAAACCCTAAACCCTAAACCCGGAACCCTAAACCCTAAACCCTTTCGGTCTAAGGGTCGTTCGTCCCGTGGTATGGGCCCTGACATGGGCCCCTTATATACCCCTGTAGCACCCAAGCGCCCATACTTCAGGACCCCTTTAAAGAAGGTAAGGGTTTAGGGTTTAGGGTTTAGGGTTTAGGGTTTAGGGTTTGGGGTTTGGGGTTTGGGGTTTAGGGTTTAGGGTTTAGGGTTTGCGGTTTAGGGTCTAGGGTTAGGGACTATATTCAGAAACCATGTAACTACCCTGAAAGACTGGGACAAGAAGACCCACCTATCCCCAAGGCTCAGGACTCTTATTTTGGGTTTGTTTGGGAGCCTTCCTATATTTGGTTGTTGAGGCCTCAGGGTATTGCTACATCTACAGACTAGAAACTATTTCCGAGCAGCAGACTGATTTGCTTGTGCTTATTCAAAGGTGATGCTCCATTTGGCGCTGTTATCTTCCCAAGTCAAGTGCCAGTTCCTCTATGTCGAACTTCGAGCAGAAAAATCTGTGGTGTGGTCAGAGCTGACAGTTGACGTCCCAGGACTTCTGAATGTAATGCGCATGTCCTGATGAGGTGTATATACATGTGAAAAGAGGAGAAATTTCGAGCGCTTGAGCATGAACGCGCACGAAGACTTCAATCCGAGCGGACCTCGCCTAGCCTTGCCTCCGCCAAACCCTAAGCCCTAAGCCCTAAAACTCCAGACCCCAAACCCGAAACCCTAGGCCCTAAACTCTAAACCCTAAGCCCTAAACCCCCAAACTCTAAACCCCGAGCCCTAAACCCTAAACCCTAAAACCCTGAACATCCAGGAACGGCTCCCCAGTCCTCGCTCGGTAATCTGAAACCGTGGCTTGTCTTTGGAGTAGCTCTCCTGGCAAGGGAGGGTGGGGGGGGGGGGGGGGGGGAACTGGGGGCGCCAAGGAACCCGAAGGGTGGGTTTAGGGTTTAGGGTTTAGGGTTTAGGGTTTAGGGTTTGGGGTTTGGGGTTTAGGGTTTAAACCTTTGGGGCTTGTGAGGGATGTCACTTGTACCACCCACTTCCCCCCTGCCCCCCTGAAACAAAGAGGTATGTTGCGGGAGAGGGACTATAGTAGGGGAGACCATAATCCCTATTAAGGACTGTTAGTGCAAGGGGGCGACATCCCAAAGTTTAGGTGTTGCCGGTGCGGTGATGTTGTTTCTAGGGTTTAGGGTCTTAGGAAGGCACTTGCAAACAAAGACTCCTAGGCCCGATGCATGAGCTCGGTGACCTTCATCCCTCCAAACGCTGGGGCCTTAACCTTATGGATCTGGTTTAGGGTTTAGGGTTCAGGGTTTGGGGTTTGGGGTTTAGGGTTTAGGGTTTAAGGTTTGGGGTTTGGAGTTTGGGTTTTTCTGCAAGCACTCTCTGCGGCAGTTTGGGGTTTGGGTTTTTGGGGTTTTTGGGGTTTGGGATGTTAATTACCCCTTATACTAACAGCTCGTTGATAGGGATTTTAATAAACGGGGTACTATAATCCGGATTAAGGACTGTTAGTATAAAGGGGAACTTCCAAAATCTGGATCCTTGTCTTATTTGCTTAAGAACCCCAAATGGATCCTTGTCTTATTTGCTTAAGAACCCCAGAAAAATAGCAATAACTAGTATTCCCAAAATTGCCCATATGGGAAGAAGTTTTAGGGTTTAGGGTGTAGGGCCTGGGTTTAGGGTTCAGGGATTTCTTGGGGGGGGGGGGGGGGGTCCTTCAGCAATTAGTAGTTATGGATCCTTGTGAAAGATATACATATCCACGTGCCTGTTGTTGAGAATTCGCACGTCTTTTGCTGCAGGCGCCAGGTTCCAGACTAGTGCTGAAAACAGGCACCAGCCTGTGCGGAAAATGTACAAGAAGAACCCGTAATTACGGGTCGCTACCTCGGGATCACAGAGCCACTGCTGTGCATCTAAATCGCATGGAATCCAGAACCCTAAACCCTAAACCCCCTAAACCCTAAACCCTAAACCCTAAGCCCCTCCTTCTGTGCGGGCACGCTCACAAAACGAGCCCTCCAGGCGATAGAAGTTGAATGGGAACGGCGTGTGTGTCGAAGATGCCAGTGACATGTCGTAGTGCTTGAGAAAGACCATCCTTACTTGGCTGCACTTAGCAGGGTAGAAATAAAGTCAACTTTTAGCTGCCTTCTTAAGAAACCCAATAACGCCAAACATAGGCTAAAGGATCTAAAGTTGTTTAGGGTTTAGGGCTTATGGTTTAGGGTTTAGGGTTTGGGGTTTATGGTTAAGTTACTTACAGTATAGCACCACAGAGCTTAGTGGTGCAGCTCAGCTACTTCCTTTGGACCAAGTTTGAATTCAACAAGCATCCATATGCCCTGTAATATTGCTACAATTCCTATTTCAGGTATATGAACCATAAGCCCTTTTAGGGTTCAGTTTGGTAGCTATAATTCCTAATTATTCAGGTATGTGAACCATAAGCCCTTTTAGGGTTCATGTTGGTCCCCAGGGCTGAGGAAGAGTTGAGACCCTAAACCCTAAACCCTAAACCCTAAACCCTAAACCCTAAACCCTAAACCCTAAACCCTAAACCCTAAACCCTAAACCCTAAACCCTAAACCATCCATCCAATGCAGGTGAGGCATCAGGAAAGTCAGCATCTCATCCCTGGCAAACTTGTAGCCAATACCTGAGATGCAAGGATCCTACTGGGAACCCCAAGAAGGGAACCTCAAGGATTTCGTAGGAATGGAAAGGGAACACCAGGACCCTAGTAGGTATATTCCTTTCCTGTGAGATACTAGGGCCCACGGCAGGAGAACAGAAAATGCACGAGTTCAGTTTTGAAAGCACCCGTCCTGTTGCAAGACTGGGCCTTACAGACTTGCCGACGGTGCATCGAGCGGTTTAGGGTTTAGGGTTGAGGTTTTAGGGTTTAGGGCTACCAGTCGCAGAGCAGGATGCACATACGAGAGCCCCCGCCGAATGATTCGAAGAGGGTCGCTTCATGGGTGCTGTCGATGAATTGGCCCTCTTCGTCCAAGTGCCTTGGCCCTAAACCCTAAACCCTAAACCCCTAAACCCTAAACCCTAAACCCTAAACCCCTAAACCTCTAAACCCTAAACCCCCTCTTCGTCCAAGTGCCGGCTTGGACGGAACTCATCCCAGTCATCTGCTTTGCTGAACTGCCGGGCTGGATAGTAGCTCAGATTCCAGCCTGCAAGGCAGGTAGTACGTATAGGGGTCGGAATTAGTACCATCTAACATAGCATTCCCTGTAATAACACCCCCCCCCCCCCCCGAGACCCTGTTCTATTGATTAAAGGCCCTATAGTAGCTGATGGACTCAAAATCTGCTTGAACTCTAACACCTTAGATGGCATGTAGAATTCAGCCCCAGTTCCTTGGGATGTGCAAGCGCTCTAAACCCTAAACCCAAAAACGGCCCCCTGTTACGCGCCTTTTGGCACCACGAAGCCATCGACTTCCTGGTCCTCCGCAAGGTTCCGCACAATCGGCGACACCGGCGGCGTCTTCCTCCAAACCTCCTGTTTAGGGTTTAGGGTTTAGGGTTTAGGGTTTAGGTTTAGGGTTTGGGGGTTTCCCTACGAAACCCCCCTCTACTATATACTACCCCTATAGGTTCCCCCTCCTTAAATCCCTTAAATGCTAAACCCTAAGCCGCAAACCCTACTTAGACTTAACAGGGAAGCCCATGACTCCTGTATAAATGCACGAGTCTTGGGTATGGACTCCAAGAGGCCCCTCGTGATGGGCGCAGAGCCATCCCAAATCTCATCCACCTCCGCCCTCAACCCGGCCGCGAGCTCAGGGCACTGCTTGAGCCAGCGGAGGGTGGTGTGGATCGAGGCCAGCGTGGTGTCGTGGCCTGCGAACGTCATGGACACGCAGAAGTCTTGGAGCTCGTGGTCGCTTGTGCCTTCCTCCGACCCCAGCATTGCATCAAGCATGCACGTGGGCTGGGGCGACGCCTGCAATGCTTCGCGGCGCCGCTGGATCACCTTTTGGCATTCCTGGCCAAGCTGCCTTCGGGCAGACATGCAGGTGTGAAAGGGGAAGCCAGGAAGATCCACTGGCAGCACCTTACTTTCCACATGGGGGTTGTCCGAAATTAGGGGTACCCTGTTGGAGTCCTTACCATAAGGGGATCCTGCTATTTGGGGGTCTAAATCAGGGCGCCCCTACCTGCAGGGAAACTCAAAGGCCTAGTTGCTGAGTACCCTGGGCCAAAAAAGTCTAACCTTTCAACTTCGGCAGATCACATGTACCCCAAAAGGTCCAAGGTTACCTACTCAGCTACTAAGAAGGGATCTACCATCCTCCAAAGAGTAAGAGTCAACAAGAGTCTTGCCCCTAAACCCTGAACCCTAATTTGACGACGAAGACGCGCAACCCAGCCCTGCGATGGCCGTGTCGAATAGGTGCATGAAATGGTCGAGCCTTGAGGACCAAATGCGCACGATAACAAGGGGCTTACGGTTCCCATACCCTTATAGGGAGTATTGTAGTAGAGGGTAAAAACCCTGAACCCTGAACCCTAAACCCCTGAACCCTAAACCAAACCCTAAGCCCAATTTTAGGGTTCATGTCCCCAAGGAGCTCGCTTTCGGTGACGGCGGAGCCCAAAATGACGGCCTGTCCACACTCGAAGGCATACCTCGATTGCTCTTGTACGCTCCTTCTTGGAAAGCAGGGAGGAGTTTAGGGTTTAGGGTTTAGGGTTTAGGGATACCTCGATTGCTCTTCGAACCTCCCTCTTTGAAAAGCAGAGATGCCCCTTCGTAGTGAGGTCCAGGGTTTAGGGTAGGTTTAGGGTTTAGGGATGCGTTTTTTGCGCCAAGGCAGCGTCTGAACGGCCGAGGTACTTCTTGATCTGGAAATAGACGTCTCTGGGCTCAGACGTGCCTTGTGCTGCCCACTCCTTCAGGTACTTGGCGCTCAACTTGTGCCTTCGGCAAAAGTTCCGAGTCTGACATAGTGACACCCTACACTCCACAGGGATAGTAGGTGCTTAGAAACGGAAGTATAATATCCTAAGGGTCCATGTGACTAAATCGGGACTTGTTGGCCTGAAATAACCTGCTATCCAGGGACTTTGTGGCCCAAGTACAGAATAATGAGGGACACGGACCCTTGGGATCGATAATTGGGAATGCTGGAATACCTTGGTACGGCAGGCAGAGCTTATGCAAAGAACCCTAGACCCTAAACCGTAAAGCCTAAAGCCTAAACCCTAAAGCCTAAAGCCCAAAAAGCCTAAGAAGCCTAAAAAGCCTAAAAAGCCTAAAAAGCCTAAAAAGCCTAAAAAGCCTAAAAAGCCTAAGAAGCCTAAAAAGCCTAAAAAGCCTAAAGCCTAAAGCCTAAAGCCTAAACCACCTCTCAAGGCTGAGTTGCAACACCGGCAGGTACAAATCCAGCTGCTGGTTTGTGAAGGCCCGCGTGCTCGTGTTGCGCAGGCGCTTGTGGAGCGGGTCGTTGACCTGAAGAGGCGGCCCAAGAGAAGAGCCCAGAACCCTAGAAGAACTCCAAACCCAAAAGCCTTATCCTGAACCCTGAACCCTAAACCCTGAACCCTAAACCATATCAACCTAAACCCTAAACCCTAAACCCTGAACCCTAAACCCTAAACCCTAAGCCCTAAACCCTAAACCCTAAACCCTAAACCCTAAACCCTAAACCCTAAACCCTAAACCTTCCCTCCCTTCCGGCTGGCGGCCATGGGAACTGAGGTCTCCCCCATGACCTTCTTGAAGTGAGCTGGCCAACCAAGGTCACCTGGGCGGCTTTGGGTTTTTAGGATTTAGGGTTTAGGGTTTCAGGGGTTCAGGGTTTCAGGGTTTCAGGGTTTCAGGGTTTCAGGGTTTCAGGGTTTCAGGGTTTCGCGTATCAACCAAGGTCACCTGAATGGCTTCGGGTGCAGGGTTTCAGGATTTTCAGCTTCAGGGTTTTAGGGATTTAGGGAAGGTTTAGCGTTCTTGGGCTTTAAAAAATTTAGGGTGTGGATTGTTAAGGGCCTTAGGGTTTTAGAGTTTGGGTTTTCAACTTTAGGGCTTAGGGTTTTAGAGGGTCTTAGGGTTTAGAGGGTTTAGAGTTTTTCGGGTTTTAGGGTTTTGGGGTTTTCCGGTTTTAGGGTTGCTTGATGGGCTTGCGATGCCGGGATGAATCTCCAGGACTTCAGGGTTTGTATAGGGATCAGAGTCCAGGTTTTCATGGCAAGATTAGGCTGTGTATCGGGCCGGAGACCCTAAACCCTAAACCCTAAACCCTAAACCCTAAACCCTAGGGGGGCTGAAGGGTTGCCTGGCTCTGGATGGCGCGGCTGACTTTCGAAGGCCATTTAAGGTCCGATTTGGGATGTTCCCGCTTATACTAACAGTCCTTAAACAGGGACCCTAAACCCTAAACCCTAAACCCTAAACCCTAAACCCTGGACTATAGTACCCCTATATCAGATTTCGCTATTCAGGACACTTAGTGTAAGGGGGAACATCCCAAGGTCCGATCGAGGTTTTGAAGAACCCCTACATTCTTGGACCCGGCTTCAGTTCAACCACTTCGAGCCGAGTTCAATCAACCAACACTAGGTTTAGGGTTTAGGGTTTAGGGTTTCGGGTTTAGGGTTTAGGGTTTGGGGCAACATTTCCCACCCTGAACAGCAACCATGTGCGGCAATCAGTAGCTCTTGCTTTGCCTAGCTACGCTTGGAGTGGATGAGCTTGGCGTTGCTTTCGGTCACCGCCAGGAAAACAGTTGGGACGAAGAGGACGTTTGACTTAAACGTGCCGCCATACCTATACTCCCCTTACAACCTTAACAAAAATGTTCTTTTTAATATCCTCTTGAGTTTTATATAAAAAATATAAAACCATTCCAAAGGGGGATATAGATACTTGAGAAGCCTTGCCGCAATGAACTCTTCCTGACCCGACACGTAGGACAAGGTCTCCCCCAGCAGGGGCCAGCCCATGCTACCAGGGGGGAGCTTCCGTGACCACCACCACCTAAGCCGAACTTGGAACCCTGGCAAAAAAAAATCATGTTAGCTGTTCCTTAGGAATTAAAGTGCCCCAAAAACTACATAAAAATCTTTTCACAAGAAGAGCAAAGGATTTCCAATTTACCCTAAGGATCCATGTACCGATATAGTATAAACTTGGGCCTTAAAGGAGTTCCTATGTAGTAGCTTTAGGGCCCGAGTGTATAAAATCTAGGTACATGGATCCTTTGGGTTATCCCTATAAGCCACCTGCGCAGAACCACGTAGCCTGCGAGGATGCCAGCCACGCAGGCGGCGAAGAGGGGCGCCTTCGGGGCCTCCTTGCTGAGACCCATGGCTGCCATGGCTCTCACGAATCCCTAAGGCTCCTAAACCCTAAACCCTAAACCCTAAATCCTAAACCCTAAACCCTAAACCCTAAACCATACACCGTGAACCCTACACCCTGAACCCTACACCCTAAACCCTAAACCCTAAGTGGGTATTATTTGCAGACTTTAGACCCCAATGTAGGTATGACTTGTATGCTGGGAGCCACAGGGAATGATCTATGAGATGCATGCACGAAGGCCTTAGAGCCAAAGCAAGAAATCACGTCCCCACACCGACATGGTCAAACGTCGGCACAAGTTATAAGCCCCCAAGTCCTCTGAGTAGGTTTATGAGGGGCGAGCTCTCTAAATTAGGGTCCTTTTTTGGGTACCCTAAATTGAGAGGGGCCGCCTTATAACAAGGACCCCAAAAGGAACCAGAATTCAGAGAAATCACCAAGTAGGCTTGGAAGTGGGTTCTGAGTACCAAGTAGGGATTTCGCTGGCTCACATGCCAAAGTGAGGGGCATATAAAGTACCTTAGTTGTCCAGTAACCAGGGGGAATTAAAGGTTAACCTTTGGGGTACTTAGGGGATTATACTACCCCGAAAAGGTTAAAGGTTACCTACTCTACTACTAAAGTACTACTGTGTTAAGCTGAGGCTGTCCCTAAACCTTAAACCTTAAACACCCCGAACATCCCTAAAGCCCAAAACCTTTAGCTAGACCGCGGGGTCCAATTTTTACAGGCTTAAGGGGCTTGAAGGACCAAACCCTAAACCCTAAACCCTAAACCCTAAACCCTAAACCCTAAACCCTAAACCCTAAACCCTAAACCCTAAACCCTAAACCCTAAACCCTAAACCCTAAACCCCCTTCAGCAGCAACCTGCAGAGCTCACATGAGCTTAGTCTGTTCGAGTTCGATCTGCTCCGTGAGGAACCTTCTTTGGGGGCTTTCTGGAATAAGGACTCTGGTAAGGGTTTAGGGTTTAGGGTTCAGGGTTTAGGTTTTAGGGTTTAGGGTTTAGGGTCTAGGGTCTAAGGGTTTAGGGTTTAGGGTTTAGGGTATACCAACCCAAAGGATCCATGTACCTAGATAGTATACACTCGGGCCCTAAAGCTACTACATAGGAACTCCTTTAAGGCCCAAGTTTATACTATATAGGTACATGGATCCTTAGGGGTATGTAGGGGGAGCATATAAAGGGGTACCAGTGTCTAACACAAAGCTCAAGACAGGGTTCCTGGACCACTTCCCTGACATCCATGGATGTCCATCGCGAGAAGTCATCCAACGCCAGGACCTGCACACAGAGCAAAACCCTATAAACCCTCTCTCTCTCACAAAACCCTATAAACCCTGTCTCTCTAAAACCCTATTCCTGGGTACGCATCGGGACTTGAGGAGTCGGCTCCGCAAAGCTCCCACAACCCGAAATCCTAAACCCTAAATTCCTAAACCCTAAACCCTAAACCCTAAACCCCCTAACCCCTAAACCCGAAATCCCATTTTTTTGTCGCATCCAGGCTGTGCGCGATCTCTTTTGGACCCAAAGACTCAACCCACTTCGCTCCATCTCAGGATACTCACAAGGCAGCGCAAGCCAAGAAAAACCGAAACCCCCACGAATCCCTATAAACCCTAGACTTGGGATGTGTTCTCGTTGTACTAAACGGTCCTTAGTGGGGATTTTAATGGGGGGTACTAAACTCCCTATCAAGAAATGCTTGGAGCTTCATGGTACTTACTAACTAACCCAATTATATCTGTACTTGTAACCCAGTTATGAGTCTGCTACTCAAGGGACTTTTATGTGGGTTATAACTGCAAATGTAGTGGCTATTAAGTACCCTGGACCTAGTGTTAGTATAACGGGGAACATCCCAACCCGAAACTCGAATCCCTGGCCTGGCCGAGATCCGTCCATCCTTCCTGGTCCATTTCCTCAGTTGTCTAGGGTTTAGGGTTTAGGGTTTAGGGTTCGGGGGTTTAGGGTTTAGGGTTTAGGGTTTAGGGTTTAGGGTTTAGGGTTTAGGGTTTAGGGTCAAGGTTTTGGGTTCCATCTGCGTGCATTGCCCAACGGTAGTTGCCCTAAATTCGGGCACCTTACTATCGGTGCCTACAAGGAGGGGCCCCCCTTACTACACGAACGAAAGTTAAGGGACTTAGAACCGAAGCGAGGATCCTTATAACCCAATCTAGGGTCCTTGTAACTCTACTTCTAACAGGGGGGCCCTGTCTTGTAGAGGGTCCCTTACCAAAAAAAGAGTCTCCCAACATGGACCCGAGTTTAAAGCGACCCTCACATGATCACGCCACTCTTGCGGTAGAGATCCCATGTTTCTTCAACCTCAACCCTAAACCCTAAACCCTAAACCCTAACCCCTAAACCCTAATAACCCTAAACCCTAAACCCTATCAACCTCAGCAAGACGACAGACGCGTTGCGCCGAAAAAGAAGGGATGGGCAGACATGGAAGGGGTGGGGGGGTGATCTACAAGGAGGGGCCCCCCTTACTGTACTAACTATTGTTAAGGGACTTATAACCTAAGTTAGGAGCCTTATAACCCATTTTAGGGCATTTATAGCTCTACTTATAAGTAGGGGGGGGTCCTCCGGCCCTCCTTGTAGAATATGGACCTTCAGGGAGGTACTATATAAAAATGCACGCTCCGGATAGCGGTAGGTTACCCAAAAACAATCGTGCTCAACACTGCCGAGCCGATGCGCACGCGTGTGCCAAGAACTCCATGCTTTCACGACACCCATCCCTTCGGGGTTTTGGGGGCCTCCGTGTTTTGCTTGCTGGCATTCCTGTTTGGGGATCCTGACATGCCCTCCCTGTAGGCTGAGGGTTTAGGGCTTAGGGAATTGTGGTGTTGGACCCCTGTGTACTTCTGCTTGGTAGCCCAGTAACCCTAAACCCTAAACCCTAAACCCTAAACTCACACGTATTTTGGGTCGGTTACTTCATAAGGGAACCTTGAACCAAAAAGGAAGGGTACCACTGGGCTCGGCTTCAGGAGTAGGGCGCGCCCATTTTTTCAGAACCCCTAAGCCCTCAACCTCTTGCCCAGTAACACTGAGCATCCCATTTAAGGCCATGTAGTGTAGGGTCCAGGGTTTGGAGAGTACTTGGAGGTTCATGGTACTTATTAACCAACTATAACTGTACTTATAACCCACATATAAGCCGCTTAAGTACAGTTCTAAGTGCAGTTATGATTGCTTAATAACCCTAAACCCTAAACCCTAAACCCTAAACCCTAAACCTAATAAGTACCATGAACCTCCAAGTTCAGCTTGCAAACGAAAGGATCGATGCCCATCTTCCGGAGAAATCCGTCCTTGTAGCGGAGCCTGTGCGCGCAGAGAGGAAGCCAACAGAGTCGCATGCTTTTCGGTCTCATAGCCAGCTAAACCAACTAGAGCCATCCCGGAACCGTATAAAGCCTAAACCCTAGACCCTAAACCCTCAACCCTAAACGTTGCTCAACCATCAATCCACAGCCCTGAATGCGAGGTACCTCAGCTAAACCCTAAACCCCTAACCCCTAACCCCTAAACCCTAAACCCTAAACCATAAACCCTAAACCGGTGTAGTAAGGGTGCCCATCCTTGTAAGCGTAGGCCTGCGCTTGCTTTTGCCGTGCACGGGCCTGGTGGCCAGGAGCCGGGACAAAGGAAGCAGGTTCTGTCGTAAGCTTCCTGCGCGGCGGGGTTTAGGGTTTCGGGTTTATAGAGTTTAGGGTTTACAGAGTTTACAGGGTTTATAGGGTTTATAGAGTTCATAGAGTTTATGGGATTTATAGTGTTTATAAGGGGTTATAGGGTTTATAGGGTTTAGGGCTTAGCGTTTAGGGTTTGGGGGTTCGCGGGTTGAAGGACAGGGTGGAGGGGCCTCGCCTGAAAAGTACTCACGATCGTGGCCTACACTTGTTGCTGAGGCTTATAGTGCCTTCTTTTGTGCTGAAGATTGTGCGTTTTCTGGTGATGCTCCTAGTATAGTGGTCTTGGAGAAGTTTGTGCACTAGACTGTGTTTTTTGCTGGTGCAGTTTGAGGCGCTCAAGATTGTGTTGTGTTTATCTGGTGCCAATTTTTGTGCGCAGCACGAAGCAACGGCACCGTGAACAAGCACCAACGGGAGCACAATGACTATCACCAGAGAAGCACACAAACCAAGGCTCACAGTGTGATCTTGTTTGCTGAGCCAGCTCCAAGCTCGATCAGAATGTCTGGTGTTGGTATTTTGCGCTATGTTGAGTATAAGACCCTTTATTTGACTGTCAGTGGGCTGAGGCAGCCAACATAGCAGTATAGGGTATAATGACCCTAAACCCTAAACCCTAAACCCTAAACCCTGAACCCTGAACCCTGAACCCTGAACCCTGAACCCTAAACCCTAAACCCTAAACCCTAAACACTATCCCAAGGTAGAGACCGAAAGGAAGCTTTGCCGCATTGGCCTCGATCTTCGGGGTCGACCCGTGAGATGCAGTAGTCCAAGAACTCATCTCTAACTTTCCTTACGGGGTTTAGGGTTTAGGGGTTTAGGGGCTTAGGGGTTTAGGGGTCTAGGAGTTTAGGGGTTTAGGGGTTTAGGGGCTTAGGGGTTTAAGGGTTTAGGTATTCAAATCATCTCTGACTTTCCTTACTTCTCCAATGACAAAGGACTGAAAAAGTCAAACTTTGCTATACAAAAAAGTAACTCTTGAGGAAACCAAAACAGGTTTAAAGCTCGACAAGCTTTATCATTCCTACAAAATAACTCTTAAGGCTTAAGGGAAACCAAAAAACTTGAAGTTCAGCTATTGGCCAAGCAAGTTTCCCCTTGCCTTTCCCGTAGCCCATGGCGTCGAGCGCTCAAAGACCAGACCACAGAAGTGATCTTGCGCAGCAGCGCGCCCGGCCCGAGAAAGGATGGTAATATAGGGGTCGGAATAATTACTATAATAGTATCGGAATAATTACTATAATGGTATTCCCTTAGGGTCCCTTGTAGTTAGACTGTAATAACCCCCAAAACCCAATTCTAAGTATGAAGGGCCCTATATTATGTGTAGAGGAGGTGCAGCCAACAACCAGGAGGACACTTAGTGAAACGTGTCGGTCTGAGCATACCGAAGAGTAGTCAGAGTTTCTATCTGTACACTCTCATGTTGTTCAAGGGTTCACAGTAGGTGGTCTGCACGTTGAACATCATGGCCTGCACAAACAGCTAGGCAAGGCTGCATCGGATGATCAATCCAACAGTGCTTGGGCCAGCCCATCGCAATGGCAAGCTCATGGCACGCACACGCAGGTGCGTGTGTGTGTGTGTGTGTGTGTGGGTGCAAATCCTGACGGTGTAAACCCTCAACCCTAAACCCTAAACCGCATTCGGCCATTGGTTTAAGGATGACTAAGAAACCACGTTGGATTGACCACGGGGGTCTCAGGAGGGAGGTATGACTATAGGGAACCGAAGGGAGCTCTTAGGCATTCCTCAAGGTAAGCTTCCCTACACCCTACACCCTACACCCCTACACCCCAAACCCTAAACCCTACACCCTACACCCTAAACCCTAAACCCCAAACCCCAAACCCCAAATCCTAAACCCTACCCCCTTGGACCCCAACTGCGGTTTAGGGTGTAGGGGCCTATCTGTCCGGCCCTACCACGTGGCTGGCCGATCATGGATTGGGGCTTAGGGCATGTGGAGCTTCAGACCCTTATAAACGTCCAAAGTAGCAAAACAATGAAACATTCTCGGACAAGCATGCCTTCAGGAATGTTGAACCCTAAACCCTAAACCCTAAACTCTTTCAGGAGCCACCCTGTGAGGCAGCGGGTTCAGTGTTGTGAAGCGGGGCGTTCAACCTTGCTCCAAGGACATCTGCGACCCTTGTCATGGCGAGATTTATCAACACACCACAGCTCCACAACACAGAAAAAAAAACTAAACCCTAAACCCTAACCCTCAAACCCTAAACCCTAAACCCTAAACCCTAAACCCTAAACCCTAAACCCCAACCTTCGCGAGAAGTGACGCAGAATGGGCTCCGAACGCCACCTAGGAAGAAGCCGCGAGGTGGCGCGGTAGACCTTAGGCATCCAGGCCCAGTGATCCTTAAACCCTAACACCTAATAAACCCTGAACCCTGAAGCCTAAACCCTAAACCCTAAACCCTAAACCCTAAACCCTAAACCCTAAACCCTAAACCCTAAACCCTAAACCCTAAACCGCATCTATTCCCAAAGGAAATCATCGCCCCTGGGGTTTAGGGTTTCGGAGGATAGATACCCAAAGGAAATCATTGCCCCTGCTTCTTCTTGCCGCCCGCCTAGCTGAACTGAACGTCCACATTTGCAGGGTGACGGCTTGATTGCGCTACGGTGATGCAGGGGGTTTAGGGCTGAGGGTTTAGGGTTTGTGGTTTAGGGTTTAGGCTTTTGGAGGAGAGATAGGATATATACTCAATACAAGCTTGGCCGCCAACCATTCTTGTAATGGCCCTGGCCCCGTTTTGTTTTGGAGGGGATACCGCAATAGAACCTCCTTGTCGACAATGTATCTGAACCTAAAACAGGTATCCCAAAGAGGGGAGGGGCTGCAAGGTCCAAGAGAGAACGAGGGGAAGATGGAAACCCTAAACCCTAAACCCTAAACCCTAAACCCTAAACCCTAAACCCTAAACCCTAAACCCTAAACCCTAAACCCTAAACCCTAAACCCTAAACCCTAAACCCCAAAGATAAAGACCGACAAGGAGGCAAGGACAAAGGAACTTAGGAGCCAAGTGAGGTGCTTGAGATGCTGGATACCCTAGCCCCCCCCCCCCCGCCGGTTTAGGGTTTAGGGTTTAGGGTTTAGGGTTTAGGGTTTAGGGTTTAGGGTTTAGGGTTTAGGGTTTAGGGTTTAGGGTTTAGGGTTAAAATAAAATTAGGGTGTGCAGGGTTTAGGGTTGAGGGTTTTCCTATTTATGTACAGTAGGGTTCTACATAACCCAAAAGGATAAAAGTTATCTATTTATAGTAGGATTCTAAAAGGCCCGAAGATTCAAGGCTACCTCATTATTCTTTACTTGTGCCCCAAAGTCCCTACATAGGAGGTCATTTAAAGCACAAGTAGTCCCTATTCAGGTACATGGACCCTAAACCCTAAACCCTGCATGCTAAGATCTGGGACCAAATATCCACGGCTGGCCTGGGCACCTCCGGAGGTCACATGACACCACTACCAGGTTTAGGGTTTAGGGCTTAGGGTTTGCGGTTTAGGGTTTAGGGGCCATAATACCCTTAAGGGTCCATATGGTACCAAACTATTCTGTACTTCGGGGGGGGGGGGGGGGGGCATTGAGATCGTCAGAAAACCTTCAAGATGTGCACGACAGGCCATGCGAGGAATGTCTTCTGCATACTGCTGGCGAAAGGACAGAATGAAGGGAGTTGGGAGTTGGGGGAGCTGTAATCAGAAACACAGCATCGGAGTACGGGGGTTCCACCTCGTCTTCCTCAGAAGAAATGCTAGAACATGCACAAAGCTGCTCTCTCTCTCTCTCTCTCTCTAATCTAATACGCATAGCGCAATCGCGACCTAAATGACAGCTTCTCGTGTGGACCGAGGCACTACATAAATGCGATCGCTTCTCTCAGGATTCTTTCTTATGTCCAAAATCGGATCTCTATTGCAGCTTAAGGAAGAAGGATTTAACCGGGGAGTATTCGAATCTATGGCCAGCTATGCCAGGTAAACGCGAAAACAGACCTGCAAGCCCCAAACTCTCAAACCCACGACAGACCTGCGTCTTACTTCTCCGGTAACCAAGGGGGACAATTAAACTTGACTATCCTTACTAAATTACAGAAACCCCAAAAAGTCTAAAGTTCAACTCTTGGTTAAGTAAGGCATTACCAAAACCATCCTCCCAGCGGCCCGGCCGTGGCTCTCTTCACACTGGCGCGACGTCCACCCCCTGACCTCAATCACCGCTTGCAGCTCAGCGTGACGAGTTGAGGGTGGCCCATGATGCGTACTAGCACAAGGTTTCGGGTTTAGGCGGGTTTAGGGTTGAGGGTTTAGGGTTTTCCGAGTGTGCATCCAGGCACAAAGCCTAGCAAAGTTGCTACAACGGCAGGCTTTCTCGACAAGAGGAGGGATCCGTTCACCTGGCCCTATGGGTCCTCATGTACCCGTCTAGTCATATACTTGAATCCTAAAGCTACCATATAGGAGCCTCTTTTCAAGGGCTAAAGGGGCCAAGTATACCCTACATAGGTACATGGACCCGTAGGGTAATGCTTAGAAGGGATTGCCTGGAGCCCAGACGCACCATTGACAAGTCCTCTGCCCCCTCAAGAAGCCCCAAAAACGCGATGCGAAGCCTAAATCTCAAAAAAAAACGACTAGGCCTCTTTAAACTCTACTGCGGCGCCAAGCCCAAAACTTTACACCCTAAACCCTAAACCCGAAACCCTAAACCCTAAACCCTAAGCCCTAAGCCCTAAACCCTAAACTAATCCTAAACCCCAGAAAAAGGGGGCCAGATTTCAGAGAGCTGGCCATCCCGGAAGGCTCTCCAAGAAACCGGGGTTCAGGGTTCAGGCTTTATAGGGTTTAGGGTTTTTAGGGTTTTTGGGGTTTTTAGGGTTTTTAGGGTTTTTAGGGTTTTTAGGGTTTTTAGGGTTTTTGGGGTTTATAGGGTTTAGGGTTTAGGGTTTATAGGGTTTTAGGGTGAAGGGTTTTAGGGGTCTAGGGTTTAGGTTTCTTCGGGTTTTCGAGCTTTTTTCGAGTTTATGGGGTTCGCAGGGTTCGCATGGTCTATAGGGTTTACAGGGCTTCGTAGGGTGAAGGGGTTTGGGGCTAGGGTTAAGGGGTTTAGGGTTTTTTTTGGGGCTTTTTTGTTCAAGGGATCTTAGGCTGTTCAAGGGCTTTTGGGGCGCTTGGGGTTTATAGGGTTTAGGGATTTGGGGTCTTTCGGGCTTATCGGTTTTATCGAGTTTTACAGGGCTTGTAGGGTGCATAGGGTTCAGAGGCTTTCGTAGGGTTTATAGGTTTCATGGCTCACTCACTCTCTTACACACACACACACTAACACTACTGCAAGACGTGCCCAGTGCGGCCAGACTCATTCTAGAAGAAAAGAACCCGCGTAAGATCTGACAACTTCATGGATAAGTTAAAAGAAAAGTATCGGACAAATATAGAACTTTCAGAGGGCTGACCAAGCCCTAAACCTTAAACCCTGAGAAGAAGACCCATATTTTTGTAAAAAAAAAAAAACAGGCTTCGCACTTTGCACCCTAAACCCTAAACCCTAAACCCTAAACCCTAAGCCCTAAACCCTAAACCCTAAACCCTAAACCCTAAACCCTGCGTCTAGGCCCCCAGGCTTCGCCAGGCGCGCGAGGTCAGCGCCCAGCTGCAGCTCGAACTCGAGCTTCCGGTCTCGGGCCTTTTTCTCGGGCGCCATCTAGGGTTTAGGGTTTAGGGTTTAGGGGTTTGGGGGTTTGGGGGTTTATGGAGGGCTGAGGGTTCAGTTAGGGTTTATGGTTTAGGCGGGTTCCCCGGGGCTGAACAAAATTTTAGGATTTTCGGCCGGGGGGAAAGGGGGGGGGGGGGTAATGCCCTACATGTAGGGTCTATAGCCTACCATTTTGAAGGGCTTGGGAGTCACAGGCATGCTCGACATGACAAAACATCGAGAAGAAGAAGAAACATAAGAAGAGTGATGATATCCGACTTTCACAGGAAAAGAGCTGCGATTCGGGCTGATAGGGTTACATGGGCCGGGCTTCCAAGGGGAGAGGAGGCCTGGGGCATCAGCTGTTTAGGTTTAGGGTTTAGGGTTTAGGGTTTAGGGTTTAGGGTTTAGGGTTTAGGGTTTAGGGTTTAGAGTTTAGGGCTTAGGCTTAGGGTTGAGGGGGGTTTAGGGGCATTTACCGTTCATAGACACCCGAAGCACTTGTCCGTGCGGTAATGGAGTGGTCGTCGATCCAAAGAGGTGAGGCGGAGATCACGAACTTTACTAATATTATTAATAGTATTAGTATTATTATTGCTGTGATGATTATGATGATGGTGATTATTGTTATTACTACTATTGTTGTAATTCTTGCTAGCATTCTAGATACTGTTATATATTATTGTTTCTATATATTGTATTATTGTTATGAAGATATATATATATATGTATACACATACTAGATATATATATATATATACATATACATATCTCTCTCGCTCTCTCTCTTTTTTCCGTCGTTCCTCGCGGCGCTGTGAGACGAACGTGCGCGGGATACCCCGCGCTACTGGCTGTCTTCGGAACTCTCCGCAGACTCGGTGTCTGATGGCTCCGGCTCAGTCGAAAGTTCACCTGGGGTGACTAGGGTTTTGGGTTTAGGGGTTTAGGGGTTTAGGGGTTTAGGGGTTTAGGGGTTTAGGGGTTTAGGGGTTTAGGGGTTTAGGTGTTTAGGGTTTATATGGGGTTTAGGGATTTAGGGGTTTAGGGCCAAGTTTAGGGGTTTAGGGTTTATATAGGGTTTAGGGTGATGGCGCCTAGTTCCCCTGGCCGACACTTAAAGTGAACAGTCCTGTTTAGGGTTTTAGGGTTTTAGAGTTTAGGGTTTTCAAAGTTCACCTGGGCCGCAGGGTGAAGGGTTCTGTGGGCCCTTAATACCTCCTTTAAAGGGTTCTGAAGTGTAGCTGAGGGCTTCGGGGGCTTTTAAGGGTTTAGGGTTTCTCTAAGGGTAGTTTTCTGGGCCCTGAAATATGGTCCCTTACCTCCTTCAAAGGGTTCTGCAGTATGGGCCCTTGGTTTGTATCTGGTATAGAGAGGATGAATAATTGGTCTCCTTTCTTTAGGGCCCATACTAAGGGACCATGTACCTACCCTAAGACACAGGGTGTTCGCTGGCAGCATTCAGTCTTACTGTTCTTGTTATCTACTGTTGTATTGTATGGGCAGTTCTCCAACTTAGGGTCCCTATAGGACTCAAAAGATCTCAAAAGAGGGGCCCTAATTTAGAGAACTACCCATATGTCTGCGGTGTCTGCTCTCTTCATGACATAGGCAATATCTCAACCATCTGCATGTAGGTGTGTCTTTATATGCTAGCGTTGGTTGGTGAACAACCTCTTAACTGCTCGTTTCGTCTTGTTGCTATCATATTGCTAAAGCTATTTGTGGATGCAGGGTACTCTTGCCAAGGCTAGCGATTCACCACAATCGAAAAACGTTGTCACCACCTTCATCACCACCGTCGTCAACCACCTAACCACATCTGCAAGCACAATCACGAAGCATCGCCACCACCACCATGAATGTTTAGGGCTATGGCTGATTCATTGCCAATGTACAAAAGGGCTCTCCATGAGAGGGCCGAAGCCAAAAAGGGACGCCAGGTGCACCTCAAACAGAAGTCCTCAAGCGGACACCCCGAAAACCCATAGCTTTGGGTGCGGGTGTTAGAGTGAAAGCAGTGCAACCTCTCAGAGTCAGCGAGGGAGAGGTGATGCATCACAGTGGAGGGGGAATGCTGATCTAGGGGCCTCAAGAATTAGAATAGGGTTTTGGGGAGCTACTCGTATTAGAGTATACTTATACATTAATTCGGCCCACCCCCTTGCCTCGGTAACCACAACGGCGATAGCAGGGCCCCACAGTCGCACCTTTTCGCTACAGCGAGCTTGGATTTGGGGCAGCCTGGGGCTAGCATAACGGCTTATACGGGCAGCATGCTACTGTTGAATACACATTCGTGCAATATCCTAGGGTTTATCTAAGAGGCGCATGAGGTAAAACATTGATGAGGTGCCTCTTTGGTCTTCGGAACACGAGTAAGGGAGCTAGATAGTTCCTTCGCTGAAACCCTGATTTTCTGTGATATTCTGCTGGAATCCATTTCTCAAACCTTTTGATTTGGAAAGCTGAAGGGTTGTCGGGCGTAGACTGTAGGGATGAGGGATTTGGAAATCTATTGTCGCCAAAGCTCTTGGAAACATTGGCGAGAGTTGTTTACGATTAGCTGGGGGCCCCGGGGGCTTGCCCGAAAACCGGGAAAAACTTAGCTTTTTCTAGCTTTTTCTAGCTTTCTCTACTTTTTTCTAGCTTTTTCCAGCTTTTGCTAGCTTTTGCTAGCTTTTGCTAGCCTTGCCTAGCCTTCTCTAGCCTTTCGTAGCAGATCGGGGCCCGATTCCAGGAAAGAGTTAGCGAGCCGGGGTCTGAAGGCAGGAATGTCGTAGCACCTCGATGGCTAGCAAAAAAACCAAAGTCCACTTCTGATTGCCAGAAATCAGTATTGTATGAATGCGTAGGTTTTAAGGCCGATACCTAAAGTAACACCCAAACCTCAGGCGCTGACAGCTGCAACTTCAGATTAACTTTGATGGAAAAGGCAAGCTGTAGTTTCCTGTTGACATCTTCTGTACAGGCCCTTCAAAGGCATACTTCACCCCAGGAAATTCGTAGCTTATCTTAGCTTAACTTAGCTTCTCCTAGCTTTGCCTAGCTTTCTCAGGTTTCCTTCAGTTTTCCATGGAACGCTTTGGAATTCTAGATTTTTCCGCTAATCCAAAGACGAGCCTGATCATTGTTTTACCTCATGTGTTCTTATGAGTTTAGGGTTTAGGGTTCTGCACAATTGCATAACATGTTCGGTTGTTCTTTTCCGGCCGTGTAACATGTCGGTGGGGCGATTGCACCTCCTTGCTCAGTTAACCCTGCCTAGAGCCTGAGCGGGAAGGAAGCTGACTTGCGAATCTGCTGAGGTGGTGATGAGTATGTATTCTTGGTAGCAACCCCACCCCCAGCCCCCGCCAACCCCCCAACCCCCCCGCCCTAAACCCTAAACCCTAAACCCTAAAGTCTGCTAAGAAAAATATGTGAAAATGTATATTCTTTCATCTATTTATTTATTCTCTATTTATTTATTTACTTGCATACCCTTGAAGTGCTAAGAACCAGTACGCTCAATGCAACTCTCGGGGGCCGAGGTAGGTGCTTGTGAAGTTCAGGCCGAGACACAAGTCAACGCCACCACTGCCGAAAGCGGCCGCAAGAAGGCTACAATCAGCCTGCTCGGGTTTAGGGTTTAGGGTTTAGGGTTTAGGGTTTAGGGTTTAGGGTTTAGGGTTTAGGGTTTAGGGTTTAGGGTTTAGGGTTTAGGGTTTAGGGTTTAGGGTTTAGGGTTTAGGGTTTATGGCTTAGGGTATGCTTGAACCCTAAAGCTACTATATAGCAACCCGGTTTAAGCCCAAGTATACACTATATAGGTACATGGATGCTTAGGACTGCTGTGAGGGGAGCCGCAACTAAGGCGCCTCACAAGTTACGGCACGTGTGCCGAGAGCAGACAACGATGATCCATGAACCCTAAGGGTCCATGTACCTCATTATTAGGGTTAGGGTTTAGGGTTTGGGTTTAGGGTTTAGGGTTTAGGGTTTAGGGTTTAGGGTTTAGGGTTTAGGGTTTAGGGTTTAGGGTTTAGGGTTTAGGGTTTAAGGTTTGGGGTTTAGGGTTTAGGGTTGAGGGTTTCATGTACCTCATTATCATATAATAGGGCCCACAAGTCCCTAAATAGGATGTACTTTAAAGCACCAAGTATTCCCCATTGAGGTATATACCTGGACCCTTCGGGGGAGACATGCATCTCCACGCTGTTGCCGTCAATTCGCTGAGAGCCCCATAGCCTTTTTGGCACAATAAGCCTGAGACGGGAGTGAGTGAGCCCTATTCAGCACACAAACCCGAAACCTCTGACAACTTAAGCCCTAAACCCTAAACCCTATATCCTAAACTCTAAATCCTTATAACCTTTAAAAAAACTTTCGTGAGGCCTCAGAACGGCGCTTAAGAACCCTCGTAACACCAGCCCACAACAACTTACAGAACGGCCTGCCACGGGGTTTGCCCTGAACCCAAAACTCAAACGCAGTGTTAGGGTTTAGGGTTTAGGGTTTAGGGTTTAGGGTTTAGGGTTTCGGGTTTAGGGTTTAGGGTTTAGGGTTTAGGGTTTAGGGTTTAGGGTTTAGGGTTTAGGGTGACCCCAAACCCAAGAATCAAAGATTCCTTTGAGCCCAGACTCCATCGGTCCCATGAGTCACATCGGTCCGGCAGGGGATCGACCACCGTGCCTGCAGGGTTCAGGGTTCAGGGTTCAGGGTTCAGGGTTCAGGGTTTAGGGTTTAGGGTTTAGGGTTTAGGGTTTAGGGTTTAGGGTTTAGGGTTTGGAGTTTGGAGTTTAGGGTTTCTAGGTTTTTGGTTTCCGGGGGGGGGGGGGGGGGGGGGGGGGGGTCAGGTTATAGGGAAGTTGAAGAAGGGGCCAGGCTATTTTCAGTGGCGCAGGGTGGCTTGGGGTAGCTTAGGGTAGTGTAAGGTGTTCAGGGTCATCTCACCGCCAAACACATTCACTAGCTCACGACCAAGGGGCCCAGCCCTGAAAAACAAACCAAAACAGTTTAGGGCTGCCCTCTGACAAAAATGATTTTCTTAAACTTGGTCCACTTATATAACAACAAGGCGACTTACAGAATCTCCCAGGGGCTACACTGCCGGGGCTACCCCTCCAAGCACAGGCACACACGCACACACACAGCATTGCCCTAAACCCTAAACCCTAAACCCTAAACCCTAAACCCTAAACCCTAAACCCTAAACCCTAAACCCTAAACCCTAAACCCCCAAGCCCAGCCCACGTCTCGCCTTTTGCGCCGCCGCAGGTGTGGAAGACAAGGAGCCGGAGCTGGATCTCCAGCAGCCTCGGTTTGCTTGAGGCTTTGTTTAGGGTTCAAGGTCTTAGGACTCGCCCTAAACCCTAAACCCTAAACCCTAAACCCTAAACCCTAAACCCTGAACCCTAAACCCCAAACCCTAAGCCCTAAGCCCTAAACCCTAAACCCTAAACCCCCTTAGAGGGTTCAGGGTTGAGAGGGTAGAGAGCTTAAGCAAAGATTACAAACAACGGTTGCCTTGCGTGCTGTCGGGCTCGCGGGGTTCTCGGCCTCGCCCTAAGCATCTCCATCCCCCTCCGACGGTTTAGGGTTTAGGGTTTAGGGTTTAGGGTTTCGGGTTTCGGGTTTAGGGCCTAGTTTAGGGTTTAGGGTTTAGGGCTTAAGGTTTAGGGTAATGGAATGTAGTGGAATGTAATATAAGGTAAAATGTAATGTAGTGCAATGTAATGCAATGTAATGTAAGATGATTTTCATGCAAAATGAAATGTAATGTAATGTAGTCAATATGTGTGCATATCTGTAGATGCAAGAATGTCGGTCTCTCTGGGGTGCCTGAGGTCAGGGTTCCCTCCCTCCTGTCCTAAGGGGTTAGGGCGTCTTAGGGTCTTAGGGAGTTGAAAAAAACCGAGTAGTTCTAGATGGTATAAGCACTCCTGAATAAGATGTGAACACAGTTTCAAAAACTATCTATGAACCTCGTGCCAGTCGCTAGGCTTAGGCCCAGGCTCACAAGCGAAATGCCCAGGATCTTCAGGAACATCTCTGAAATTAGTCCTTGCCCCTTTGGTGCTCGCTGCATTACCTACTATTTGCTTAAGAACCCCCCCCCCCAAAAAAAAAAAAAAAAAAAAATAATACAAAACATAATCCCTATCTTGCCCTCATAAGGAATGAAAAAAGATCTTGTGGGGTTCTGAAGCGGTACCGAAAAGGGATAATTCTTTCGAGAAATGCCCAGATCAAGAAACTAAGCGTCCTGCAGGACGGCCTATTCTGCGGAGACTAAAGTTACAAACCACTCCTGAATCGCAAGCCCTCAGCCCACAACCGCAAACCATGTGTCCACTAAAACAGCCACTCCGCCTGAAGATGCCCTACCCGAGCGCCCGAAGATTTCTGGGGATCCCGAGAACTGATAGCTCTTGTTTTGAAGTTGGGGTTTCGGGTTTCGGGTTTATCCAAACAGAAACTTCCGAAGTTTCTGGGGCCCGCGAGTCGGAATGGGTTAAACCCTAAACCCTAAACCCTAAACCCTAAACCCTAAACCCTGGGTTCATTTGGGTTTTATCAACAATACTTTGCTGGGAGGGCAGCAGTGGCAAGCCGTGCCCAATCAGCGTCGACAAGGCCCACACTTTGACCTCCGGCTGGATCGGTTTAGGGTTTAGGGTTTAGGGTTTAGGGTCTAGGGTTTAGGATTTAGGTTTAGGGTTTTAAGGAAAATCTTTCCATTGCCCTGATTATGTTTTGCGCATTTTTTTTGTTTTTTTGTTGCGGGGCGGGGGGGCGGGGGGTGTTCTTAAGCAAATAGCAGCAATGTAAATACCGAAATCTCAAACAGAGATCACAACCTGCCGGAACCCTTAAACCCTAAGCCCTAAACCCTAAACCCCAAACCACCAAGGACTTGCCTTCAGACTGCTCTAGGGTCCAAGAATACACGAACCACAAATCTTGTTTGAAACTTATGAACCCGAACCCCAAACCGTAAACCCTAAACCCCGAACCCGAAACTCCGAACCCTAAACTCTAAACCCAAGACCCTAAACCCTCTCTTTCCTGATAGCATTTAGAATGTTACTCGGATTTTGAACAATTGACCCCCGTTGCTTCCAGATGTTGAACAATCCGCACCAGTGGACCGGTGTATTTCGGATGTTGAACAATGGGCCCCGGCGTTTTCAGATTTAGAACGCTGGGCCTCGGGCTCCCTGTGATTTTCAGATTCGGAACAATCGGTCACAGGGATAAGGGCTCAGGGCCTAGGGTTTAAGGCTTGCAGTTCGGGGCGTAGGGTTTAGGGTTCAAGGCTTCGGGGTGTGGGGTTCGTGATGTGTTGCGACTATGTGTTCTGTCGTGGAAAAAAGAAGAGGACAACCTTTGTAGTTTCTTAATGGTGTATGGGATTCTATAGGCGGGGGAATGCTTTGACTTGAGAAGCTGAACCCTAACCCTAAACCCTAAACCCCAAACCCCCGAATGCTTTGCCAAGGCGCGGCAAAAGACACACGTTCCAGGCCGCTCAGCTGCAGATGCCAGGCAGTGATGGGGAACCTGGAATTGGGGTTCGGTTTAGGGTTTAGGGTTTAGGGTTTAGGGTGTAGGGTTTAGGGTTTAGGGTTTAGGGTGTAGGGTTTAGGGTTTAGGGTTTAGGGTTCGTGGGTTTCGAGGGTTTAGCGTTTAGAGCGTTTAGAGCGTTTAGAGGGTTCAGAGGGTTCAGAGGATATGAAGGGTTTAGGGCTTCTGTTGCATGATCTGAGGGCCTGCGTGCTCCATGCAAAAGACAAGCAGGGTTGAGGGTTTGGGGTTCAAGGGTTTAGGGAGGCCGTTCTTTTTCCCTCAACTGCTCTTGACTAGAACCCTGTGGGAAATAACAATCTTCCATGGTCCCCTAAACCCTAAACCCTAAACCCTAAACCCTAAACCCTAAACTTGCCCTAAACCCTAAACCCTAAACCCTAAACCCTCAACCCCGCAGCGAGCTTGTTCACCAAGGCTGTGCTCCGAGATCAAACAATCTCAGTACGGTGCTTAACTCATGGGGTTTCACGGTTTAGGGTTTAGGTTTTAGGGTTTAGGGTTTAGGGTGGGGGGCCCCCCCCCCCCACGGGGTTTAGGGTTCAGTGAAGTTTAGTGTTCAGGGCTACCCCCCTAGGTTCCCCCCATACTTAACGCTAGTTAGGGAGAATTAAGCCGAATTGAGGTCAGTTTTTTTAGGGGGGAATCTAGAAGAGAACTTAGGGGGATTGGTACTGAGGGGGGTAGTAGGGAAACCCATGATTGTGCTTAACCCAAGACGTCCAGGTCTCTTGGGCATGAGATGGAAGCCCGAAAAGGGTTTAGGGCAAAGGGCCCTTCCGGGTTCAGGGTTTTACGGTTCTAGGGTTCTAGGGTTCTAGGGTTTAGGGTTTAGGGTTTAGGGTTTAGGGTTTAGAGCTACGGAGAGCACGCCTACGGACAGGTTCAGGGTCAGCTGCAGAGCTTGGGGACCAGATGAGCCCTAAACTTGGGGGGGTCGTCTACACTAGACGACTATAATCCCGACTGGGGACTGTTGAACCTTATAAGCCCTAAAACCCTCAACCCTTCCTCCCTAAACCCTAAGCCCAAAAACCCTAAACCTTAAAACCCTAAACCTTAAAACCTAAACCCCAAACCCTAAAACCTAAAACCCTATACCCTAAGCCCTAAACCCTAGGTCGTTAGCAGCTGCCCGGGTGGCAGGAAGAGCGCACTTGCTTGCACTGCCACTGCCAGGCCTAGGCTCGAACTCGGGTTTAGGGTTTAGGGTTTAGGGTTTAGGGAGTTTAGGGGGTTTAGGGTTTAGGGTTTAGGGAGTTTAGGGTTTAGGGTTTAGCGTTGAAGCTTGGGAGTTTGGAGGTTCTTTCCGTGAGGGACTTCGGAGCTGAGGCTGATTTTGTTGGGACTCTAGGCGTTAGTCCCTTCCCCCTAATACTAAAACCCCCCCTAATTTTAAATATTATTGGGGGGGGGGGGGGGGGGTTTTAGTATTAGGGGGAAGGGATTAGGGGCTCAGGTTTTGGGAGTGTCGGAGGCTAAGGGCTTAGACTTTGCGTGGGGCGTGGGACCTCTGTGGCTTCTGTGGCTACCTAGCATAGTTCTACCCAACCCGAAAGCGACTGTGTAGTGGGTTTAGGGTTTAGGGTTTAGGGTTTAGGGTTTAGGGTTTAGGGTTTAGGGATAGGAACCTCGCTAAGGCACAGTTCTATACTTTAAAAGGCACATGGACCCGTGGGGTAAAGGACATGTACCTTCAAGATGCCGTCCGGGCCCCCTTGTGAAGGGCGGTGAAGGGTCATATAGGCGTCGGAAAAAATACTATGTTATTCCCTTATGGTCGCTATTTCAGGCTACGATAAATATCCCCCAACAACCTTATTCTACTTACTAAGGCCCCTTATAATATTACATACAGTACTCTAGGCACAGCAAGAAACCCTCAACGTTCTTCCCAGTCGGAGCGGCCCAGCACAAACAGTCCATCGAAGCCCTTGTGGAAGGCACCGTCACGGCACTTGACGTAGGATTCCTTTGCTGCTAGGGTGCTTTTTGCTGTAAGGGCTTTACAGGGACTACGGGGTTTGGAGTTTGGGGTGTATAGGGGAGTTTGAGACGCAGAGGCCGGCACAGACATGGACAGATGGCACTGCGACGGTGAACGCCCACGGCTCGGTCCGTACCCTAAAGCCCTAAACCCAACATCTCAAACCCTAATTAAACCCAAAACCCCAAAACCCCTAAACCACCTTCTGATGCTAAGGAACAGACCTCAAATCATAAAGGGATCCTAAATATGATTTAAGGAGCATTCCGTAATTAAGGGGTATTGGGCTCTCTGGGTGCGTCTCCGGGGGTCGAACTCCTGCTTACATGCCTTATGGAAGCCATATGTGAGGCAGATGAAACCCTAAACGCTACAACAACCCTGCACCCCCCATAAATCCTGCGAAGGCTACGGAACCGAGTCGACGTATGGTGTTTCCATCGCGAATACCTGGTTGTTCGGGGCACCCCTGCGAGATTTCATGATGTGAAAGGTTTCCTCAAATCCTACACACTAACCCTTAACCCTAAACCCCATTTGCACTAAGCCTATACCCTAAGCCCTAAACCCCCTTGCCCTAAACTTACCCTAAACCCCAAACCCTAACCTATACACTTCAGCTCAGAAGACTTCCTCCGCACGCCCACACCCCAGCCGAGAGTCAAGGAAGCCAGCGGAGTCCAGCGTGGAGAGCAACCAGATCAGGGTCACCAGGCCCGTCTTTACAATGCAATCGCCTGGCTTCGACTGCCACACTGGCATGTGCGGGCGAGGGTTTAGGGTTTAGGGTTTAAAGTTTAGAGTTTAGGGTTTAGGGTGGCTCGCTGAAGTTAGAGTCACTCTTGGGGTAGCCCAAAAGAATTAGGCCTAGCTTGCTGGTTTTTGGTATGCTTTTTTGCCACCTGTCTGAAGATCAGTCGGGCGTGCGTTGCAAGAAAAACATTCCCGGTGTCATCTGCCAACTCCGACCACCACAGATGTTTCATCTGCATGTAACCCTAAACCCTGAACCCAAAACTCGCGAAACCAAAAAAACCCATGTGCTCATACTGCATCATGGTGGCTGTTCCCGGAGCCACTGATGTCCTCGCCGTTCTCGTAGGCGGCGCGAAGGGCGTCGTTGTAGGCACCACTCCGCATCAACACCTGCAGCAGCCCGGAGTAGCAAGTGGACGACTTCCAGAAAACCAGTGTGCACATACATGGAATACACACATATGCATATGTATATATATATATACATATGTATGAATGAATGAATGAATGAATGAATGAATGAATGAATGAATGAATGAATGAATGAATAAATGAATGAATGAATGAATGAATGAATGAACAAATGATTGAATGAATGTATGTATGCATGTATGTATGTATGTGATATATGTATGTACGTAAAAAGGCATATAGGTAAATACGTATGTATGTTTCTATGTATGAATGTATAAATGTATATAAGCATGTACGTACATATGCACATGTATGTATGTGCGTGCGTACGCATGTATGTATGTATGCCTGTATGTATGTACGTATGTCTCTCTCTCTCTCTATCTCACGCACACCGTTGCAAGCAGTCCCATCATCGGCACGGCCAACCAGCCCCTTCTCAGAAACTGCCATGTGCCGTGTGGCTTAGAAATGAATGCAACTCATGCTTCCCTCGGCTTCCTACGTCAGACCATGCATTCTGCTAAAACTTCCAAACCATCGCCCGTTTTGAGTGCGCAGGATCACTGCAGGCGAAGAAATGACAAGTGCTGAGACAGGAGATGAGGCCAAGGAGACAGAAAGTACCCTTGTTTGCTGATGTACCTGCCACAAACACCCCTAGCCTTTTGCAACAGGTTTCTGTTCATCCGCCCGTTCTCCCAACAACCCCTTTTTGAGCCCAGGTCTAAGTCCCTGGCCGAACACGCTATGTTCAGCAAGCAACTCACAACTCTCTCAAGCTATTCTTGAGAGGGTGGATTCAAAAACATGTGCCTGCAATGAGGGGGCATCTGGAACTGATGTTTGAATAGAACCTGTTCGCGTTCCGCTTGGATGTGTCTTCCCTTCGGCATTGCTTGACCAACAACCCCTATAAACCCTCCCGTTTGCAGCTTGGGAGGGTACGCCCGGACATGTTCCGGCCATGCGGGTTTCACTCAGGAGGTTACAAGCCAAATCCGCCCTAAACCCTAAACCCGAAATCCTAAACCCTAAACCCAAAACCTTTAAGATCCATTCGGTCCTGGCCAAGACGCGCGAATGGTCACGTCGACCTCGGCCTGTCTCCGAACCCCATAAAAGGTTCTAGGTACTTGGATAGGGTAGGGTTTAAGGTTTAGGGTTTAGGGTTTAGGGCTTAGGGTTTAGGCCATCAAGTACTTCTCACGTTTTTCCTTGGGGGCCCAAGCATATAGTCTTGAGGTGCACCTGATGGTACAGGGGCCCTTGAGCAACCCTGAGACACTCCTGAGACCTTTCTGCCGCGCTGTCTGCATAATGTATGCTTAAGCACCCTTTAGTTCTCGAAGTTCTGATCCCCAACAAGCTGCTCATCGTACTCCCACCCTGTAGAGCCTATGTCGGTTACAAGCCTCTAAACTGCCCTAAACCCTAAACCCGAAACCCTAAACCCTAAACCCTAAACCCTAAACCCTAAACCCTAAACCCTAAACCCTAAACCCTAAACCCTAACCCTACAAACGTCTCTCGCGCCTCGAAGCCTTGTATGGCCTGCCGGATTTTCTCTTCATCGTGAGGGTCGGAGCAGGTGGCATCCTCCGACGCACGAAAAAGGTTTGATAAAGTTCGAGGGGTGATGGCTACCATTTTTAGGGTTTAGGGTTTAGGGTTTCTAAGGCCCCCCCCCCCCCCCCCTTATACACCCCAACATAAGGGCCCAACACGAAAACAAGCTAAGTCTCCTGTTTTGGGAAGGGTAGTTAGTGCAACATCCTGAACACCCTTATACTCGATTAAACCCTTTTGAACCCAGTCTCGGACAAGCTTGTTCGATTAAACCCTAAACCCTAAACCCTAAACCCTAAACCCTAAACCCTAAGGGCTGCGGTTGCTTCCCTGGATCTGGGGCCTTCTAGGATTTAACCTTTGGCCCATGAAACCGCAAAGGCCAACACGAAACCTGGCATGGCAGATCCGATCGGAAAGCCCCCGAATGGGGAACCCCGAAAGAAATTCGGGAACCTTGCACCTAAACCCTAAACCCTAAACCCTAAACCCTAAACCCTAAACCCTAAACCCTAAACCCTAAACCCTAAACCCTAAACCCTAAACCCTAAACCCTAAACCCTAAACCCTAAACCCTAAACCCCCTAAAATGGGATTCTTAAGGGAGGGGGGTTCAAGAGGGGTAGGTACCTACAGAACCTTAGGGAAGCTCAGCGAGTAGTGGGGAGTATTAAGGAACCGCCCTCGAACCCCCCTCCCCTAAGAACCCTATAAACCTTGCACCTCTAAAGACGCATGGAGACTGTGCTTCTCTCTAAGTTTAGGGTTTAGGGTTTAGGGTTTAGGGTTTAGGGTTTAGGGTTATTCTTCCTACTAAATAAGGAAGCCCAAAAAAAGACTTCAGAGTTCAACTGCTGGCTAGGTAGGGAGACGAGCCGAAACCCTTAAAGGTTATATACCAGGGGGGGGGGGGGGGTATAAGGTTCCGAATTCCCGAAATTCCCTACTAAGAACCAAAACCCTAAGCCCGAAGCTCCTAAACTTTACCTAAACCCTAAACCCTAAACCCTAAACCCTAAGCCCCAAGCCCTAAGCCCTAAACCTTGAACTCCCAAGTCCTGAGCTCCCAGTCTCCTACTAAGAAGAAGGGGGGTCAAGACGCATGGAGAAGCAGGGGCGTCCTCCAGCGTCTGAATCGCCAGGAAGCTGGCTTGCTTGTTCAGTTCCGCGTCCTCTGAGACAACTCCCAAGACTCAACCACATCCAAAATGATCTTAGGGGTTTGGGGCTTAGGGTTCAAGGATTTAGGGTTTAGGGTTAGGGCGGCTAGGGTTTAGGGTCCTAAACCCTAAACCCTAAACCCGAAACCCTAAACCCTAGACCCTAAACCCTAAACCCTAACTAGGGCGTCCTCCAGGTGGTGTTGGTTGAGCTGAGCTGTGCGACTCATGTTGAAAAGGCACAAGGCAACGGGGATCAAGCGCTGGAAAAGGTGGCTCCACAATTTGTCGCCCCACCGGGTCATTGCGGAATAAGGCACCACGACCGCTGCACAAGCGCAAGTTACCAGAATGTGCACAGAGCGGATGACGATGCACTTGACCCACCTGTACTGAATTTGGAACCCTAGCGAAAATTACTACTTTAGCTGTTCCTTAGGAAGTAAAGTACCCCAGAAAAAAAAAAAAAAAAAAAAAAAAAAAAAAAAAAAAAAAAAAAAAAAAAAAAAAAAAAAAAAAAAACAAACAAACAAAATTGTTCCTTAGGAATCAAGGTACCCCAAAAATAAAGAAATATTTCCAAGTATCCCTAAGCCACATGCGCACAGGCCTGGACCAGCACTCCATGGCCAGGGAGCTCAAGAAGCAGACCAGCGTCAGCATCACGCAGGCAACAAGGACTGGGTTCACCTTGGTAGCACTAAACCCTAAACCCTAAACCCTAAACCCTAAACCCTAAATACCCTTTTTGGGGGGTTGGTTCTGTAGAAGGGAACCCAGAACCAAAAAAAAAGGGCAAAAGGGAACCCCGCAACTACCAAGTAACGAAACAGTGCATGCAGCTTCGGGAGCAGCTCAGCATCCACACGCCCCCTTCGGGTTCAGGGTTTAGGGTTTAGGGTTTAGGGTTTAGGGTTTAGGGTTTAGGGTTTAGGGTTTAGGGTTTAGGGTTTAGGGTTTAGGGTTTAGGGTTTAGGGTTTAGGGTTTAGGGTTTAGGGTCTCGGAAATACCAAGTCCAAGCAGGCCCTCTAGATGTCAATCCGAGGCAAGTATCGAGATGGCCTGGGATGTTCCCCCTTACACTAACAAGCCTTTTATAGGGATTATAGTAAGGGGTGCTATAATCCCTACCAAGGACTGCTAGTATAAGGGGGAGCTTCCCAAGAGATGGCGTAAGACCTGATAAGACTCAAGCTCGTTTCAAGCCCCCAACCTACCAACAAGCCCACGACGCAAGGCACGAGGAGGGTCCGCATCGCCACAGAGCACTGAACCGACCGACGGGGACGGGCTGGCATGATGCAGGTCTTGTGCCAGCGGGTGCCCAAATAGGCCTCGAAGACGCACCATAGCCGAGTGTAGATGCCTCATGTTATGGGGTTCTTCAACGAGGGGGGTTTCAAGGGGGGTGTATAACCTAAGGTTCCCTCATACTCCCTACTACTCCCTGAGGCTCCCTAGGCTTCCCAAACGTTCCTTAGGTACCTGCCCCCCCCCCCCCCTCCCTTTAGAACCCGATAACATGTTCATGCTTTGACGGCTCCAACCTGTGTGCTTACGTAGATGCAGTTGAACGTTAAGGAACAAATTGGCAATAGCCTATGGGGTTGCCTCATCTTTGAGCACCCCTTTTTTGGGTTGTGATGCTAGTCACGACTTGTCCGTGGAACAGCAAAAGGAAACAAGCAAAAACCTATCAGAGAAAAGTGCTTAACTGAGTTGTGCTTATAAAGCCCTTTGAAAATTATTTATGAATAGCTTCCCTTCTAAGTAAAGAACGGAAAATTGAAAACTAGAAGAGGGATGGCCCGAAAGCATCGATTTGCCGTGCGTTGACTCCATGCAGTTGACTCTTTGCAGCCGAAGTGTGTGCACTTGGACAAATGTATGCACTTACATGGTTGCATAGTCACTTGTACACTGCACTTGTCTGATTTGCGATGGTTTTGGAACCAGCGAATTCGGGGACCATGGTATACTTGCGATGCTTGGAACCAGCGAATTCGGGGACCATGGTTTTCGCGATGGTTTTTGGAACCAGCGAATTCGGGGACCATGGTTTTTGCGATGGTTTTGGAACCAGCGAATTCGGGGACCATGGTATTTGCGATGCTTTGGAAACAGCGAATTCGGGGACCATGGTATTTGCGATGGTTTTGGAACCACGATATTTACGAGGTTTTCGAGGCCCCGGAAGTCGAGTCCCATGATATTTGCGAGGTTTTCGAGGAATTCGAGTCCCACGATATTTGCGAGGTTTTGGAGGCCCCGGAATTCGAGTCCCACGACATTTGCAAGGGTTTCGAGGAATTCGAGTCCCGCGATATTTGCGATGGTTTTTTGCGACACGCAAGCTCCGGGTGTCCCCGGCGGGAATGCTATTTGCGAGGTTTTCAAGTATGTCCGGAATTCCGCTTCCATGCTATTTGCGGTGTTTTCAAGCGCCCAGATGTCCGTACCATGCTATTTGCAGTGTTTTCAAGCGCCCAGATGTCCTTTACCATGCTATTTGCGGCGATTTCATGCGCCCAGATGTCCGTTACCACGCTATTTGCGGCGCTTTCAAGCGCCCAGATGTCCGTTACCATGCTATTTGCAGTGTTTTCAAGCGCCCAGATGTCCGTTACCATGCTATTTGCGGCGATTTCATGCGCCCAGATGTCCGTTACCATGCTATTGGCGGTGTTTTCATTAAACTTGCAGTGTTTTCAAGCGCCCAGATGTCCGTTACCATGCTATTTGCGGCGTTTTCATGCGCCCAGATGTCCGTTACCATGCTATTTGCGGTGTTTTCAAGCGGCCAGATGTCCGTTACCATGCTATTTGCGGTGTTTTCAAGCGGCCAGATGTCCGTTACCGTGCTATTTGCGGTGTTTTCAAGCGGCCAGATGTCCGTTACCATGCTATTTGCGGTGTTTTCAGACGCCCAGGGCGTCCGCAGCGTACTATACGTCTGTACTACAAAAAGTCGACTTTCCAGCCACGGAAGCTCCGCGTGTGCGCGGCGTACTACGTGAGTACTACAAAAAGTCGACTTTCCAGCCACGGAAGCTCCGGGCGTCCCCGGCGTACTATACGTCTGTACTACAAAAGTCGACTTTCCAGCCACGGAAGCTCCGCGCGTGCGCGGCGTACTACGTTTGCGCTACAAAGGTCGACTTTCCAGCCACGAAGCTCCGGGCGTCCCCGGCGTACTATACGTCTGTACTACAAAAGTCGACATTCCAGCTACGGAAGCTCCGCGTGTCCGCGGCGTACTACGTTTGTACTACAAAAATCGACTTTCCAGCCACGGAAGCTCCGGGCGTCCCCTGCGTACTACATTTGTACTACAAAACTCGATTTTCCAGCCACGGAAGTCCACGGCGTACTACGTCTGTACTACACAAGTCGAAAAACAAATGCAAAAAACGCAAAAACACTACGGTTTTAGCACCGCGACCACGCGAAAACCCGCAGAGGGGTTACGTTTGCATGTCAAGAAACGCAAAAACACGAGGGTTTTGGCACCGCGCCAACGCCGAAACCCGCAGAGGGGTTACGTTTGTTTGTCAAAAAAGGCCAAAACACGATGGTTTTGGCACCGCGCCAACGCCGAAACCCGCAGAGGGTTGTCTGCGGCCACGGAAAAAAGTTCCAAAAACGACGGTTTTAGCACCGCGACCCGGCGATCACCCGCAGAGGGTTGTCCGCGGACACAAAGAAACGTAAAAAAACGACGGTTTTGGCACCGCGACCACGCCGAAACCCGCAGAGGGTTGTCCGCGCAAATCAAGAAACGTAAAAAAACGACGGTTTTAGCACCGCGACCACGCCGAAACCCGCAGAGGGTTGCAATCCCGATTGGCGATGTCAACCCAGCCCGCCGCCTTAGAAAGAGTAATTTTAATTTAGAAATCTAGGACTGGGTACGAAGGTCTAGTAAATTCTACGTAAATCTAGAAATTTGTATTCACTGATTACTAAACTCTATGCAATTCACTCTATGCACTTCACTCTATGCACTTCACTCTATGCACTTCACTCTATGCACTTCACTCTATGCACTTCACTCTATGCACTTCACTCTATGCGCTTCACTCTATGCACTTCACTCTATGCACTTCACTCTATGCACTTCACTCTATGCACTTCACTCTATGCACTTCACTCTATGCACTTCAGTCTATGTTGTTGTGTCAGGGGGCTCCGCACGGAAGAACCCTTCGCGATGCTTTCGGGAATTAAAAATATCCCAAAGCACAACCCAGTTCAAGTCCAAGTGCTCACGGTATCATTTGGTATCACCAGGACGTGCGAAGCAGCCTGCATTGCCTTTGCGAAGGGGCTCTCCTGCCAGAAGGTACCAGGGTTGTTGAAAAAGCTCCACATCAACCCTTTGGGTTTATTGCCTATAATTTATAGGCTCCTAAACCCTAAACCCTGAACCCTGAACCCTAAACCCTAAACCCTAAGCCCTAAACCCTAAACCCTAAACCCTTGAAATCCCAACTGCGAAACTTCAAGGACAGCATCCCTCCCCCCCTTGAAGTTTTGAGCAGCAGTGCCTCTGGGGGCACATCCAGCAATGCTCCGATGTCCAAGTTCTGAGGGTTTGCAAGTAGGCAGCAGTACCTCAGCAAGCATGTTGAGCGGTTTAGGGGGTTTAGGGTTTAGGGGGTAGGGGGTTTAGGGTTTAGGGTTCAGGGTTTAGGGTTTAGGGTTTAGGGTTTAGGGTTTAGGGTTTAGCAAGCATGCAGAGGCGTCCCTGCACCCCCCACTATACTCAACTTTCAACCCTAGCAAAAGACCATACCATTCGTGTTCCTTCGGAACTTTAGTACCCAAAGGTACAAAACATATTCCCAAGTATCCCTAACCCTAAACCCTAAACCCTAAACCCTAAACCCTAAACCCTAAACCCTAAACCCTAAACCCTAAACCCAAACCGCGCAAACACGGCTGGATCAAGGCGACGGCTACATGAAGCATCTGCCGGAGTTCTCGACCATGCCACAAATAAAAGCCCCTCAAGTCAAGGGGCCCTCTTCGTGCCATTCTGTTTAGGGTTTAGGGTTTAGGGTTTAGGGTTTACCTGGGAAACCCTGGGTTTAAAAAAAAAGGCTATGAGGAGGAAAGTGCAATATTTCCGCCATCTCCTGGGAAAATTGGCATGTTGAAGTTTTTGGTTTTCAGGGTTGCCAGGCAAAAATTGAAATGTTGAGCCGTGGGGTCTTGCCAAAAAACGGAACGTCAAAAACAAAAAACGGCATTTCAGATTTTCAGAACTTGCATTTGGCCATGTCGGTTTGGCCCACTGTGGTCTGTTGGCTTGTATCCTGGAATTGGATACAACTATATTACGCCATGAGGCCCAGAACTAAGCCTGAACTCTGGCAATACCTTGACCTGAAACCTCATTCATGAGACCCCATCGTAGCCTCGGAGCATCCCAGTTTTTGAGGGCTTATGTGAGCCGCAGTTGCACTTTGGGGCATGATGTCCAAGCACTGCACGGCTTGCAAGCAGCAGGTACTAGACACCGGGCTTTCGCGCTCAGAGTTTGTCAGGCAAAAAGCTTCCAGAAGCGCGGCAGAGCCGAAACCAAACCTGGACTCACGGTTCAACACCTCAGCAAACCAAAACCCAATACACGTTAAATATAAACCCTTATATCTTTATGGTGAGTGTCGAATCCCACACATAACACCCTGAATCCCAGACCACATGGCGTGCGCGCAAGCTGGCAGACAGCACGCAGCTGATGTCCCAAGATTTGCGGCCTCTCCCGGCACTTCAAAATGGAAAAACTGAAACTTCGGGCTGGCCCGAAAAATTGCATTCCGGCGTTTTCCGCCATTTGACCGCCGATTTCCGCCATCTCGCCGCCTATTTCCGCCTTCTCTTTTTTCCAATGTGTTTCAAAAAACGCTATTTTGATTTTCAAAAAACGCTATTTTGAGTTCTAAAAAAAACTGATTAGCCCTCCGCCCTCTCCGTTCCCTTCCCCCCCCCCCCCCCCCCCCCCCCCCCCCCCCCCCCCCCCCCCCCCCCCCCCCCCCCCCCCCCCCCTTCCGGTGGAGCCATCGCACGAAAGTTCAGTGTGTTGGTTTAAAGCTTAATTTAAGGTCTTGCATGATATGGGCTTAGGGTTGCGAATGTTTTATAGGGTGTTTGGGCTGGAGAAGCGCCAATCTTCGAAGCACAGTCAGGGAGCAATGGCAAGAGCTCTCTTTTCAGGGTTTAGGGCTTGGGTTAAAGCGTCGGAACAAGGATTTGGCGTGCATGCGAGGCATCGTACATGCTCTGCACAACGGTCACAGTTCTGCAGTGTTGGGCTTAGGGTTTTAGGGGTTTAGGGTCCATAGCATTAAGGGTTTAAGTATTGTAGGTTTATGGTCGATCTTCGTTGATCGAGACATAGTACATGCTCTGCGCGATGCCGCTGGAGCATCAACCTACTGCACACGAAAAACGCGATCTCAGAAAATGAAAAACGCAATCACAGGACTGAAAAAAGGCATCTTCCAAAGACCGTTTGTCAAAAAACTTCAATCCCAATTCTTGCCCACCAAACCCTTAAGCAGCTGTTTCCGCCATTTCGTGGGGTTTCCGCCATCCACTGGGCAAAACCAGTTTTAGTTGAAACTACTAAAATTCTGTAGGGTTTGGGTTTCCCAGGTAGGGTTTAGGGTTTATTCCAAGGCTGCGAGGACAACACGCGGTTCTTGATACTCTCGAAGGTGTGTGAGAGAAACCGCACACACAAAGCACCATAAGCAACCTAGACTTGACAGTTCTACCCCATGACCGCACCTGAAACGTCATCATCCATTCCGCAGAAAGAGACCAACAACTCAACAACCCCTCCACCATCCCCTAAACCCCCCTAAACCCTAAACCCTAAACCCTAAACCCTGAACCCTGAACCCTGAACCCTAAACCCTTTTTGCATCCGGGCTATGATGTCCTGGCCGGAAAGTCTCAGCAACACTCTCAAGAAGTCAAGTGCCACTCGCACTCGCACACCCTACTGTCCAAGCAAGGCGAGCATGAGCCGACACCTCTGAGGAAACTAACTGAAACTCAAGCAAGGGAGCCCCAGGGCAACTGCGAGCACTCAGAAAAGGCCAGCAACGTGCTCGTGACATCGCCAGCACTGTCCAAAGCTACACTCCCTCCACCCCTCAGGACTCGTCGAAAAGAAAATAGCTGTACACAATCACTTTTTTTTCTCGGAAAAAGGCGATCTACACACCAGGTCCTTTCTGCTCTGCATCCTGCCTTGCAAGCCTACGTGCTGCCTTCTGCGCAAGACGCTCATCACGATGCTGTCTTCTCAAGGTTTCTAGGTCAACGGTAGGTCGGATGGACGCGTGGCTCGAGGATTGCATCTGCTGAAGTGCTGCGTGCAAGCGCTGCCTCTTGGCAGATTGTGCATTCTGAAGTGGTTGGTCATGTACAAGGGGTCTCAAATCTGGGGCTGGTGCACTTGGCTCAGCTTGGAACAGCTTAGTCTCCAGCTGCTCAATGGTCGCGGCTCGTTCTTCTAACAGCTTCATACTGCGGTCCATCAAGGAACGAAAGTCTCGAAGTTTTTCTTCGGTCTGCACAAAAAGCTGGTGACCAAAAGCCTCAAACTCGCTCTCAGTCGCCATCTTGGCCGTGGTTTGAGAACTTGCGTCATGGCACTTGGGCTCGAGCGCGGCGCACAAACTGATTGTCCTTCTCTCTGAACCAACAGTCGCGTAGTGTGTTGAAGGCTCCGTTTCTAAACCCACCAGTGTATGCAAGGCAAGTGACAAAATGTCTGTGACACTCTGCAACTGCAAGGATTTTGCTTTTCTGAGGGAAAAGGCAATGTTCGAAGCCAGCCGATTCCTCTCGGATACCATTGTAGAAGCGGCACTGGACCTTTCAATCGCTGCACCTAATTGGGCTTGCCCAGCTTGGGCCTCGTAGCAAGAATGGCTTGAGCCAAAAGAACCCTAAACCCCTGTCCGAGTGGCAAGTGGTTCAGCCGCTGTAGACGAGGCCAGCCCCGATACACGAGGTCGGACAGCTCGAAAAGGCCCTCTGCCCATGCATGGGAGATGAACACCTGCGACAGGGTCGAGTTAGGTTTCTTTGGGTTTAGGGTTTAGGGACCACAACCCTAACCCCAAAAACTATAAACCCTAAACTTGGGATGTTCCCCCTTATACTTGCAGTCCTTGGGGATTAATTAGTACCCCCCCCCCCATTATCATCCCTATGAAGGACTGATAGTACAAGGGGGAACATCCCAACTCTAAACCGTTCAGAGTTTTAGGGTTAGGCTGATGTAGGGTTCAGGGGATGTATTGGGGGCGCTTTAGGGGGATGTTGGGCGTGGGAGGCATCTGCTTCTTTCAAATCATGTCTAAATAGGCCTGGCAAAGAAGTCCTTCTGGATGCTTCCTTACTTGCCCCAGGGAGAAAACGAAAGGTATGCTTAGTTGTCCAGTAACCAAGGGGAATTAAAGGTTAACCTTTGGGATTCCTAGGGGATTATACTACCCCGAAAAGGTTAAAGGTTACCTACGCCAGTCGGAGAAAGGAGCAGCAAGTGATTTAGGATCTAGGCTGTTCAGTAACCAAGGCTTATAAAGGGCTTAAAGGGGTTTATAAGGGAACCTAAACCCCCTAAAAAAGGGAATAAGGGTACTACTGGGCATCCTAGTGATTTAGGACGGAGGGATGGAGGGCGATTTGTGGCTCGGCCACCTGCGCAAGCATCCAGATGGGCTCCTCGATGCCTAAACCCTAAACCCTAAACCCTAAACCCTAAACCCTAAACCCTAAACCCTAAACCCTAAACCCTAAACCCTAAACCCTAAACCCTATAAACTAAACCCTAAACCCTAAGGGAAAGAATCTTGGCATGCTTTGCAACCATCCCCTGGCATGTTGCCCCGTATATCTACAGGTTTAGGGTTTAGGGTTTGGGGCTTAGGGTTTAGGATGTTTCCCTGTTATACTAACAGCTCCTCAGTAGGGATTAGAGTAGAAAAGTAGAAGCCCTATCATAATCCCCTGGGTCTAGGTTTGTTTGTTTTTTTTAACAACCCTGTGCACCTTTTCTAGTGCAAGCCACTTGCCAGGGTTTAGGGTTTAGGGTTTAGAGCTTAGGGTTTAGGGCTTAGGGCTTAGGGCTTAGAAGACCTGCACCCAAAGATGGTTCGAAATCTGTACCTAAGCGTCATCAGGGCGTAGCTCATGTTGCCCGCAGCCCGGGTGAGTGGCTTCACATAGTGCTCGTTCACCTCTGGGGCCAAACCCTAAACCCTAAAGCCTAAACCCTAAACTCCCAAACCCCAAACCCAAAACCCTAAACTTTACACAAACCTTACAGACGCCCTGATTTCGACGTCAAGGTTTCGGGCCCTTTGTGCGTCTCAGAGGTTTTGTGTTTTTCTCAGCCGCATTAAGTCTTGAGGCATTTATTTCTAGACACCCTGACACCCTAAGCACAAACAAACTCATAATGGACATCCTTCCCGTTATTTGTGGGATTGCAGGTCATTGAGGATACTTTGTAGGGTTTGGGGTGGTGAAGGGCCCACTAGCCTGGAAGCATCGCGATGGTTTGGGAAGGAGTGGCTGTGAGATGCTTTCGTTCGCAGGAAACTTTCAGGGGCAGCCGCGGGCATACGTGGTCAATTACCGATGTTGGTACCCTACATAGAAGGAGGACCCACAGCCAAACACCAAAATCTAGAGAACCGACCATGTGAGGTCAGTCAATTGGCTGGTGGGGCATTGTAGCCCCACCCTAAAGGACTTTCATAGCAACCCGTGAAAAAATAATAAAAGTTTTGTGGAGGCTTGTAAAACTTCTGAAAGAATGGATTTAATTGATACAACTAATACAAACATGGATGTTTTTGTTGTTTATACAATGCATTGAGTTGAAAAGTGCACCTGTAATAGATTGGTGTATTAAAGAAAATGAATAAAATACAGAACAAGAAAAAGAATTTGAAGTCGAACAAGCTACGAATACATCCAAGTATAAGAACTGTTATCTTTCAAATTGGTATAGATTCTGAGGACTATTACATGTCCCACTTACCAGCAAGAAACTGCGCAGGCCTAAACCCTAAACCCTAAACCCTGAACCCTGAACCCTGTTCCCTAAACCCTAAAACCCTAAAACCCTAAAACCCTAAAACCCTAAAACCCTAAAACCCTAAAACCCTAAAACCCTAAAACCCTAAAACCCTAAAACCCTAAAACCCTAAACCCTAAACCCTAAACCCTAACTACCCGCAGCTCTCCAGTGGACCCAGTGGACTCAATCCAGGGGGCTGGGTCTGGAGCTTCGGGTTTCAAGCGAGGGTGGAGCATGCTCAGAATTAACATGTAACACACAATCGCTCCGATCATCCAAAGCCCCAGCCCAAGGCCCAAAGGGCCTAACTCGCAACAGCTAACCTTGGGCTACCCTCATTCTTCAACCCTAAACCCTAAACCCTAAACCCTAAACCCTAAACCCTAAGCCCTAAGCCCTAAGCCCTAAGCCCTAAACCCTAAACCCTAAACCCCTAAACCCCTAAACCCTAAACCCTAAACCCAGGGCCTGGTAGAGGTTTGGGCCATGCTGTGGGTCTCCGTGTTGCGGGTTGCTTCCTGGCTCGCCTTCAGGCACCTGCCCGGCCGCCCAGACACGTCGCACCTCTTGCGTTTAGGGTTTAGGGTTTAGGGTTTAGGGTTTAGGGTTTAGGGTTTAGGGTTTAGGCTTGCTCTCAGGGTTCCGATACTGAACTTGGAACCCCGGCGAAATTTATCATTCTAGCTGTTTCTTAGGAATTAAAGTGCCCAAACATTCCAAATTATTTGCAAGTATCCCTAAGGTTCATCTCGGGTTTAGGGTTGGGCTCCAAGCGTACAAATAACACCTACATTGGGGCCTAAAGTCATTAAGGAGTACCTACTTTGGTCTAGTTAGAGCCTTAGGTTCAGGGTTTTCATGTAAGAGCTCAGCCGTAAACCCTAAACCCTAAACCCTAAACCCTAAACCCTAAACCCTAAACCCTAAACCCTAAACCCTAAACCCTAAACCCTAAACCCGTTTCGGGGTGGCCACGCCCTTCCTTTTTGGCTGCTGCGAGGTCTTGAGGTCTAGCTCTCTGCTGCGAGGGCTTCAGGTCTAGTCTCCCTCTCTCCCTCTCTCCCTCTCTCCCTCCCTCCCTCCCTCCCTCCCTCCCTCCCTCGCTCCCTCGCTCCCTCGCTCCCTCGCTCCCTCGCTCCCTCGCTCCCTCGCTCCCTCGCTCCCTCGCTCCCTCGCTCCCTCGCTCCCTCGCTCCCTCCCTCGCTCCCTCGCTCCCTCGCTCCCTCGCTCCCTCGCTCCCTCTCTCCCTCTCTCCCTCTCTCCCTCTCTCCCTCTCTCCCTCTCTCCCTCTCCCTCTCTCCCTCTCTCCTCTCTCTCCTCCTCTCTCCCTCTCCCTCTTCTCCTCCCCCTCTCCCCCCCTCTCCCCCTCTCCCCCTCTCCCCCTCTCCCCCTCTCCCCTCTCCCCCTCTCCCCCTCTCCCCCTCTCCCCCTCTCCCCCCTCTCCCCCTCTCCCCTCTCCCCCTCTCCCCCCTCCCCCCTCTCCCCTCTCCCCCTCTCTCCTCTCTCCCTCCCCCTCCCCCCTCCCCCTCCCTCCCTCCCTCCTCTCTCTCTCCATCGTCTCTTCTCTCATCCTCTCTCTCTCTCTCTCACTCTCACTCTCACTCTCACTCTCACTCTCTCTCTCTCTCTCTCTCTCTCTCTCTCTCTCGCTATGTTGTATACGAAGGCAACCTGCTTCATTCTGCTAATCTTAATCTGCACATATGGTATGTCTATATCTGCATATAAACAAACAAATAAATAAAAACAAAAATATAAATAAATAAATATATATATATATATAGATATGTGCTTCACCCCCGCTCCTTGATCCACAGCGTTCGGCGTCAAAGCTCTGACATGCGCGTAGTGAGTGGCCCCTAACTTCAATCATCTACAAGTCTTGTGCTGGTATGCGCAGAATCAACATCGGGTCTCCAGCAGCTCTATTGTATAGGTTATATATATATATATATATGTGTGTGTGTCCAATCTATTCATCTGTTTACTTATGTTTTTAAGTGGGAGGTTGGTCTTGGGAAGGAGGTTGTAAATTTAAAAAACTCATACGTATGTAAAACACGCTCATGGAATGACTTCTTGTTCGGCTATCCGGGGTCCCTACGTTCCAGGCTTCCAGGCCCTTAAGTGCCTCCCGAACAAAAGCATAGAACTCCGCGATGGTGATGCACCACCTCTCTGGCGGAATCCGCAAGTGCAGCTCCATGGCAAGGTGCTGGCGGCACCTTCTTGCTCTTCCGTGGAAGCTACGGGCTGAGAGATTCTGAAGCTAGGGGCTGAGGCAGAGTGCGTGCAACGCAACAGCCCACCCCCCCCCCAGTGGAATCGCCATCTACGCACCCACTTTCCCAAGGCTCCATGTATCCGTGCAGCATATACTTCGGCCTTAAAGCAGTCCCTATGTACCCAGAGACTCCAAAACTCCTTCATTGAGGAACATGCCTTAAAATTTTTCAAAAGGAACCCTAGTATGATTTAAGGTATATTCCTGAGCTAAGGGGTTTTGGAGTCTCTGGGTACGTACTTTAAGGGCTAAGTATCCCTAAGGGTCCATGTACCGGAACCCCTTTTTTAAGGCCCAGGGCCCAGGTATATACTATAGATCGTACATGGACCCTGAGGGTATGTACTGTATTGGTACATGCAGCCTGGGGGTTTGGTGCCGTCGATCTGGAGGTCCCCGCGAAGCTGCTTGTTGCTCCCTAAACCCTAAACCCTAAACCCTAAACCCTAAACCCTAAACCCTAAACCCTAAACCCTAAACCCTAAACCCTAAACCCTGAACCCTGAACCCTGAACCCTGAACCAGGAGCTTGCCTGCCTCGAGGCTCCGATGCTGTGGCTCAGCATATGTTTGTGGACTCGCTTGGTGGCCCAGTAACCATATGGGGTTTCCGATAATAGGGTTTAGGGTAGACCCGGGAGTAGCCTAGGAATAACAAGGGTACCCTTTTTGGTTTAAGGGGGCTATAAGGGAACCCCAACCCCAAAAAGAGGAAAAAAGGGCCTGCTCCCGGTCCTAGTAGGGGTACCTTATGGGGGTCCTTATTCTAAGGGAATCCTACATAAGGGTACCCCTGTTGGGGGGCTGGTTACTTTAGATAAGGAAACCTGGAAACAAAAAGCCAAGTGTACCACTGGGCTACCAGGTTCGATGATGGCGATGGAGTGTGGGAGGCAGAGAAACAGAGAGGCTTTAGGGTTCAGGGTTTAGGGTTGAGGTTTAGGGTTTACAGTTTAGGGTTTAGGGTGTAGGGCTTAGGGCGAACTTCCCATGGTCGTAAGACCTCGAGGACTTGAGGACCAGATGAACCCCCATAATGTACATTGCGGTCATACGGGTTTAGGGTTTAGGGTTTAGGGTTTGGGGTTTAGGGTTTAGGGTTTAGTGCTATAACATCTGCTAAGACATGGGCCATACACCTGTTTAGGGTTCATTTAGTCCATGAGGGATTCGGGTGCTCATGTGATTCTCTGCAGCTCCTGTGGTTTAGGGTTTAGGGTTTAGGGTGTAGGTGCCATGAAGAACCCTATTATAGCTTACGCTACCCTAAGGGTCGGGAATACTTGGCCCTTAAAGTAACTCCTATATAGGCACTTTTGGGCCCAAGTGTATCATAAGACGGTGCATGGACCCTTGTAGGGGAAAATTTCTTGAATTCAGGGTATTGGGAACCCTAAACCCCACACCCTAAACCCTAAACCCTCTCTTAGGTGACTCAGTCATTCAGCGGACGAACGGTTTTTTTGGAGCCGCCGCATCTCAGCGAGGCGTCCGTGTCAAATACGTCGGCGGATGGTGGTTCTGGCCAAGAGTTATGGGTTTAGGGTTGGTTTAGGGTTTAGGGTTCAGGGTTCAGGTTTTAGGGTGTTGACTTAGACTGCTCTTGAGGATGCCGTGGACGCGGCAATGATTCTTGGAACCTTCCCCAAGGCCCAAGTATACACTACAGCTAGATTTTTGGATCCTTTGGGAACCATGTACACGTATGACCTTATCCTGAACCCCAAGCTCTCAAGCCCGCCTTCGCAGGGCGGGGTTTAGGGTAAGCCCTACTCGCGGCACAGCACTGCTAGCTGCTAGCCCAAACCCCACTCTATACAGTGCAGGTTGCCGCCCCGGCTACCACCACAAAGGGCACCTTCCCCGTATAATGTAGGGGCCTTAATAATTAGAATCGTGTTTTGGGGTTCCTATAGTATGAGTACAAAGGGAACATAAGGGAATATTATTCGTAATTATTCCGACCCCTACATTAGCCCCTTATTCGCGGGTGGGGTAAGTCTTGGCGCAGCCAAAAGACAAGTGATCTGCGATCCCTACGTGCGGCCAGGGCAAACGTCGTCCAAGCGCGTTCCTCGGAATGAGGGGGGGAGTCTTCCAGCCTCAAGTGGCTTCAGATAGTTTAGGGGTTTCGAGGTTGAGGCTTCGTATCAGTACCTACAAGGACTCACTATCGCATGCCGAGAAATAGTCGTCATTGTGACTGTGACAGGCTCCCTATTCCAAACATGGGCAGTTTGTTAGTGTGTGTGTGTCGCCCTCATATTTTCAGATTCCAACCCTTCCGCCCGACTCAGACTCAGAAGAACGAGGGTTGATTGAGCCTAAACAGAGCGAAGTCGGCAATGCCTGAGAAGGTTTCTGCCTTACCAGGATGGGCCATTAGGCCTTAAAATCCCCATAATGAACCCTAGAAAGGGCCTTTAAGGGATCACAGCGCATAACGGTCCATCTTGCCCTAAGGATCCATGTACCTAAATAGTATATACTTCCAGCCTTAAAGAGCCTTCCTATGTAGTAGCTGTAGGGTACTATCTAGGTACATGGATCCTTTGGGTTGGTATACCCTAAACCCTAAACCCTAAACCCTACACCCTAAACCCTAAACCCTAAACCCTAAACCCTAAACCACACTGATTCACAACGTCCCTTTTCAAGGCCGCGGGCTCAAAAAGTGGCAATGTCGCCATGCCGCACGAGCATGTAACTGGTGCGCCGGTTCTCATCGGCGCCTACCCTAAAGGGTCCATGTACCTATTATGGTAGGGTTTAAGGGTTAAGGGTTAAGGGTTTAGGGTTTAGGGTCCATGTACCTATTATATGGTATATACTCGGGCCTTAAAGGGGTTCCTACATAGTAGCTTTAGGGCCCAAGTAGAAACTATGTGAGTACATGGGCCCTTGGGGTACGTAGCCCATGTACCTGAAAGGGGTACATTCGGGTTGCCAAGCAGTTGGACCACGGCGCATGCGTGGCGTAAACACTCCGAAGCAATATGGCAAGCTGGGGCAAAGACTTGTACTACCTAGCAAGCCCATGCAGAATAACCTAAAATTTAAACTGGTGGAAACATCCCAAAGATGGTCCAACTCATTTCAAAAATGGTTCGACACGATGAGCGACTTGGACTTGGTGGGCTCCCACCCGCATATCCTTGGATGGTAAGTTTACCATCGACAAGTGGTCCCACGGCGACGTACGTTTGTTGGCCAGGAGCCGGGGCTTGGTACAGGAGTAGAATTACAAGAGTCTGCATTCCACATTCCCGCGCTGCTTCAGCCCTCACTGAAGGAAGCACGGCAGGACTCGATCGAGCAAGAGATCAAAGCGGTTGTAAAGTGTCCTAACTTGCGGGTGAAACGGCGGCACAACGCTGCACAAGTTCGCGCAGCTCCTTCTATCGGACTGCTGAGTGTTTCTGAGGTCTGGATGCTTCAATAATGGCGGCGCATCAGCGCTCCAGCCAACCCAGACAAGATTGCGATCAAGATGTGCAGCTGTTTCAGAAGATCACTTCGCGACAAGGTCACTCCATGGACAATGAAACCAGCTGCACTGTCCGAGATGAACTGCACCAGGTACTGCCGGTCGGTATCAGCTCCCGCATCTCCTCCCAGCTGGTTCACAAAGGCTGGGACCTGGCGACACTTTCCGCTGAGCGATGCTCCCTTTGCAAACAGGATCACGGACACAATGAAGAGATACAGGAAAGGAATCAGACCAGACTCATGAAGAACCACACTCCAGCTGTCAATATAGGCTACGTCGAGAAGGAGGCTGAAGAAGCTCGCCAAGGCGACGAGGATCCCGGCGTAGCCCAGCAGATTCAAGGCTGTGAAAGAAGGTGTGATCTCTCTCCCAGCGCATTTCAGCAGTGCCTGTAAGGAGTTCCAACTCTCAATTCCACTGATGAAGTCTGGCCTTTCCATGATGTCAGCACACCAGCAGTCGAGGGTCTTCTCCAATCCGACCAGCAAGTTGTAGAGAAAGTCAGCACAGTTCGTGACAACAAGGCTGCAGACGGCAAAGGAGAGAGAGTTCGTCACTAAGATCATGACTTTGAGAAGAAGCAAAGGCTCGGAAAATGACTGAGAACCTACTTCTGGAATTTCAATGCCCAGCTCCACGGCCTGGAAGGTGGAGAAGCTGAGGAAGAACATTGCCCACAACACCAACAACCGAATCCACTGCTTCTTGGCGACGCTGCCCCAGTCCAGTCCCTGTCCAGAGTCTCTCACAAAGTTGTCCAGCAGTTCAATGGCCTTGTTCAAATCCTCTGAGTGCAGGGTCCGCTTCATCTGACGCAGAAGTAAGATCGCCAAAATGCTGAAAACCATAAGCGATGAAGTTGTCTTTAGCTCTGCATGGTGCCGCCAGCCCGAGTTGAACAAAAGTGCCGATAGCACCAGTTCGCAAAGACTCATCAGGATGATGATGAATGTCACCATGTTGCTCCAATCTAGCCAAAGCCTGACACCAATCTTTTCCAAAAAGATCTTGGACGTTGTCCCTGGATCACTTGTTCTGTTTGTGAGAATCTGAGTCACCGTATGGCGGCTCAAACTGTCCAAGCCTGAACCTCTTCCCTGTCCTGAAAGACTTGTCGATAGTCGCCTTTCAGCCAGTGGAGGCACTTGAGCTTCCAACTGTTCCGATCCTAACAGGGAGTTTGGCTGCTTTGGCGGCTGCGGCTCAAGCTGACCCGGTAGAGGGCGCGGAGGATTTGGGGGATCAGGTGGAGGTTGCACCAGCACTGGACAGAAGCTTTTCACATTGGGATCCGAGTGCTCACGGACAGAGGCAGGGATTTCCAATGCCTTGTCGCTTGGAAGCACAGGTGAACACTGCTTTGACTTCAAGGGGGCTGAGCGCAACCCAAATGAAGCTTGTCTGATGATTTGCATCTCCAAGTCTTCCAAACTCGGAATCTTTGCAGGATTCGAGCGGCTTCGAGGTACTTGGGCCACTGGGTCACGGACCAGCGGCTCCACCATCTTGGGCGCAGACTTGAGAGACTCGGAAGTTCCTCCTTGGAGGTTTTGGAAGCTCGCCTCCTTCAGCAACTGAAATCCTGCAAGTAGTTCGGAAAGTTGCTCTGCTGTTTGCAGCTGCAAGGTTCGAAAGTCCTTGAACTCCCTCCGAATTTCGCCCACAGCAGTGCCGAAAGCTTTGTCAAGAAGAGCTTGCAGGCCCGCATCTACGGCGGACATCTTGTGTGTCAAAAGTGAAACGCTGGGAAAAGCTGTGCTAGCCAGCAAGCTGGACTAAAGATGTACAAAGGTTCTTGAGCAGAAAAACCTATCAGGAGGATTCTGGTCCCTAAACCCTAAACCCTAACCCTAAACCCTAAACCCTAAACCCTAAACCCTAAACCCTAAACCCTAAACCCTAAACCCTAAACCCTAAACCCTAAACCCAAGAATCGGCTTTAATTTAAGAGCTTAAGAGCTCAGCACTGGCCGGAGGTCGGGGAGGCTTCAGGAGCAATGCTCGAGAAAGCTGCATGGCTCAGGGACCACAAGCCCTACACAAGCTAACCCTTAGCCCAAAAACCCTAAGCCCTAAGCCCTAAACCCCCTAAACCCTACCTCCTTGTGCGCCAGGGCTCCCTTCATTGCGCGGCTCCTTGAGGCCTGTCTTCCAGGCAATGCCTTCGGCCGAGCTTCGGGTACGCTCGCTCAATTCAACGCCCGATCCTGAACCCGAAGCCCTAAACCTTGAACCCTAAACCCTAAACCCTAAACCCTAAACCCTAAACCCTAAACCCTAAACCCACAACACCGGACCGGCAAACAAACCCCAACCCCGTAAAGGGGGCAGGTACGACGCCACACCGCAGGGGCGGGTGGGTGGGTGGGTGGGTGGGGGGGCGACCGGGCGTGCCCTGATTATATATATATATACACACATGCATGTATGTATATATATATATATACATACACATACTACATTTATGTGGGAGGTTGGTCTTTGGAGGCGGGGTTCGCATATATGATGTGCTTATGTTGTATGACTGAAATTACAATTGTTGTATTCATTTCCCTAAGGGTCCATGTACCTAAATAGGGAATACTTGGGCGTTAAAGTACTTCCTATTTAGCGACTTTTGGGGCCCAAGTATCAAATAATAAGGTACATGGACCCTTAGGGTTTGTTTTGAACTCTTTCTTTGGCCATCCGGAGCACGTGCCTCCCGAACAAAAGCAGAGAACTCCGCGATGGTGATGCACCACCTCTCTGGCGGAATCCGCAAGTGCAGCTCCATGGCAAGGTGCTGTCGGCACCTTTTGCTCTTCTCTGGAAGCTACGGGCTGAGAGATTCTGAAGCTAGGGGCTGAGGCAGAATGCGTGCACGCAACAGCCCCAGTTTTCAGTGGAATCGCCATCTGTGCACCCACTTTAAGTGCTGCAAGCATGCGCATCAGGAACTGGAGGGCCCCCTTGAGAAGCTGTTTAACCCTAAACCCTGAACCCTAAACCCTAAACCCTAAACCTTAAACCCTAAACCCTAAACCCTAAACCCTGCAACTCTTTTGCAGGAGCGCTTGCCATGAGGCTGTGGGCTCGGACGTCGGTGACTCCCAGAATACGAGACCCAAGCGTGACCCAGGAATAAAACAAGGGTGCCCTTTTTTCGCTTACAGAGGCTTATTTAGGGAACCTAAACCCTAAGAAAAACGGGGGATTAGAAGGGCCTACTCTGGGTCCGAGGAATATGTCTGCGGAATCTCCAGGACACTTAGCACTTGCGAGGTGTTTCAAGAACTTCCCATGGTCGGAAGAACTTGAGGACCAAATGAACCCTGCATGCAACTGGGATCATCCATCCTATGCTACTCCAATACTTGTTAAACCATCTAGACCATAACCCCCCCCCCCCCCGAAGGGTCCATGTACCTACATAGTATATACTTGGGTCCTAAAGCTACGATATAGGAACCCCTTTAAGGCCCAAGTATATATATATATATATATTCTCATATATATATATATATATATACGTATATAGGTACATGGACCCTTGGGCCCGTCTAGGGTTCAGAAAGTCCGTAAGGGATTCGGTCACAAGCCTTGTGACATGCAACTCTCTGCGCCTTTGGCAGGAGAGCTTAGGAACTGCTGTGCATATGCACAAATTCAACCTAGAATCCGTAAACCCTGAACCCTAAACCCTGAACCCCTAAACCCCTAAACGCCTAAACCCTAAACCCTAAACCCTAATTTAGTTTGGGGTCGCCTGATTTTTGAATTCCATGGAAACCCCACACCTCTGCCTCATTATGGGGCCCAGAAGGACCCGGCTTGCCCGGAAGCACCGAAAGGAACATGCCGTCAGCCATCGGAAAAAAAAACCCTAAACCCAAAACCCAAAATTCATTGGACCTAAATCCAAACCCTTAACCCTAAACCCAAAACCCGATATTCCTTGGTGTTGGGCGTGCTTCCCCCCCAAAAAAAACAAAAAGTTAACCTTTCACATATAGGTAGGGATCTATATGGTTACTATTCTAAGGCGGCCCCTCATTTTTTGGGTACTCCAAAGAGGTGACCACATAAAGAAACAGGTTCTTAATCCCTGTTCCCCTAGGAAGAAAAAAGGATCCTTTTTGTTCATATACAAGAAAGCCCATAACCCAAAAAGTAAAAAGGATCCCTAACACTGATCGAGAAGGAGGTGACCTGCCCCCAGTCCCTAGGGGGACTCAGTCATTGTCATTCAGCGGACCGACGGACGGGGAGCCCCCGGAGTCCAGGGAGGAGTCAGTCTCAGATCCATCGGCGGAGGGTGATCCTGGTTAGTGGCGAAGGAGGGTTTAGAGGTTTGAGGATTTAGGGGGGTTGTTGGGGGGTTTCGAGGGGTTTAGAGGGGTTTAGAGGGGTTTAGAGGGGTTTAGAGGGTTTGGGAGAGGGTTGAAGGTTGAGCGTTTGCTCCCAGGCACCCTTTAGAGTAGGCCCTTTGTTTTTGTTAAGAAAGGTCATCCAAGATTCTTTCATGCTCCCCGCTACTCCCCAAGGGTCCCGAAGCTTCCCTGATTGGTAACTAGCGCCCATGAACCCCCTCCCTTAGCAACCCTGCCATTTTGCAAGGAAAAAAGGGGAGTTGCGGGTTTGTCTACGAACCCTAAACCCTAAACCCTGAACCCTGAACCCTAAACCCTGAACCCTAAACAGCAGTTGCTTAAAGCCACACCTGGGTTGAAGTACCTGACCCTGTGGGTACACACGTCCTCCGGGCATCCGCAGACCATGGCACATTTGTAAACACTATGAACCAACCCTAAACCCTAAACCCTAATCCCTAAACCCTGCAAACCGGCCAAAGGAGCTGAAGTCACACACCACGGCCAAGGAGAGCTGCAGCTGGAGAACCTGCCAGCTACACAGACCGGGGTACCTACTTCTTATTAGGCCTATTTAGGGTTTAGGGTTTAGGGTTTAGGTTTGGGGTTTAGGGTCAAAGTCTGTCACCCACAAATGTAGAATGTCCGCGGTACCAACTAGGATGGCCCGGAAAACCCTCTGAACAAAATTCCTGAATATGATCCTCTTAAACCCAATAAGGGATAATATAAATGTCCCAAGGGCCTACTAGCTAAGAAAGGAACTGCAACCGGATCTCGGGGGGCTTGCCAGATGGTAGGAGAGGGAAGCCAAGCTGACTTGGCAGCAGTGCGTTTCGCGCCCGAGAGATTTGTTTTGGTAGAGGCATGGGGTTCAGGGGTTTGGGGGTTGGGGGTTTTTTTGCCACCCGTCTAGCAATGCTCCACGGGGCAACTGAAGAGGGAATACTGTGTACAAACTCCAGAGCCCAAATTGACGAAATTTCTAGGTTCCACACCAACCCGAGCTCCCAGCCAGGATTCACCAAAGGAGAAAGTCAACATACACACGGGTTTAGGGTTTAGGGTTTAGGGTTTACTGGTGGACATGCCCGATGGGCTAAGGTTGAGAGCCAGAGTTTAAAAGGGGGCGGGGGAGCAGCGGGGTAACGACACACGACACCGCATGACACCGAACCAGCCTTATCCTAAACCCTAAACCTTAAACCCTAAATCCTAAACCCTAAACCCTAAACCCAAAACCCTAAACCCTAAACCCTGACCCCCAAGCTCTCAAGTCTGCCTTCGCAGGGCCCAGCAAGGCCAGGCTTGTCCCCAGCAGCGCGGCAGCCGGCCGAAACCACGTCACCATGATCCTGTTCTGGGTTTAGGGTTTAGGGTTTAGGGTTTAGGGTATAGGGTATAGGGTTTAGGGTTTAGGGTTTAGGGTTTGGGGTTTAGGGTTTAGGGTCTAGGGCTTAGGCTTTAGGATTCCCTTTTGGCCCACGCGATGTGAAATCATACCGAGAAACCCAAGTTACCCATACACAGAACCCCAAGTTACCCACAACTAGGACCATGAGTAGGCCCTTATTCCCTGTTTTAGGGCTTAGGTTCCCTTATAAGCCCCTTTAAAAGAAAAAGGCTACCCTGTTTATTCCCAGTTTGCTCTTGGGTTTAGATTATAATCATGGCCTACGTGCCCCTTATCTTGGGGTTGCATGGGTACTTTGGGGTTCGGGCAGTTTCTGTTTGTTTCAGAAGTTTGTTTTCCAATGCACCTCTACTGGCCATGTGCCCAGGAATATTCGTGGGTATGTCTTACTTGTGTCTGCCCTCGCCGTGGCACTGACATACGACCTGAACCTCTACCCTGGCAGACTCCGCGAATGTGCAAGAGGGAGTGGGAACCAGTGGAAAACAGTTGCCGCGATGCCAGGTTGGCTCGCGAAAAATCCTTAAAATACGGCCTGAACCTCGACCCTGGACACCCTGAACTCGAGAAATCGGCAAGGAAGGCCCCACAAACCCCCAACCGCAAAGCCCAAAGACAAACCCCTAAACCCTAAACCCTAAACCACAGCAACCCTAAACCCTAAACCCTAAACCCTGACCCTGAAAGGATCCCTGCGGAGGGGTTCGCCCAGGCCTGAGCAGAGGGGCGGGGCATTTGTAGTGGAACGGCGCCGACTGGCGCAGTGCAGTCACCATTGACCTCACGGCGAGGCTTCAGAGGCTTGGGATGGTTTAGGGTTTAGGGTTTAGGGTTTAGGGCTTAGGGTTTAGGGTTGCTGTGGTTTAGGGTTTGTGTAGGTGTGATAGGGGTCAGGAGTTTAGGGTTTCCTGAGCATTTTGCCAGAAATGGTCTCACAGTGGTCGGTTGAAGGCCGCTCCCACTGAGGCTCTCGTCGGCTTGGGGCTTTACATTCTTAGGCTGCAAAGCTCAAAGGCTTCTGTTCGCGGCACAGCGCTGCTAGCCCAAACCCCACTCTAGTCCAGATTGCGCACTGGAAAAGCCGGTTGCCATTGCAACGACCACAAATACAACACCTCCCCGGCGACCCTAAACCCTAGACCCGAATTAAACCTTAAACCCTAAAACCTAAACCCTACAAACCCTATAAACCCTATAAACCCTATAAACCCTAAATTCGGGGGGGGGGGGGGGGGGGGGGTGTCGACTTGGAGCAGTCAAGAGACAAGTGATCTTCGATCCCTACGAAGACAGGCACGCCAAGTGCAGCCAGGGCAAACATCGTCCAAACGCGCACCTGGGCACTTTAGGGCCCAAGTAGTGCATGTTTAGGCTTTAGATACGTGTACCCTTGGAGGGAGGCTTCAAACGCCCGCAAGGACTCACCATGTCAGTCTTCGTAGAACCCACAACTGCTGATATTTATCCCCTTAAGCCCCCCTTAAGCCCCCCCTACGAAGTTGGGGGGGGAAGCAATGGCCCCTTATCGACGTTTCGTTATTTAGGGTTCTTAAGGGAGGGGGGTTCATGGGGGGGTAGGTACCTAGGGAAGCTTCAGGGAAGCTTAGGGAGCCTTGGGGAGTAGTAGGGGAGTATTAGGAAACCTTGGGTTACATACCCCCCTTGAACCCTCTCCCTTAAGAACCCCACGTATGATTTTTGGGGTGCAGCCAGCATGCCGCGAAGACGGCGCGTTCTGGCCCATACCTTGGTAGCCCAGCAACCATCTTTTGATAAGGGCACCCCTTTTTTGGGGTTGGCTAGTCTGCAAGGGAACCTTGAACCCCAAAAAAAGGTAAAACAGGGTACCGCTGGGCTACCAAGAGACCGTTCCAGCACGAAGGCTGTCACCGGTAGGATCAGCGCGACCACCACGCAAAGCCCAACCGACACGTCGATCCACCTCTGATCCTGGGGTTGGTAGGGTCTACCGGGTGTGCCGAAGAACCCAAAACCTGCAATCTGGGTAGGCTATTACGCTATTACTCTAACAAAAAAACTTCTAGCATTCCTAGGCAACCTACAAAAAGCACAGGTTTTGGGATGTAGGGCATGGCGTTTTAACGTTTTAGGGTCGTAGGCTCTGCTTGCCAGCAAACCCCCAGACCCTCGAGAACAAGTTCCGGCACCGGACCGAACCTTGGTCGGCAAGCGCCATCGAGGTCAAGGGGCATAGGCATACTTGGAGGTTACTTACTAACCAAACATAACTGCGCTTATAACTGTACCTATAACCATATTCGGGCACTTTGAGGGGCTTATAAGTGGGTTCTAAGTGCAGCTTTCATCGGTTCATAAGTACCATGAACCTCCAGGTAAGGTTAAACCCTAAACCCTTTGGACCCAGACTCCTGAAGTCAGCTAAACCCTAAACCCTAAACCCTAAACCCTAAACCCTAAACCCTAAGGTCAGAGCTTCGAAGGGCCCCCTTTAAGTAGCATCCAGGTGGCTGTAGAGCCACAAAAGACAGCACAGCTGCGGAAGCCCAGGGAGTGCCTCTAAGGTGCTCCACGCAGAAAAGGGGTTTAGGGTTTAGGGTTTAGGTGTACCGAGACATGCTCTCAGAGACCCGAATATATGCAGGAAATGCCACTTAACCTCTGTTGCAGTAGAGATGTTTTTGTTGGGGAGAGGCCCTGAAAATTTGAGGTTGGGAGACACGAAGTCTGCGGCAAACAGGTGCTCATCCTCTGCCTTTAGGGTTTAGGGTTTAGGGTTTAGGGTTTAGGGTTTAGGGTTTAGGGTTTAGGGTTTAGGGTTTAGGGTTTAGGGTTTAGGGTTTAGGGTTTAGGGTTTAGGGTTGAGGGTAAGGCCTGTTGCTTTGGGACCTGTGGTCTGGTGTATCTTAAGCTCTCTCAGAGACCGACTTGAACGCCTGCAAAGGCCTTCCTTCACTTAAGGGGTACAAGGACCCTTACAAAGAACCTCAGCGCGTTTAGGGGTAGAGGTTAGGGTTTCGGCTGTAGGTTGTTAGGGGATGTAAGGAGGGACCCCTAGAAGGGACCCGTAATCTTATCCCCTAAAAAAAAAACCTGTATATGTACCGTATATATTCCCTTGAATCACCCTAAAGCCAGCTCCTTCACCCTAAGCCCTTAAAGCCGTTGTACCCAGACGACTCTAGACCCTGAACCCTGGCTAGTGAAACCCTACACCCCCAAAGCCCCAAAAACCTACATAGAAAACTCTTGTGTGCCAACTTATTGTCATGCTATTGCAGTACTATACCCCTAAACCCTAAACCCCAAACCCCAAACCCTAAACCCTAAACCCCAAACCCCAAACCCCAAACCCTAAGCCCTAAACCCTATGGTATACCATTTCAAGCCCGGGCGCAGCGCAGCCAGAGCCCACAGGCTGGCGGCAAGGCCCGTCTTCACAATGAGGTCCGAGGTGCCGAAACCTGGGTTTAGGGTTTAGGGTTTAGGGTTTGGGGCTTTGGGGCTTTGGGGCTTTGGGGCTTTGGGGCTTTGGGGCTTTGGGTTTGGGATTTAGGGTTTGGGGTTTAGGGCGTGGGGTTTAAGTGTTTGGGGTGCAGGATGGCCCTTAGAGACCCTCTGAAAAAATCTTCCTACACGTGAATGATCCTCTTAGAACCCAATAGAGACAAAATACAACATATCCCAAGGGCCTACCGAGGGGTGTTCTGACACTTTAGGCGGTTTTTAGGTTTTGGAGGTTTAGGGTGCGCAGGGTGTTGGCATAGGAATCTAGAGTAGGAAACCCGAAACCCCAACCCCCAAACCCTAAACCCTATGCGGATTGAGTTCCATCAACTTCAGGATTCCTTCGAGTTCGGGCCTGTCTCGGGCCCGCCTATGGCAGGCGATCCTGTCATTCTAGCAAAGGCGACTTGGAATGCTTGAGAGCCGAAAAAGACTTGGAACTCGATACCTTCTAAACCCTTAACCCAAAACCCGAAACCCAAAACCCAATAAACCCAAAACCCTAAACCCTAAAGGGCCAGGCTGCGTTCAGGCGGATTTCGGGACACACAGCAGAGATGCTGCTCAAGCTTCAGAGGGCTCCGACTTGGGGTTTAGGGTTTAGGGTTTAGGGTTTAGGGTTTAGGGTGTAGGGTGTAGGGTGTAGGGTGTATGGTTTAGGGTTTAGGGTTTAGGGTTAAGGATTTAGGATTTAGGGGGGTTGGCTGCGCTGCAGAATAGGACCCAGGGTGTGACAGGTCTCCGGAGTTTCGATTTTTTCGGACAAGAAACAAGCTAGAGCAAGAAACGCAAAACCCTAAACCTAAACCCTAAACCCTAAACCCTAAACCCTAAACCCTAAACCCTAAACCCTAAACCCTAAACCCTAAACCCTAACCCTAAACCCAGTATTCGAGCGCCAAGATTCCCCGGATGTCCACGCCGGACTCGTATGCCCATCGAAGCCAGTCGTTGTAAGCTCCGGCTCGCATGAGCACGCGTATGGTGAGATCTATCTCGTCCTGAGCCAGGCAAGGCTACATGTTTAGGGTTTAGGGTTTAGGGTTTAGGTAAATGCTCAGGGTGCAAAGTTGCGAGGCTCGAAAGAGTGCCCGAAAGCTATGGTACTAAAAATGTCTGGGATAGGTTCCAGTTCAACTACGTGGGAAGCTGTGCAAGCTGTCGGCATTGACAAGGCAGAACAGCCCACCCTGAAACCCTAAACCCTAAAACCCTAAACCCTAAACCGGCCATTTTCAGTGGGGTGTGGAATGGGTGCCCATCACCTCAGCCCCCCTTTTGAAGCTGGACTGGATGACACCCTGAAACCCTAAACCCTAAACCCTAAACCCACGTTTGCCCCGGAAACCTTGCCCTGTTGCTGCAGGCTTGTGTCTGATCCGCTCAAGACCAAAACTGAGATCACGAGCCTTATAAAACCCCAGAAAGGCTGTCGCCTGCACAACATCTGTACACGTCCGGAGATTCTCGACCTCAGACCCTCAAACTAGCCCTAGCTGAAATGATGACAAATACGCGGTATGTAGGCCCCCAAACCCTAAACCCTCAACCCTCAACCCTGAACCCTAGGTACATGGACTTGTCTTCCTCAGCCCATCTCCCAACGCTTTGCCTCGCATCCCAGAATAGCTGCTCGGATCCTCTGTTCGTCCTTGGCTGGCCCTCCACACTCGCTGAATTCTACCCAGAGTCATTGACATCAGGGTTGCAGTAACCCTAAACCCTAAACCCTGAACCCTAAACCTGTTTAGGGTTCGTGGCACACGGGGAACCATGCGTGCAGCAGGCATCCGAGGGATCTGAGCATGTGGCATCGGCCACTGTGCTGCATTCCAGGTGGCTTGCTTGCCGGGAGAGTTCCTCGTCAGGGTTTACTTGAAGGTTCATGGTACTTATTAACCAATTATAACTGTACATACAACTGTACTTATAAGCCCCTTAAGTGCCCAAATAGAGTTATAATTTGGGTTATAAGTACAGTCGTAATTGGTTACTAAGTATCATGAACCTCCAAGTAGGGTTCAGGGCTTAGGCGAAGTGGGCCGTTTCCGTGCTTGCGGAGTCTTTGGGGGCTGGCCAGTGTGATGTTCGGGACTTGACGTGCGCTTCAAAGGGGATAGGCGATGGGTGGCCGAGCGACATGCCTCTTTCTTTAAGTGCTATGCAGTCCCTGTGGAATTGCTGGAATTAGCACGAGGCTAGAAAGATCCTAGCCAAAGCCAATGGAACAAAAGGCGCCTTCAACTCCAGCTGGTGCTGGTTCAACTGCGCAATGCGGAGTAGGTTGAAGAGGCACAGGACGATGGGAAGGAAGTAGTGCTGGAAGTAGCTGAATTGAAAACGGAATCCGGGCTCGAAACGCAACCATGGGAACATGGAGAACGTACCTAGGTAGGTTTAGGGTTTAGGGTTTAGGGTTGAGGGTTGAGGGTTGAGGGTTTAGGCTTTAGGCTTTAGGCTTTACGCTTTAGGGCCCAGTAACCATATTATCATAAGGGCACCCCTTTTTGGGTTGCTTACTTTTTCAGGGAACCTGGAACCCACAAAAGGGAAAAAAAGGGTTCCACTCTGGGCTCGCAAGGTGCATAGGAAGGGCACCCCTTTTTGGGTTGCTTACACAAGGGAACCCTGGAACCCCAAAACAAGGAAAAAAGGGTACACCCTAAACCCTAAACCCTAAACCCTAAACCCTAAACCCTAAACCCTAAACCCTAAACTGGGCTCGCAAGGTTGCAGAGGAAGAGAAGCAGGATGTGCCCCACCCTAGTGGTGCGATAGTGCTTCTGCCGCGAGCAGTCACAAGCCTTCAGAAAGAGCGAGGCTGCGAAGCCTTCTGTGGCCCAGTAGCCATCTTATGATAAGGGGTTTAGGGTTTAGGGTTTGGGGTTTGGGGTTTAGGGTTGGGGTTTGGGGTTTGGGGTTTGGGGTTTGGGGTTTGGGGTTTGGGGTTTGGGGTTTGGGGTTTGGGGTTTGGGGTTTGGGGTTTAGGGCTGGTTTCCTTGTAGGGGAACCAGAACAAAAAAAAGAAGGGTAAAGGGGTACCACTGGGCTACCAAGAAGCACAGTGCCGTCCACAGCGCAGTCCCAATTGCACACGTGAGCATTGTGATCGCCACCTTGGCAGCCCAGTAGCCATTTCTCTTTAAGGGACTTCTCTTTGGGGCTCGTTACTTTCTAAGAGAACCCAGAACCAAAAAAAAGAGTAAAGGGTACCACTGGGCTACCAAGCCACCAAGGGGAAGAAGCCCTTTCGGATTTCGGCGCGCTGGAGGATAAACCACCAGAGCCACCCCAGAAGCAGTCCAAGGGCTACCTTAGCTGTACTCTGCTTGGAACCTCAAAATAAGTTAATATTTTTTAGTACCCTCTTGGGGTTTATGTAAACAAAATAACAAATAATTCCCAAGGGGATGTAGTTAGTTGTCCAGTATCCTAGGGCCTAGGGGAACTAAAGCTTAACCTTTGGGAATATTCGATGGCTGTTCTATGCATGCATTATAAAATCCTCAGCCATAAAAGGCACAAGGACTTGAAACGACTGATCTCTGTACGACAAAGCTGTTGAGGGGGAAAACCGTGTCCCTTTGGGCCCGTGGACTAAAAACCCCCCCTTTGGGAATACGACAGGAATATAGGACCCCCGAAAGGTTAAAGGTAACCTACTCTACGACCAAGCTACCGGTACCAGCATCGTGCGTGTGATCTCGCCGCACTGCGTTGAGGTGTGGGGTCGCGCTGGCATGATGCAAGTCTTCTTCCAGCGGGTGCCGAGATACGCCTCATACACGCACCACAAGCCTCAGATGTGCTGGGATGAAGATGATGATGAAGAAGAATATGATGATGAAGTTGGGGGCAAGAACCTGTACGTACCTAGATGTGGATGGATGCCCGCCACGTGCTGGGAACCAGCAGCAGTGGCCCTGGAGCTATTCTCCTGATCTTAATCCCTGTTCCCCTAGGAAGAAAAAAGGATCCTTTTTGTTCATATACAAGAAAGCCCATAACCCAAAAAGTAAAAAGGATCCCTAACACTGATCGAGAAATATGAGCCCCTCATGAAAGACCTGCCCTTGCCAGCTTTTGCGCGCCTTTTCAGTTCTCTTTAACTTGAGCAAATCTAGCCCAAGAAGCGCGTGTAGATCCCAACACTCTCGTTCGGGATGACAAGAACATGGGAAGCACTCTGCATTGCCTTGGCAAAAGGGCTTTCCATGGGTGGCACATTCAGCAGCGCCGACACGTCCAGGTTCTGAGGGTTCGCCAGCAAACAGCAATACCTGAGCTGCAACACTTCTGGTGAAAGATATCCCTGTCCCACACACCACCTAAACTGAACTTGGAACCCTAGCAAAAATTTTAATTTTGGCTTGTTCTTGATAATTACAGTACCCAAAATAGTAAGAACTATGCCCAAGAATCCCCAAGCTCCCCACCCCCCGCCACCAAGCTCTGAGCCCTGACCCCCCCCCCATCGTTCACGGAGGCACAAGCTATGAAGGAACTGAAGACGCGGCCAGCCGCGGCTGACCTCTCGGCAAGGAGTTTAAGGTTTAGGGTTTAGGGTTTAGGGTGAGCTACCTCTCGGCAAGGGCGAGAAAGTGTCATTCCGCGCCATAAACGGAAGCAGAAACCTGTATCTCAGGGTTTGGGGGTTTGGGGGTTTGGGGGTTTAGGGTTTAGGGTGAGCTATTTGGGACCCCTTTCGAGATACATGTACACGTGCTTTAAACTGTTTGAGATTCATGTGGGTGGCTGTCAAAATTGTGATCCCTTTTGGACCCTAAAAATTAGGTGCCCTAAACCCTAAACCTAAACCCATGTTAGATTCAGTGTGACGTTGGTAGGCCAGCACTTGGGATGGGGTGGCCGCAACTCTGATTCAGGAACTCAACCCGATGAACATAAGAAACCCTAAACCCTAACCCCCTAAACCCGCAAACCCCTACAGTAGACCCCTAAACACCTAAACCCTAAACCCTATAAACCACGGCTGGGGCACCAGATCTTCTAGCTCGAAGATGCCTTCTGCCCAGGCGTGGGAAATGAAAACCTGAGACACGGGCAGCGGCATATTTTGGAGCTCTCTTGTCCCTGAGCCCCTAACCCTAAACCCTAAACCCTAAACCCTAAACCCTAAACCCTAAACCCTAAACCCTAAACCTTGTAGGGTTTGTACAAACAGCTGGCGTGCTTGCAGCGACCGTCGCTGGATGCTGCTGCACTGCACATTCCTACTGCCAACTGTTGAAACAAGGCTGGGTTTAGGGTTTAGGGTTTAGGGTTTAGGGTTTAGGGTTTAGGGTTTAGGGTTTAGGGTTTAGGGTTTAGGGTTTAGGGTTTAGGGTTTAGGGTTTAGGGTTTAGGGCTTGTGCACCTGGCAGAGAAGGCCATCGGGGTGCTTCATCAGGGCGTAGCTCATGCCTGGGCTGTCTCCCTTTGGCCGTTGATAGAATCTCTTGTCATGATGTTTCTCGGTTTTGCATGGCCGTTCTGTAGGGTTTAGGGGCTCAGGTTGATGTTTAGGGTTTAGGGTTTAGGGTTTAGGGTTTAGGGTTTAGGGTTTAGGGCTCAGGTTGATGTTTAGGGTTTAGGGTTTAGGGTTTAGGGTTTGAGGTTCCTAAAGATATTTGGTTTAGGTTTGGGCTTGGCCTCCGGCGGCCAGGGTGACGGGCTTCACGAAATACTCGTTGACGTGGTAAAGGTTCGGCCCATACCTGTGGTGATGTTATATTTTGGCCACAACAGAAAGCCCCCAGACCCTAAATCCCCCTAAACCCTAAACCCTAAACCCTAAACCCTAAACCCTAAACCCCAAACCCCAAACCCCAAACCCCAAACCCTAAACCCTAGACCCTAAACCCTAAACGCGCCTGGAGTTGCCATGCCGCGGCTGGTTGCCTTGGTCATCGGGAAGTCGCCCAGCCGTCCACAGCTGCCGTACCTGCGGCTTGCGGCAGGGTTTAGGGTTTAGGGTTTCGGGTTTAGGGTTTAGGGCTTAGGGCTTAGGGTCCTACTAGGATGGCCCGGAAACCTCTGCAAACTATTCGCCAAATCGATGAAACAAAAAGATATCCCTTAAGGGGCGACCGACTGAAGTCCAGGGTTTATAACTTTTCTTCGGAGTGGAACCTCCGCAATATAGTAGTTACTTCTCCGATAACCAAGGGGAAAAAGTATTACTACTAATTTGAGGAAACCCAAAAAGCACAACAAGTTTCAAGTTCAACTCTTGGCGAAGTAAGAATATGCCTGGAAGGTTGCACAGCTGTGCCTCAAGAGCCCTCCACACGAACGTTTGCAAGTTGGGATGTGTCCCCCCTATACGAACAGTCCTTAAGAGGGATTTTAGTACCCCCACTCCCTAATTCTAATCCCTATTCAGGATTGCTTGCAGAACTATACTGAACTTGGGACCCTAGCAAAAATTCAAATTCTAGCTCTGTTTCTCAGGAATTGAAGTGCCCAAACATTAGAAATGATCCCAAAGAATCCCTAAGAGAAGGGGGAACACCCCAAGGTCTATAGGATCTTGAGATATTATGTGGTCGCTTCTGAAAAAACTATGGGAAGGCGGCCTCTCTTATCTAGGGTACCCAACCTAGAACCCTCAACCCTCAACCCAACCCTAAACCCGTAACCCTAAACCCTGAACCCTAATGTAGGGTTTAGGGTTGACAGTAGCCGAAGCCTCTTGGGTTTAGGGCTTAAAGGGTTAATATAGCTTGGAAGAGGACTCCAAGCTGCACGGCAACCTAGATGCTCACAGGGGGTTGGTTTGGGATGTTCCACCTTATACGAGCAGTCCTTAATAGGGATTATAGTACCCCCCCCCCCCTATGATCATCCCTACACTAAGGACTGCCCGCATAAGGGGGAACCTCACAAGGGTTGGTCATGAATCCAAACCTTCCAGAAAAGGTAGAGAGAGCGAGTTAGGCATAATGTTGGGTGTCGTGGCTGAGATGTCCTTCAAGAAGAAGTTAACACTTCAATTCCTTGAAGGGGAGGGGCTTTCCACCACCAAAAGCTTGGCTTACCGAACCTGACACCTGACTCCAAACACTAAAACCCGAAAACCCCGAAACCCTATAGCTCTAAAACCCTATAACCCTTACAGCAGGTGGAAATCCCTAAACCCAAACGGCTCTAGAACTCACCCTAAACCCTGAACCCTGAACCCTGAACCCTAAGGCCCGAAACCCTACTTGCCGCAGCTGGGGCACGTCATTCACGAAAGCGTGGAACTCTGAGCGTGTCACGCCCCACCGCTCTGGGGGTACTTGCAAGTGGAGGTCCATGGAAGAGGCGGCTTCGCGCTTGGCTTCGGGTTTAGGGTTTACGGTTTAGGGTTTAGGGTTAAGGGTTTAGGGTTAAGGGTTAAGGGTTAAGGGTTTAGGGTTTAGGGTTTAGGGCGTAGGGTTTAGGGTAATTTTTTGGGGTTTAGGGTGTAGTATCATGTTCTGCTGTGAGAGCTACATAAATTACGCAAGATGTTTGTCATTTCTTGTCATGCATGCCATATATGAGCTGGTGGCCGAAATAACTACCACTATCATCACCCTATACGTCTCATTCAACAGGTCCTTCCTTTACTTGGCGGAATGAGGACCCCCAACTGCCTTTTACTGGGAAGTCCAGGTTTAGGGTTTAGGGTTTAGGGTGAGGCGTCAGGGTCCCGGATGTTTGGGAGGTCCGGTTTAAGTGGCCTGAACCCTAAACCTTTTTGTCCAGTATCCCAGGGGAACTAAAGGTTGACCTTTGGGAATATGAAGGGAAGATAAGACCCCCGAAAGGTTAAAGGTTACCTTCTCTACTACGAAACGCTAAACGAACCCTTTTGCAACAGGCTTCTGAGGTCCGCGCCCGGAGTGTGCTAAACGAACCCTAAACCCTAAACCCTAAATCCTCAACGCTTAGGTTTAGGGTTTCGGATTTAGGGGCTCTGGAAGATGGACATAAAGCTGGCCCCATGCGATACAATTATGGTGCCCCCGAATGCATAGGGTTTAGGGTTTAGGGTTTGGGGTTTAGGGTTTAGGGTTGCGTACCAAAAGAACGTACACCAACCCTGAATTCTAGGAACCCCAACAATGCTTTTACTCACCCCTTTTACATCCAGGCCTCTGAAGTCTGCCGGGCATTAATTATATTATGTAGGGCTCTTAAGGGAGGGTGGTTCATGGGGGGTAGGTATCTAGGGAACCTTAGAGAAGCTTAAGGAGCCTCAAGGAGTAGTAGGGAGCATTAGTGAACCTTGGGTTACATACCCCCTTTGAACCCCTCCTCCCTTGAGAACCCTCTCATTACGGGAACCCCCGACCGGTTTGACCACAACTGAGGTTGGTTTGTCTCAGGGTGGTTTCGTGGTCCCTTCATATGGGCCCTTAAAAGGGGACCCATTATATACCCCTTGGATACGCTATACAACGCCTTCAAAGAGGGTAAGGGACCACATTAAGGCCCCATGAAACTTCCCTTAGAGTTTGGGAACCCTATAACTGCCTATAACCATCTAGTTTTTTGTGGCTTTTTAAGGATCACGTAGGGGATTAGGTCTTATGTTCAAACCTACCCTTGTGTAGCATTCCGGAGCTTCACCTGCCTTCGGCTTGCTGGCCCTTTTTGCGCGCATTGAAACGACAGGCACCCACATATTTGTGAAGTACAAACATCTTCATAAAAAGGGTTTAGGGTTTTATATGGTTTTCATAGGGATTAGGGGACTTCCATCAAGAAGGCGTGTCCTGTGCGTTGGGTACCTGCTTGGCCCATGGCAAGTCTGAAAGAGCTTTCTTTTCCCACATTTTGTGGAGAAGCAAAAGCACAGCAGCAGACATCTTTAGGCAAAGGACGACTACCCACCCATTTTTTGTAACTCTCTACCCTCTTGCTGCAACCGATGCAAGTTTCTGTCCCCGCCCCTGCTGTTTTTATGCGATCTTTCCACGGTGAGGAGATCGGTGAGAAGGCAGCTTACAGCCAAGAAACTAGGAGCACGTAGGCGCAACATGGGCCCAAAGAACCAAGAATGCACGCTGGGCTCTTTTGGGGAGCCTGTGGGACCGAGAATTTCAATCAGCCTCCTACAGTCCTATACTGCAGGCTCTTGTCAGAAACGGCTGAAGTATCAGGCTGCTCCGCAGCAAGCAGTGGCAGTTGTTTGTTCACCGGCGCTGCCCCGTCATCTTAAGTCTCACCCTAAACCCTAAACCCTAAATCCTAAACCCTAAAGCCTAACCCGCTTGCTGTCAAGCTGCACTTCCAAACTGTAGTCTCAAACCCAGCTTCGTCCTGCTCCCTGGAGATTCCTGGTACTTATTAACCAACTAGAACTGTACTTGTAGGGTTTAGACGGTTTAGGGTTTAGGAATTCGGGTTTAGGGTTTAGGGTTTAGGGTTTAGGGTTTAGGGTTCATGTACTGATAACCCACTTATAGGCCTCTTAAGTGCCCTAATATGGTTAACAGTACAGATATAAGTACAGTTATATGTGGTTCATAAGTACCATGAACCTCCAAGTATACAGCCTTTACATTGAAGCCGCGCTGTTCGAGGAGTCTGACTCAGAAGTCTCGCCGGGACATGCAGGGCCTGATGGTGGTGTTTTCATGTGTGTGGTTCTCTGAGTTAGGGCCCTTGTTAGGGGGATTCCTTTTTAAAGAGCCGCCTTATCATGGGTACACAAAACGGGACGCTAATTTAGAAAACTACCCATGTGTTTCTGAAGTGGTTAGTCTGATGGCGAGGACCATCCGTCCACCTCACCATCCATGCCAGGCAGTCACATCTGTAGTGAGGGCGTAGGGTTTAGAGTTGAGGGTTTAAGGGTGATACCGAAGCCGTTGGGGAACGACCTGAAAACATGCGCAACGCCCTGGCATATTGAAGAACCTCCAGCTCCCCAGATGCTGGGTGCGGTGGCGGCACAAAGAGCGGACGGCCGCGCGTCAAATCGGCGCAAAGCCCCACCCCTGCGAAGTTTTGTCAGGATTTTCCATGCTTAAGGAGGTTTGGAGTGCGCAAGCTCAGGCTGCAAGCGCGACGAATGCTCTTGCAAGTCTGCCGTGGGGCAATCCTAAGCCTGAAGCTCAAAGTCTGGGCCGCAAGTCCGTGACTATCATGGTCCCAAAAGCTCGATGACCTCCACCCGAAATCATGGCCCATCGATGGCAAAAGACGCATGCGGTGAGGGGTGTTTCGGAGGTCCTTGATAGGAGGGTCATGGTACTTATGAACCACTTCTACCTGTACTTATCACCATATTCGGGCACTTAAGAGGCATGTACGTGGGTTCTAAGTACAGTTCTCCTTGGTTTAGGGTTTAGGGTTTAGGGTTTAGGGTTTAGGGTTTAGGGTTTAGGGTGGTTACTAAGTACCATGAACCTCCAAGATAGGAGGGTCTTAAGGTTCCGCCAAGTGGCACAGCTGCCACAGCAGACAACACGGCGACCATGGGTCTGAAAATAGACACCATAAACCTCACTTGCGGGGTTTAGGGTTTAGGGTTTAGGGTTTAGGGTTTAGGGTTTAGGGTTTAGGGACGGCCTTGTGCTGCTTCCTGGGCCCTGACTTGAGAGCCTAAGAGTTTCAGCGACATCTGGCCGGATGTCGCTTCAATGGTCAAGCCGCCATGGTTAGGGAAGCTGCATGGCTTGCATGGCTCAGAAGGGAGTTTAGGGTTTAGGGTTTAGGGTTTAGGGTTTAGGGTTTAGGGTTTAGGGTTTAGGGGCCCTTCACAAGCTAAGTGCCAAGCCATCCATACCACGGCGGGCACCAAAGCTCGTCATTTTGAGGCTCCTCCATTTCTTTCTCCAGAAAGTGCCTTCAACTGGAGGGTTGGCTCACTTCAAGGGACTAAGGAGGGGCCTTTACACGAGACCTTGGGGGTTCTTTCGAGGTTCTTTAGGGGCTACTGAGGTATATAGGGACGATATGAGGTGTATGTCGTAGGGGTTCTATAGGGGAATGAGATTAAGGGTCCCTTCTAGGGGTCCCTCCTTATGCCCCTGAATCACTTGAACCCGGCCTTAGAAAAAGTTAATTGTCTCTGGCTCTATAAGAATCACATAGAGGGTTGAGGGTCATAAAAAATGTCGAGCAAGTATGTTGAAACCTACCTCTGAAAAGAAAATCCTCTAGTAAGCATAATATACTACACACTTGGCACTGAGCAGAGGCCCTGCGCCTCTTGTGCATGAGGCCGTTGAGTATACTGGGGTAGGTTTGAGGGGCCTTATGAAAAGTAATTTTGCTTGGCTGTTTAAGGATTATGAAGGGGATGAAGGGTAATGAAAATACAAATTTTGTTCAAACCTACCCCTGTAGACCTGAGTTCAGGGTATAATGGCGTCGGGTTTTCGCTCAAACCATAGCAAGGATCCCTGTTCAAATTCTGTTCATGAAGAGGTGTATTGGACTCTCCGAACTACTGTAATTCAAGGGAGCTACCCAAAAAGCCCAATATTCCTTAACTAGGGAATATTGGTTAATTTATTTAGGGATCCTTAAAATGACGATTTAAGGAATATTCCTTAATTAAGGGATATTGGGCTCTTTGGGTAATTCAGAACCCTAAACCCTAAACCCTAAACCCAAAACCCTAAACCCTAAACCCTGAACCCTAAACCCATTCAAGGGAGCTAGAGTTTACGGCATGGCGGATGGCTGGGCGTCATCGCCCAAGTCCTTTGCATCCGTTGCGCTGGGAAGCTGCCCGCATATCACCCACGTGGGTTTAGGGTTTAAGGTATAGGGTTTAGGGTTTAGGGTAAACAAAAGACTAAAACTACCCACCGCGTAAACCCCAAAATGCCACAATAACAACAAATCTGTTCATACCTCCCCCCCCCCCCGCCCCGCCCCCTTCCCCCATTCAACAACCACAGTTGCTGGGTATGTACAACCCTAGATGTTGGGATGTTCCCCCTTATACACAAACAGTCCTTCATAGGGATTTTTGTACCCCCGATGAGATTCACTGTCAAGGTGGGGAACATGCCAACCCTATCTGTCTCAAAAGCAGCCCAAGTGGCATGGCTGTCAGAAGGTGCGTTTCGATCTGAACCAGCAATGGGATCCCCAAGCCAACTGATGCACAGTTCATCCACACCTTCACCTGGGCTGCCCAAAAAACCCAAGTCCTTCAACTAGCCAAATGTAAACCCTGGCAAAAGCCTAGGCCTAGTTCGCCCAAACCCTGAACCGGATGCGTTCTCAACTGTCGGGCAAACCGGGACGAAAACCGGTAAAACCGGCGCCTGGTTCGACACGACCGTCGAAGACTTGGCTACAGGGAACTGAGGGCCAGCTCCTACCTGAAAGCCCAATCCGCTCCAAACCCTAAGTAACACACTGCGTCGAGAAGCGGCAAATCCACTTTGGTGCTGACCTCTAAGGTGGAGGCGCCAGATTAACACCGGCGTCAGCATCGTCATGAGGATGGTGAGGGCAATGGAGAGGTAGAGCCAGGTGACGTTGCCAAACTGACATGAGAAGTAGTTGTCCGCGAAGCCGGCCGAGTCCACGATTGCTAGAACCCAGATAAGAATTGCGGTGCCCATCCTGACTCAGAAGAGCTCCCCCGCCCCCCCCGTCACCCAAAGTCTTTTCTTAACCCTTTTGCAGCAGGCCTTGGTTTAGGGTTTAGGGTCTAGGGTTTTGGGTTTAGGGTCAAGTTAACCCTAAAACCTAACCCTAAGCCCTTGAGCATTGCCTCTTTCGCGCTCCCTCTCGGTGGAGATCCCACACCATTCCCCCACATGCCCCTTATAGCAGTACGTATGTATTCACGCCCCACATCCATACCTGGTGGCTCAAAAGCTAGGGCTTCTGCTTCTTGTTGGAAAACTGACTTCCAAACTTGCTTGGAGGTTCATGGTACATACTAATCAAATGCAACTGTACTAGCTGTACCTCTAACCATATTAGGGCACTAAAGGGGCCTGTCTGAGTGGGTTATAAGTACAGTTATAATTGGTTCATAAGTACCATGAACCTCGAAGTGGGTGGGGATGGGCCCTTGTAAGGTAACGTATGGGAGGAATGTAGACTTTAGGGTTGCAGTGTTTTAGGCTCTATCCAGTCTCTGGCATGCAAGGGGGGCTGCTTAGGGTTTAGGGTTTAGGGTTGTTCATGCCAAGTGTCTTGGCCAGGAGGTCTGTGTTGCCAATCCCACTGATGTCCAACCCGGCTTCGAAGGCATTTCCTGATGAAGATACTCGTCTTCAGGGTTTCGGGTTTAGGGTTCAGGGTTCTCAGGGTTTAGGGTCTTGATTCCAGAACAGTGGTGGACTTTTGGGGAACGTCCGCAGGGTTTAGGCTCAGTGTCTGGGGCCGCGTGCGGGCAGAGCTATGTTGAACCGAACCTGCTGGCACATGGATGCTTCGAGCCTACCAAGGCGTGTCGAATGAAGAGCCCAGTGTGCCCAACACAGCATCTTAGACTTTGAAGTGTCAAGCGCCCACCCTTGCCCTACACACCGAACCATCTCAGATCTCTCTAAACGTACGACATGCAAGACGCACTACATCACTTGGGTCAGGCGCTTCGGCTCTGTCTTTTGAGGGCCTGGCTCAAAATCTGAGGGTTTAGGGTTTAGTGTTTAGGGTTTAGGGTTTACGGTTTAGAATACTACACAAACTGAGGCATCTAAATTTGGCGCCGACCAGCCGCTGTAAGCAAACGCAGATACTGCAGACCGTGCTTTCTTCTTCACTAAACCGTTCCGCCCTAAATCCTAAACGCTAAAGATCTTAAACTTTAGCCCTATATATTATATATAGTAAACAATCACCATCGTCACAACAAAAACCTAAATTGAAGCCATGCTGTTCTCTCAAGTCGCGAAGGGAATCGTTGTAGGCCCCTGCTTTCATGAGCACGCGGATGGTCAGATCGACGTCGGCCTCTAGCAGACTCTAGCACCAGGGCGACTGCGGGCTTGATGTGGGGGTTTACGAAAATAAGGGACCCCCAAAATACACCCCCCCCCCCCCAAATAGTAGGATTCCCTCAGAACAACCCCCGAGACCTAGAACCTGAGGGTTTCGGCCTGAAGGTTTAAAGGGCGCTATTTAGGGATATCCATGGCTGCAGCGAGATGCAGTGTGGGTTAAGTCAGCGGCTGAGCATTGCCAGGGTACAGTTCGAGCCACCGGCGTTGTTGAGAGTGTGTAAGGTTGCTTGGGCAGAGGTCTCAGTGGGGTTTGGACCCTAAACCCCTAAACCCCTAAACCCCTAAACCCCTAAACCCCTAAACCCCTAAACCCCTAAACCCTAAACCCTAAAACCCTAACCCCTAAACCCCTAAACCCTAAACCCTAGACCCTGAACCCTAAACCCTAAACCCCCGAGAATCTTAAGGGACCCGGATGGGTCCCTTTATAACTGTACTGCAATAATCCCCAAAACCTATCCTAAGTATTCAGGCCCCTATATTGCACCAAGAGAACCCAAAACTACGGAATCATGTCTTGGGTGAGAGGAGTCCATTGTAAACCGTAGCGTGGAAGAGAACCTTCCTTCAACCTCCTTTCTTCCTTGTGCCCCTGCTGTTAACCCGAAACCCTAAACCTTAAACCCTAAACCCCCTGCTGAATTCACAGATAGCCCGCCTCGTGACCGCGGATGTCCTCCCGAATCCGCAGCTCATCCGTGGGGTTTGTGCAGGTTGCCTGGTGTAGGGTTTAGGGTTTAGGGTTTAGAGTTAAGGGTTTAGGGTTTAGGATGGTTTAGGGTTCAGGGTTTAAAGTTAAAGGATTTAGGGTTTCGGGTTTGGCTGCACCACACGCTGGGTCTGCAGCTTGCGGCCTCTGCGGGTAAACAAAGATGTGTCAAGGACGCTCCAGAGCCGAAGTATCTTATCCACGCCCCTAAGGGTCCTTAGGGTTTAGGGCTACACCCCAACCCCCTAAGGGTCCATGTACCATGTTCTTATAATACTTGGGCCCGAAAGTCCCTGTATAGGAGGCACTTTGAGGGCCCAAGGAGTCCCTATTTAGGTACATGGACCCTTGGGGCTCTATATTTACTGATGCACTTCTAAATCACATAAGTTGAAGTAAACATATGTTTTACTTCAAGTATATGTACACTTATCCTTCTGTACATATGGAGTTGAGGCCGTGCTAGCACCTGGGCAGATTGGAGACTCAATGCCAGGTTGGCTCACTTCAACCCTTCCTGAACTACTCCTGAACTAGTTCATGGTTGGGATAATATTACGAAATTTAAGTTTTTATTCCTTATGGGGTTTAAGTACCCTTAAGCAATGTAAAATGGTACCCAGCTATGACAAAGTGAAGGGGTTGGGGCGTTTTTGTGCCACCTGCCAAGCAGCCTCGAAAACAACACACTGCGGCTTAAGGGTTTTTTTGCCACCCGCCCGCCTAGGTTTAGGGTTTAGGGTTTTTTTTGGCACCCGACTAGCCACGGCACAGCGGGGTTTCTAAGTTGGTCTCGGAGAACTCGAAAAGGAACCCAGGCAAGACTTAGGCTCACCTTGGGAAATCGGTTTCGGCATTCAGGGCAGGAAATGATCGTCAAAGTGGTCCTCCCGCATCCTCCCTCAACCAGATCGCTCACAGAAAACAGCACCCCCAGTCCAAACACAAAGTTTGGGTTTAGGGTTTAGGGTTTAGGGTTTAGGGTTTAGGGTTTAGGGTTTTTTTGCCACCCGCCTAGCAGACCCGCTCTGGGATCACTCCGCAGGGAGCAGTCGTGTTTCTCGTTGTCAAAGCTCGCAACAAGGGCCCCGAGACGCCCTAATCTCCGGAAAACCCATCAAAAAAAAACTTTTTTCCAATCAAAAAAAAACTTTTCCCGACCAATCTAAAAAAAACTTTCCAAAGATCAAGAAAAAACTTTTTTCTAATCAAAAAAAACTTTCTTTGGGTATTTATAAGAGATCTAGAATGAATTTATTCGAGAAGCGGGAATCAAAAAAAAACTTTTCCTAATCAAAAAAACCCATTTGCAAACACAATGCTCACACGATGTTTTTCAACTAGTTTCTTGGGCTTTGAAGCACGCTTGGTACGGCTTAAAAAAAGCGGGGGGGGGGTTGGGGGGGGCGCAGCCCCAGCCCCATTTGCAACACCCTGCTCACATGATGGGTGTCAACAAGTTTCTTGGGCTTTGAAGCACGCTCTGCACGGCTTAAAAAAAGCGGGGGGGTTGGGGGGGGGGCAGCCCCCCCCCATTTGCAAACACAATGCTCACACGATGTTTTTCAACTAGTTTCTTGGGCTTTGAAGCACGCTTGGTGCGGCTTAAAAGAAGCGGGGGGGGGTCACGCTCTGCACGGCTCAAAAAAAAGAGGCGGGGGGGTTTGGGGGGGCGCAGCCCCCCCCCCCACTTGCAAACACAATGTTTTTTCAACTAGTTTCTTGGGCTTTGAAGCACGCTTGGTTAGGGTTTAGGGTTTAGGGTTTAGGGTTTAGGGTTTAGGGTTTAGGGTTTAGGGTTTAGGGTTTAGGGTTTAGGGTTTAGGGTTTAGGGGTTTAGGGTTAGTTTTAGTTTTAGGGTTTAGGTTTAGGGTTTAGGTTTAGGTTTTTAGGGTTTAGGGTTTAGGTGTTAGGGCTTTGAAGCACGCTTGGTACGGCTTAAACAAGCGGGGGGGGGGGTGGGGGGGCGCAGCCCCAGCCCCATTTGCAACACCCTGCTCACATGATGGGTGTCAACAAGTTTCTTGGGCTTTGAAGCACGCTCTGCACGGCTTAAAAAAAGCGGGGGGGTTGGGGGGGGCGCAGCCCCCCCCCATTTGCAAACACAATGCTCACACGATGTTTTTCAACTAGTTTCTTGGGCTTTGAAGCACGCTTGGTACGGCTTAAAAAAAGCGGGGGGGGTTGGGGGGGGCGCAGCCCCAGCCCCATTTGCAAACACCCTGCTCACATGATGGGTGTCAACAAGTTTCTTGGGCTTTGAAGCACGCTCTGCACGGCTTAAAAAAAAGCGGGGGGGTTGGGGGGCAGCCCCCCCCCCATTTGCAAACACAATGCTCACACGATGTTTTTCAACTAGTTTCTTGGGCTTTGAAGCATGCTTGGTGCGGCTTAAAAGAAGCGTGGGGGGGTCACGCTCTGCACGGCTCAAAAAAAAGAGGCGGTGGGGTTTGGGGGGGCGCAGCCCCCCCCCCCACTTGCAAACACAATGTTTTTTCAACTAGTTTCTTGGGCTTTGAAGCACGCTTGGTTAGGGTTTAGGGTTTAGGGTTCAGGGTTTAGGGTTTAGGGTTTAGGGTTTAGGGGTATAGGGTTTAGGGTTTAGGGTTTCGGGTTTAGGATTTAGGGTTTAGGGTTTCGGGTTTAGGGTTTAGGGTTTAGGGTTTAGGGTTTAGGGTTTAGGGTTTAGGTTTAGGGTTTAGGGTTTAGGGTTTAGGGTTTAGGGTTTAGGGTTTAGGCTTCCTTCCTTCCTTCTTTCCTTCCTTCCCTCCTTCCTTCCTTTCTGCCTTCCTTCCTTTGGTCCTTCTTCCTTCCTTCCTTCCTTTCTTCCTTTCTTCCTGTCTTTCTTTCCTTCTTTCCTTCTAAAACCTACAAGAAATAACGCTTTCCTATGAAAATACAGAGGGAATTACGGCTTTTCGTACGAAAAACCACGAAAATGCATCAAATCCTTTAAAAAATATAGAGGGAATGGTGGTTTTCTTAAGACAAACCAAGAAAATCGACAAAAAAACCAAAAATAGGCCCTCCCCTCAAAACGCTTGGAAACTTTACGGGAGTTTAGGGGCCTCGAGAAACTTAGAAACTTTAGGTGAGTTTAAGGGCCTCAGATTGCTGAGAGACGTTAAGGGAGTTTAGGGGCCTCAAGAAACCGAGAAACTTTAAGAGGGTTCAGGGGCGTGAAAACACTTCGAGACTTTAAGGGAGTTTAGGGGCCTCAAAACGCTTAGAGACTAGGGGCATCAGGGAACTTAGAAGCTTTACGTGAGTTTATGGGCCTCAAAACACTTATTAGAGACTTCAAGGACGTTTAGGGGCCTCAAAACGCCTAGAGACTTCAATGAAGTTTAGGAGCTTCAAGAAACTTAGCAACTTTAAGTTAGTTAAGGGGCCTCAGATTGCTTCCTTCCTTCCTTCCTTCCTTTCTTCCTGCCCTCCCTCCTTCCTTCCTTCCTTCCTTCCTTCCTTCCTTCCTTCTTGCCCTCCCTCCTTCCTTCCTTCCTTCCTTCCTGCCTTCCGTCCCTCCCTTCCTCCTCCCTTCCCTCTTGTCCTCCTATCTGAAAAAGGAAAGTTTTTTTTTGATTGGAGAAAAGTTTTTTTTTGATTGGAAAAAAGTTTTTTCTTGATTGGAAAAAAAGTTTTTTTTTGATTGGCATCCCCTCCGGTCCCACCTCCCCCGAGCGTTCACGAGAAACTAGTAAGGTCATACAAATACTGGACAACCACTTATTAAGCATGCAGTGTGTGGCCTGGCACCCGTATATTTGAAACACGATAGAGCAGATCACGCTGGTGTCTGACCTCATGCTCGCCACTGGCCAAACCATAGGGCTTACACCACAACCGTCCTAACCCCTAGGGTTTATACAGCGCAACATTGTCATAGCAGTGCTGGCCTGGGAGATCCCAACACAGCAAGAATATGAATAATCAGTACATGAAAAGAGAAACTGTGTCCACGTATTGATCTCCCAGCTCCGAACTGCAGTCTTCCAGTCGCAATTGATAGCGCCGTCCCCCTCTTCTCTGTCCCCTCCCCACGGTCTCTGCAGGCCCCCGGCTAGACTCTACATCCACTACTGGCAAAAGCCAGACGCGATCACAAACCCTTTCGGACCTGCTACCTCAGTGGGGCGTGCGTTTGAATTACGAGTTAGTTGTTAATTGCAACAGGCACACCTGATCTACTTCAGCAGCCGCAACAGAGAGTCAGACACCGACAAGGACACTACGAACGTAGGTACATCTACTACGGGGCGCCTGCTGCCGAAGACTTCTCGGGTCCTGCTTAGGACATTCTTGTTCTTGTGGGAGTGACCTGTATCTACCCAACGGAAGCATCAAACCACCCAACATCGATCCTACAACAGTTGACGCTACGCCCGTTCATCCACTCCACAGTCCTCCGGGTGTTGAGTCGCTGCGTGAAATGAGCCGATGGTGGACTTTTGTTTCAAACGGTGTCAAACAGGACCTCCAACAGTACAGATATGCCTAACAGATGAATTACACGGTCAGTCCACTTGCGGTTTCTTGTTCAAAGTAGCACCCGGGGGTGTCTTCCAGCCCTACCTACAGCACATGTCTGCTCAGTGTGGACGTTTTGTTTTTCAAAGAGGAGCATCAACACACCCAACAGCCATCCGCAACAGTTGAACCCATTCGCATACGTCCGTATCGAGGCTATCGGGACATAAGGGGGTGAGTCACAGATCTCCGAAGAACCGAATAAGCAGCTATGTAAGAAAGGGGGGAAGGGAGACCCAACCTAATGCAATCATTTGTTCACCCCCCGACGCTAGTGACTCTCTCTCTCTCTGCCGCGCCATCCCCTAGGGTCTTGCTACGCAAGGGCACGAAGAGCAGGCCGGGCTCTCAGGAGGCTCAAAATGACCGCAGAACCTCCCTCATTCGCCTAGCCCACTCCATGGGACAAGAACTGACCTCGACAACCACACTTTGGGCCGCCAGGTCTCGACTGAAACACGGGCACTGAGCCTTGCAGACTGACTGAAACTCTCCTGCAATCAACAGTCTCACCGAAAACGTCCTGCTCAGAAGGTTGGTCACAACCACTGCACACACATTCATCAAGCCTGAGTCATGCGTCTCCCAATGCAGCCAGCCATCACATCGCCGCAGCGTGCTGAGAATCAGGGTTCCATCCGGCCGCCGACTTACAATCCAAATTTCTTGCCCAAGAAAAGTGCCCTGTACATCACGCCAACGTCTCCCCAAGTGATGGCTCTCAGAGACCCACTGGACATTGTACCGACACTCAAGATCTCCCATTCCACATGAGCTCAGCCAATCAGGAAGGTAGGACGCCCATAGCTGCCTGTCATGGGCCGTGACAGGTTGGATGCCTCGCTGCTCCAGGAATGAGAGCAACCTGCGATGCCCAAAGTTTTGAGGTCCAGTCCTCGCCGCCCTGGCACCTTGAAGTCTAACTGAAGATCGAAAATGGAGCACAGCCTGAGACATCATGCCCTCTCTGTCACGCCGGAAAACATGACCAGCCCAATCCCACACCATACGAGCATGCAAGTGATCCCACCTCTCTGAATAGCACCACAGCCAGAGCTTACACGCGTGGCGAGAGTGAGAAATACCCTCAGGAACAGGATTGCTGAAATGAGCTGCAACTCTCAGCATCCAACTGATCAAAGTGACATGGCCAACACGAAGCTTTCTGAAATTTGCATCACTGGCAGGAACAACGCACAATAACCACCTGATGGCCGAGGTAACCAGCGAAGAAAACATCTGGAGGCGCTTTCGTCTCGACACTCTGAGGTGACCCAACAAGATCTTGTTAGAGACATACGCTGCCATCGCCCTCCGCATAAGATCGGACATGATACTTGTGTCGTCATCCTGAAACCTCAACATGATGCCAACAAATCTTGCCTGCAACTCGTGAGGCAGGCCTGGCAAACACTCCAAATTCCCAGGTGCAGTCAAGCCCAGAGTACATGTTTTCTTGACATTGATGCGCAAGCCCAAACTAGCCAACGTAGATACGACAGTCGGCATTAACCTCCCAAACTGAGAGGGGTTCAAGAAGAAAAGTGTAGTGTCATCCACAAACCAGATGCCCCACATACTGAATGGCCCCGCATAAAACGGAGGGGACTCACCGTCAGCTTCCCACGACTCTGTCAGGACATCAAATCTGTCCGAGACGAGGTAGCTAAAAAGCACCGGTGAATGTGTCGCACCTTGCTGCGTGCCAACGGACTGAACTTGAGTCCACTCCTGGTCGAACAAATGAAAAACCAAGGTTGAATGGGACAGAATGTGCTGAATGACTTTGGCAGACTTGCCAGTAGAGCTACTCCATCGCTTCGCCAACCATTGGAGCACAGCCGAAATCTTCAGACTGTCATACGCCCCCGAGATATCCAATTTCACTGCCACCACAGGAGCCCCCATGATGACAGCTTCCCTGACAGCTAGTGACTGGCATGGCACATCAATTAGTACCTCGAATTTTCCCAAGCTCAGCACTCCTCTTGCTTGTGCCTTTGTCTGTGCCCCAGATTCAGCGGTTGTGGGATCCGTCTCTCTGTCTGACGTTTTGCTCCATCATGAGTCGCAGAGTGGCTGCCACCAAGTTGATTCGCTCATGGGCTTGTCTGACTGATACACGCTCTCTTCGATGCTCCTGCCAGAGTTCCGGGGCCGTGCTCTCGAGATCCCTGATGAGTGCCGCGAAAAAAGATCTCCAGAGCATTTCGTATGCTCTGGCCGACTTGTTCACCCAGTAAAGCCGAACTATCTTAGGCAAGAGTGCCTGGCACGTCTTCTGATTTTGACCCAAGTAAGGGCTGTACTTCCTCATGCATGTTCAGATGCTCACGATCGCATGTCAAGCAACGGCTGGTTTCGCCGAAGTCATGCATGTTCAGATGCTCACTGTCCTGGTGCAAAGTCCGGATTTGGAGTCGGCTTCACAGGCACCTGGTCGAACTTCGGAGAGTTCTGGGCATCAAAGTAGCTGTTCGCTGCCGCTCGATACTCCACATCTGGTCTAGCAGGTATGGTAGTACCCTGGGTAACAAGCCCTTGGAGATACATGCCTCTCGAAACTATCCAAGCACCTGTGTCATGGCCGACCAGCGAATTGTTTGCCGGAATGATCAAGTTGCCAGGAGGGCTCGAGTGAAATGCGGATTTCCAATTCGACACCTCGGCCTCGATGTCCAACTTGTTCCCAAGCCAGTGAGAGCATCCAAGCCTAGCGCTCCACCATCAGCCATCTTACCCAACTTGCACCACGTAAAGTGCATGTTGAGGTAAGCCCTGGAGCCAAAATTAGCCGGGGTTTAGGGTTTAGGGTTTAGGGCCTAGGGTGTAATGTCGTTTAGGGTTTCGCCACTCACACTCACACTAAAGCGCAGGCGAGGATTCTGGCACGAGCTTGCGGTGAAGTTTGAAGGCGTACAGACTCCCACACAAATTGCACACAAGCAGGATTTCATCAACAACATACACCTGACATGGGGGCCCGAGCGCATGAAACTGAACCGTGACCTTCCTAGAACAGGGGGGGAAGGCACCTGGAGCCCATGTGTCAGGAAGGGCGCGCTCCCCATAATCCGGGGAACATAAACGGATAAAAACAGCTACGCAGCCGGCCCGTGCAACTTTCAGGATTTAGGGCATAGGGCCTTAGTGCCCAACACCCTAAGCCCTGAACCCTAAAGCCTAAACCCTAGTGCCCAACCAAGGGAAAACATCACGATATCTCAAGATGTGAGCCTCGTCCAGTGTCCGGATCTGCAAGTGCCCGGCCTCAGCTCAATGGCAATCAAGCTGGCGCTGGAACTAGACTCCACTAAACTCTCAACCCTAACCCTAAACCCGAAACCCTAAAACCCAGTGGGCTTCAGAGTAACCTAATACAGGGGTAGGTTTTGGGGTTAAAAGGGGCTTAAAGCAAGGAATTCGGATCTTCTCGGGGTCCTAGAAACACCCCAACAGACGATCTGCAGCAGCATGGCAGTACAGGGGACATGAGGCTCATTCCCTATACTGAGCTAAGAGACACTATTGCTCTAAAAACCCCAAAACCCTAAACCCGAAACCCTAAACCCTAAATGGTGAGCGCCAATACCAAGGTACGAAGAAGAAGGATTGGGCTTGCCTTTGTGAGGCTAGCTAGCTGCGTGACCCTCTTGCGTCCTCCGCAAGTCAGTGCCAGTTTTGACTGTAAATAATATCGTGATTTGTTTTTTTCTTGTTCAATGGCACTGGCCATCTATGTGAGTTAGTGGACACCCTGCTTTCCATTAAGCTGCAGATTCTGCAGCCGAAGATGAGTAGACCCGTGCAACTCGCCTCTATCGGAATCCGTTCCATAACTGCAAAAAAAACCTGCCAAAAGACAACGCAATACAGTCATACGAAGCACTGAGACGCTAGGCCGCTAGGCCGAAGCATGCACATGAGTCCAGAGCTGCTTCTCTCTCGGTTGCTGCGGTTATGCAAGCTGCGTCCTGGCACATTCCCTGAACCCAGATCTTCCAAAACCCCTCATTTAAGGAATATACCCTAATTCAGATTAATAATCCTTAGTAGAAAATAGAGTCTATTCCTTAATGAAAAGGGGTTTTGGAGGATCTGGGAACAAACGCTGAAAACCCCGCCGAGCAGCTTGAGTCGAGAGCTCCAAGCCCTCCAGGCGCTGCTGGTTCAGCTGGGAGATGCGCAACAAGTTGAAGAGAACCTCTAGGTCATGGTTAGGAGAGTGGGAAAAATGCAGCGTTCTATTCCTTATTGCCTTATTGAGTTTTAAGTACCCTTCAAATTTGGAGAGTATGAAAAATGTAATTTGCCATTCCTTATTGAGTTTAAGTACCCTGAAAAATGTAAAATTCTTACCCCACTATGACATAGGAACAAGCGCCAGCGGGATGAAGTAGTGTAGGAACTGTTGCCAGGGGGACGGGTATTCTCGATGCTTCATGATATACCAGGCGCAGGCCACCGTCGTGCACAACGAGAGCAGCAGGATGTGCAAGGTCCGGATGACCATCATCTTCACCCAAAGACGGCATGGCTTCGTAAACATGAAGGCGGTCACTTTCATGGCCAGCGAGACGGCAAAACATAGGGCAGTGACAGTGACGCACAGGAACATGAGCATTGTGGCCATCTTGTGTGTGAGAACTCGATTGTCGGAGAGGAACAATAACCACGCAGACCCCAGCAGCAGGCCAAAACCAGCCGGCAATATGATGGTGCGTGCCTTGGTGGCTCCTTCATCTGTGAACACCTCTATCTCCCACCTATATATACATATGTATACATATATGTATATATGCACATGTGTTCATATTTAAATTTTGCATTTGTGGGAGTGTTGCTCTTATCGGACATAATTTCGGGTTCCAAGCGAACGCAAAAGCAGCCAGAAGCAGTTAACGACGTGCCCAGGCGCAACAACTGACCTCCTGACCACCTTTTTCGGTTGTGTGGGCATGAGGCAGGTCTTGTGCCAGCAGGTTCCCAGATAGGCTTCGTACACACCTTGTCCAGGGGAAATGGGTTTAGGGTTTAGGGTTTAGGGTATAGGGTTTAGGGTTTAGGGTTTAGGGTTTAGGGTTTAGGGTTTAGGGTTTAGGGTTTAGGGTTTAGGGTTTAGGGTCAAGGCCTACCCTTAGAAGCACGAGGGGGTCCATGGCTGGCTGTTAAAGGCCCTTGATGGCCGTTGTCGCGTGGGGGGGGGCTCTTGCCAACACGACCGGTTGCTATGGCAGTGTGCATCTGGGACTTTGGGGTTTAGGGTTTAGGGGACTTCCCCTAGAAGTTTTATGGGCATTTGCTGTCGCTTTGCAGCAGGTCTTGGGCCAACAAAAGGTGACTTCGCGACCCAGGCACACCACAAACGCGTGTAGATGCTGACAGTTTCCTGAGTGCTTCACAAGAAAACGTCCGGCACCCTCCGGCCCTCCGGAATGAACCGGGCAAGTACCCCAAAAAAGAACCCTAAACCCTAAACCCTAAGCCCTAAACCCTAAACCCTAAACCCTAAACCCTAAACCCTAAACCCTAAACCCTAAACAAACCAAAAAGAAGCAAACAAAAGAAACAAAAGGCCAGGTCTCGTTCGGGATGACCAGCACATGTGATGCGCTCCGCATCGCCCTTGCGAACGGGCTCTGCTTCGGTGGTCCGCTCAGCAGCTGTCCGATGTCCAGGTTCTGTGGGTTTGCCAGCAGGCAGCAGTACCTTAGGTTGGCTCATTGAATTAGGGCTTAGGGTTTAGGGTTTAGGGTTGAGGGTTTAGGGTTTAGGGTTTAGGCTTTAGGGTTTTGAGCATCCCAGAAAGACACAACGAGCCCTTAGACTTAGGGCGATCAACCCTCCCCAAACCCTCAACCCTAAAGTAACCCGCTCCCTCTCCAAAACCCTCAACCGTCAATCAATCCTGAACCCCCAAAAAACGCTGAAGTCCTAAAGCCCGAAACAGAAGCCCCAACACCCCCAAAATCCTTGCTCCTCGAACCCTAACGTGACAAACATCCCTAACAAGAAAGCCATCGCAAGGTAGACATCACGCCTTAAGGGTCCATGTACCTGATTATTATTGTATACTTCGGCACCAAAGTCCCGGGTTTGAGGTTTAGGGTTTACCCATAGCCTCCAATGTAGTTCCTTTTGGGTTAGGTATAAGGGATTCTAGTATGCTTCCCCAAAAGGTACTACGTAGGAGCCTGTGGGTAGGGTTTAGGGTTTAGGGTTTAGGGTTAGGGGTTAGGGGTTAGGGGTTAGGGTTTAGGGTTTAGGGTTTAGGGTTTAGGGCTTAGGGTTTAGGGTTTAGGGTTTAGGGTTTAGGGTTTAGGGTTTAGGGTTTAGGGTTTAGGGTTTAGGGTTTAGGGTTTAGGGTTTAGGGTTTAGCCCTAAACCCTGATTACATTGCAACCGGACTGTAATCGACTGCCAGGAAAAGAACACATCTCTGAAAAACCCTGTGCATCGCCGAGCCAAGTCTGAGGGATCTCCGAGATTCGCAACGCCAGTACGTGGTTTTAGGGTTTTGGGTTTAGGGGTTTAGGGTTTAGGGTTTGGGGTTTAGGGTTTAGGGGCTTAGGGTTTAGAGTTCATGACACCATTCGCATCAACCCACTGGGACTCACAAGGAAAATCCACCACCAGGAAGTCCCAAAACCCCGTGCGCTTATATTCAATGTCAGCAGCACTGGTGTCCGATTCCAGCACGCCCCAAAACCCTCAACCCTGAACTCTTTTGCAGCGGGCTTGTGTGAGACCTCGCCTGAACCCTAAACCCTAAACCCTAAACCCTAGACCCTAGACCCTAGACCCTAGAGCCTAAACCCTAAACCCTAAACCCTAAACCCTAAACCCTAAACCCTAAACCCTAAACCCTAAACCCTAAACCCTACTCTAGCTACATGTGCCCTTAGATAATGTGTCGAGGTGCATGTTTCGTATCCCTTGCAGGCGAGGCCATGCCCGCCAGACCTCGGCTGGGATTTGGGGGTTTGGGGTTTAGGGTTTGGGGTTTAGGGTTTAGGGTTTGGGGTTTAGGGTCTAGGGTTTAGGGTTTAGGGTTTGGGGGGGGGGGGGGGGGGGGGGAGAGGGTTAGGGGGTTTTGGGTGTAGGGCTCCTTGGACCTAAAGGTACCTCATTGGAATAGGGTTTTGTAGGTTCGGATAGTAAAGGTATGTAGGGACCATAAGGGCATACTATGTGTCATTCTTCTGACCTCTCTGCTAATGGTTTGTGGCTTAGGGACAAGGATTGGGGTGGTTCTAGGGTTTCCAGGCTTTAGGGTTTCAGGGGTTTCAGGGGTTCAGGGTTTAGGACCGTTAAAAAATCAGGGTTTTGGGATGTTTAGGCTTTTCCCTGCCCCTAAGGGTACTTGGGCCTCAAAGTCCCGAAATAAGAGGTAGTTTTACTAGACCCGGAAGTAACCTAGGAATATAAAGGGTACCCTTTTTGGTTTTCAGGGGATTGTAAGGAAACCCCAACCCCCAAAAAAGGAAAAAAGGGCCTACTCCCGGTCCTAGTTTATTTTAAGGCCAAGTAGTCCCTATTTAGGTACATGGACCCTTCGGATAGAAGAAGCCAGCCCCGAAAAACGAGGTGAGGTATCTGCAGGCTCTACTTGAGAGGTACAAACCCTAAACCCTGAACCCTTTTTGTTTTTGAACCTGGAAGCTGCTTCATGCCAAACCCTAAACCCTAAACCCAAAACCCAGGCAATCTACATGTAGCCCTGTGTACAACTACCCTTGCGCCTTCCAGGAAACTTAGGTCCGATAAATTTCACGGAAGGGGCATCCTCCAGTGTGAATGTTGACCCAACTTCCACCCCTCCAGTGTGGATGCTCGGAAGTCCCAGGGTTCCCTACTAGGTTCGGGTTTAGGGTTTAGGGCTTAGGGCTTAGGGTTTAGGGTTCTAAGTTAGGATCCCTTTTTTGGTCGCCCTGAACTCGAGACTGCGCATGATCATTTTTTACCGGCTTGTAGCCCATATTACTCTTCAAATGCAAAGGCACCGCAACTCTCGGGTACATTAACATTCTACAGGTACAGGGCCACTTTGTGTACAGTATAGACACGGTTTAGGGTTTAGGGTTTAGGGTTTAGGGTTTAGGGTTTGGGCCGAGCTGCTAAGTCCCCAAGCTCAAAGAGGCCCTCTGCCCAAGCGTGGGAGATGAAGACCTGCAGCCGGTAGTCGGATGTCAACTCTACCGGGCTTGTCTTTACCTGAACCTCCTTGAGCTCGCGCGTGCTAAGTTCTTAGATCAAGCTGACACTGTTGGTTTTTTGAATTAATTTGAGGTTGTAGTTTTTATGCTATCCCAAATGACCCCTGAAGAAGACCTGCAAAATGCCTTGTTGGGTGTGGTACTCGGTGCTGCGGGTCCAAGCGAAGGTGTGTTTGGGCAAGGCTCTGCAAGCAGTCCGGACACGGTGCAAGAATATTTCCCCACCGCCCATCTGTCCTGAACATCCCTAAACCCTGAACCTTAAACCCAAACCTGCAATTAGCATTGCGGGCACCCCGCAGGGGACCATAGTCCTCATCATCTCGTGGTAGAAGCATAGTAGGAAAACAGCCATAAACAAGTATAGCGAACTATAATAGATGAACTTATATAATCCACTATGAGAACCATACTAAACATGAACAAGATAAAGTATTACATGACAAAATACAAATTCGTTACATACCATTGTTATCATTATTACTAACCATTGTATGGATATGTATACAAAACATAATATAATAAAACATGATAACATATAATGTAGTTTAAACAAAACCATCATGACGTAAGGTTGGGTTCTCCAGACTGGCCTGGCACAGCAAACCATCCGGATGCTTCCTCAGAGCGGCCGAAGAAACGCGAGGGGGCTTGGGGTTTAGGGTTTAGGGGCGTTAGGGAGAGGGGCACGCTTGTTGGAAGTACAGCTGCACGGTCCCTGAACTGGGCTTCTTGCTGAGTTCATATAAATCCAAATTTACACATCCAGGACAATCTGGATTCTATAGAAGCAGGTGCTGACCTCCCACCTTTTCAAAAGGGGAAGCCGAGGAATCCAAGGTCTTGGGGGGTCATCTTGGGGGGGGGGCGGAGGAGGGGCTTACATACCCTTGCTGGGGGCGGAGTCCCTGCAGTAAGGATTCTGGAGTTTTTTTTATTTTTTTTTTGGGGGGGGTAATTTAGGGGGAAGCTAGGTTGGGCATACCATCGGTTTGCTACACCCTAACTAAGCCTTTGAAGCCTAATTGCCGGCCTACCCTCTCTGAATCGGCACTGAGACTGACGACCCACCCTAAACCCTAAACCCTAAACCCTAAACCCTAAACCCTAAACCCTAAACCCTAAACCCTAAACCCTAAACCCTAAACCCTAAACCCTAAACCCTAAACCCTAACCATCCTCAAGCCGAAGCTTCATGAGCGCATAGCTCATGCCGCCAGCGGCCAGTGTCACCGGCTTCACGTAGTGCTCGTTGACCTCTCGACTCAGGGTTCAGGGTTTAGGGATAGGGTTTCGGGGTTTACGGGTTTAGGGTTTAGGAGTTTAGGAGTTTAGGGTTGAGAGTTCAGGGTGTAAAGGGTCCCCAGATCGTGCTCAGGTTCAGGGATGAGGTTTCTCAAGGTGTAGAGGAGTGAGGACTTGGCCCCCAAATCGCTATGTTTTGCCACCCGCCCATCAGATTTAGGGTTTAGTTGGTTTTGCTGGTTTGGGGCTCAGGGTTGGGGTCAGCTGTCAGGGCCCGAAAGTGGGCCAGAAGCTCTTGGGAGGGCTTAGAGGGCTTAAGGGTTTTGTAGGGTTTAGGGCGTTCAGGGCTTGTGGCGTTTAGGGCTTAGGACTTAGGAGCTGTAGGGTTTGGGGTTTAGGACTTGGGGCTCGTAGCTTTAAAAAAACACATGCCAAATAAAATAGGTTCGTCATGCAGGGGCCTTGGGGGGAGCTGACCTGGAAGAAGCTAGCAGCCAGCATGAAGGGATACCTTCTGCTCAAAGAACTGAGCCGACATTGCGAAGGAGTGTACTGGGGGGTAACACCTTCCAAGCCCCAATGCCCCATATTCCTCCCGCTACTTTTTCCACTGAACCCTCGTGAAACCAAGGCTGAGCAAAACTGCAGACACGCCCTGAACCTCACTCCAGTGGGGGAGGCAGGAAGAAGAAGAACGCCAAAAGCCAAGCAGCCTGGTAAAGATTGGGCCCATGGTTCGGCGCATCGTGATGCCTTTGATGCTCAGCACATCACAAGCTTGTAGGGGGAAGGGGATGTAGGGTCAGCGTGTGGACGAGCGGAATGCTTACGCAAGGAAGGGTGAGATGAAAGTTGCAACGACCTCCCCCACCCGACATCGAGCATGCCAACTTTCGAAAATAATAATCCGACAATGGGAAACAAACAAAGAAGGTCAACGACAGGAAGCCGACCCAGTGGCGGGTGTGCCTCGTGCCCGCCGTGCGGTATCTTGCCCTCTTTCCTTAGTTGCTGAGTTCATAAGCCCCCCCCCCAAAAAATGTGAACGCTTTCCGTCCTATAGGGGAGTATAGTATCCCAAAAAGTTTACCCTAAACCCTAAACCCTAAACCCTTGTACCCACTCAGCTGCTAAGTTGCCAGAGCCGGCTCACGTCCTGTATGAAGGCCTGAAACTCCCCGCGCGTGATGCACCACCTTGGTGGAGCTCGAGCTCTGCATCGGTTTCTTCATCCTCTTCGTGTGGAGGCTCACTTTAGAGTTCCCGTTATGCACAAGAGGTTAGGGTTTAGGGTTTAGGGTTTAGGGTTTAGAGTTTAGAGTTTAGAGTTTTGAGTTTAGAGTTTAGGGTTTGAACCTTGCACAACTCAGTCTTCGGGCCCCGGAATCCTGCAAAGTAGAATGTCCTGAGTCAGAGAGGCGGCTTGAAATTTGTAAGGCCGTCGCTTCAGCGAATACTGACACATGCACATGGGTAGTTCTCTCTCTAAGTTAGGGAACCTTTTGGGGACTTTTTTTTAAGTACTGTGCTATGTAGTATATGAAGTAGGGTATATATTTCTTGTACCCCCAAAAGGACACCCAAGGTACACACTCACCAAGATTGAAAAAGAACCTTATATACACTCACCAAAAACAGTAATATTTCATATACTATATTGACTCTTGTCCTTCGTCTTAAATACTATTTCAACTCTTGTCCCTCTTTTTAAAAGGTAGTGTGCTACCCCTGCTTCATATACTATATTAACTCTTGCCCTTCGTTTTAAATACAATTTCAACTCTTGTCCTTCTTTTAAAAGGTAGTGTGATATATAGTACATAGGACCCAAAAAGGGAGCGTATTTTAGCTACGCACGCTGTTTATCAGTGACCCAAAGAGCCCAATATCCCCTTAATTAGGGAATGTTGCTTAATTTCTATAGGGATCCTTAATATGGTTTAGGGTATATCCCCTTAATTAGGGAGTATTGCTTAATTTCTATAGGGATCCTTAATATCGTTTAGGGTATATTCATTAATTAACCTTAAACCCTAAACCCTAAACCCTAAACCCTAAACCCCAAATTAAGCTGTATTGGGCTCTTTGGGGACAAGTGTGGGCCACCTCTCCGGTGGGATTCGCAGATGCAGGTCCATGAGCTCTGGCAGATTTCGGCCATGCGGGCGCGGAATGATAGGGATTAGGGTTTAGGGTTTAGGGTTTGGGGTTTAGGGTTTAGGGTTTAGGGTTTAGGGTTTGGGGTTTAGGGTTTAGCGGCGCGGAATGATCTAGGCAAACCACTTGCAACTCCATGTGGATAGTTCTTTGTTGCCGGAAAAATAGAAGGGGCCGCCTTCATAGTAGCGACCCCCAAAAAGGGACCCTAATCTCGAGAAGTGACGATATGGACTGCATAGGATGAAACACCTGTTTTTGAGGTGCCATTGATGGCAGTAGTTGTAGGATGACTGGTCATGGATTGCCGCCAGGTGCTACGCACGAAGGTGACGGCGCATGTATGCAGGGAGCCAGAGGCCGTCGAGCGGGTGGTTTGGGCGAATCTTCACTATGGCTGGGGCCTAAACTCACCAATTCGCTCCAACCCTAAACCCTAAACCCTACACCCTAAACCCTAAACCGCCATCTAGTCGTACCTTTCTCCAGGCTGGCTTAAGTAGTTCCTGTGGACATGGAAGTACGGCTTCCGCTGAGGACTTTTCTTGGCCAACAGGGGTTGGGGGTTCAGGGGATTTACAGGGTTGAGGAGGCTTAGAGGGCTTGAAGGGTTCAGGGGGTTCAGGGGGGGGTTTAGGGGGTTTTTGGGGGGTCAGGCTTTGTGGTTCTTTTTGTTGGAGATCTCGAGCCTCACGAGGCCTGTCTGGGAGTGGCGGATATGGGTTCAGGGTTTTGCTTGGGCTTGGGAGTTTCTTGCCCCTCTAGTATAGGGGCAGATAATAACCCCTAAACCCGAAACACCAAGCCCCAAACCCCTGAGCCCGAACCAGGAAACCCAACTGACCATGAACTCCCACTTGATTCTGTATGCACAAAGCCCACTTTGGGAGGTCCATAGGCACAAGCGTGAGGCATGGACAACCAATGCTTTAGGCTTCATATAGGATTGAAGGTTTAGGGGGTTTGCTTTGGCTTCCACCTCTGGCATATTGGAGGCTTCTGAAATTTCGTGGGTACCTTTTCGGGGAGGTTCTGTAAAAGGATCTCTCCTCTCCCTAAACCCTAAACCCTAAACCCTAAACCCTAAACTCTAAACCCTAAACCCTAAACCCTAAACCCTAAACCCTAAACCCTAAACCCTAAACCCTAAACCCTAAACCCTAAACCCTACTTGAAGAAGGTAAAGAACTCATGAGTCAGTTGTCCAAGCCAAAGCGTCTAAGTTCCTTCAAGGCTGCAGGCAGCCCAGGAAGGAAGCCAGCTGTACACATCAAGTGCCAAAAGGTTTAGGCTTTAGGGTTTAGGTTTAGGGTTTAGGGTTTAGGGTTTAGGGTTAATTGGGCCTCGGGCTGCTGATCCTCAGCCGGAGCTGCGAAAAGAAGCCGCGCGCTGACTCAGACTTGTGGCCTCTGATGCGTCAGAGCTCGCCTGGCGGTGGAGGCAACCCACAAACCCGAAGCAAAGAACCCTCAACCTAAAACTCTAAACCCCCTGGTTCTTAGTAGGGAATGAGGGCCCTATATATATTGCCTCAAAGGGCCGATATAGGGCCCTCATTCCCAAGGGATTTGGGCGCTTTTGGTTTGTCATTTGCTGCTGACAGCTGCGCGGGGCTAGGGTTTACGGTCTAGGGTTTAGGGTTTAGGGTTCAGGGTTTAGGGTTCAGGGTTTAGGGTTTAGGGTTCAGGGTTTAGGGTTTAGGGTTTAGGGGGTTTTTCAACAATGACCCAAGAAAAATCTAGCACAAACCCAAGCCCGAAGGCCTCGGAATCTGAACTCTCGGGTTCTTCGCAGTGGCTGCCTCGGGTTTGAGGGGGGCTTTGGCGTTCAGGGTCTAGAGGGTTTAGCGTTTAGGGCTTAGGGTTTAGTGTTTAGGGTTTAGGGTTTGGGTTCTTGTTTAGGGTTTCGGTTTTGGGGTTTCCTGCAGCCTTCATGAAGCTTTGTAGGGTTTAGCGCTTAGCTTGAGTTTTTGATGTGTAGAGGCTTCTAGCAGCTAACAGGGTTCTATACACGAGCTTCTTCCATTAACGGAGTTTTCATGGAGCTTGGCTGCAGATACGGTGACTTTGGGTTTTGCTGGGATTTCATGACCCCCAACCCCAAACACTAAATCCTAAACCCTTATAAACCCTAAACCCTAAACCCTTAACCGTTTAACCCTAAACCCCAAACCCTAAACCCTAAACCCTAAACCCTTATAAACCCTAAACGCCAAACCCTAAACCCTAAACCCTAAACCCGAAAGCCTCTTCAGCCGCAACAGAAAAAGGAACATCCAGGGCCCGGGCAAGCGAAGAGTTGAGATGCCTTGAGCTGGCCACGTTTTGGGTGGTTTAGGGTTTAGGGTTTAGGGTTTGGGGTTTAGGGTTTAGGGTTTAGGGTTTAACTGGCATGACTGAAGGGTTTAGGGTTTAGGGTTTAGGGTTTAGGGTTTAGGGTTTAGGGTTTAGGGTTTAGGGTTTAGGGTTTAGGGTTAAACTGGCATGACTGAGTGAGAACTGATACCGTCCAGTCATCCAAGTTGCTCGATTTGTAACTCTGACAACATAACTTATAAGTTATGTTATAAGTTATGTTGCATAAGATATAACTTGCTTTGAACTACATAAGGGGCCCCACATTGTAAGGGAGGCTGGGGGTTCAGGGACAAGGGGCTGTTTAGGGATTAGGGTATATAGGGGGCCCTTCATGTGGTCCCGTACCTTCTTTAACAGGGTTCTGAAGTATGGGCCCTTGGGTTTTATAGAGTAAGTACGGGGTCCCCACTTCAGGGCCCATACTAAGGGACCATGAACTGACCCAAGAAAACCTAGGGACCCCAAACCCTAAAACCCCTTGAAGCCCTCCCGAAGCAGTATACACATAAAACAACCTTATAGACTCTAAACCCTAAACCCTAAACCCTAAACCCTAAACCCTAAACCCTAAACCCTAAACCCTAAACCCTAAACCCTAAACCCTAAACCCTAAACCCTCGAGCCGCGACGCGCTGCGCTCGAAGCAGAAGAGGAGGCCGAGGACACTCCACAGCGCCGACATCGCGGCCATCAAGGGCCGGAAGCCAGTCACCATCCACCTCGAGGTTTAGGGTTTAGGGTTTAGGGTTTAGGGCGGTTCCAGGACGGGCTATTCTGCCCTAATAACCCCTTCCAAAGGCCCTTTCTAGGGGTTGATTGTGGGGATTATAGGGCCTAATAGCCCATCCTGGTTCAGGTATTAGTATGATTATTTCATATTTTTTTAAATATTTGGGGGTTTACGAAAATAAGGGACCCCTAAAATAGTCCGGTTCAGGTACGAGTATGTTTTTTGTTCATTCTGTTGTTGCTCCCCATGATAACTAGTACTACGATTGCTACTATTTTTTACTATGCATTAGCATGACTATTGTATTGTTTATATGTTTGCGACTACTACTATTAGTATTGCTATTGTCTCGAGGTGCTAGAAGCACCACTCTGAGTGGCACTCCCCACCACGCTTATTTTTTAGTCAAAGGAAAGAGCAGGAAACACCAAAGCACGGACGTCCACTGCTTAGGGTCAGCAAGCATCAGGTCTATTACTCACATCACACCCTAAACCCTAAACCCTAAACCCACAAAGTCTGACTGCCCTGAGCGCCCTGCCAGCTGACCTGCGTGGGACAAGGGCCTGCAGTAGACTTGCTAGTGGTGCGCGGTTTAGGGTTTAGGGTTTAGGGTTGTGCGCCCACACGCATGTTCACAGCAGCCGCCTTCTTGACTTATGTCGCTCACCAAAGGAACTGCTCCCAGTGGGTGCCTCGTAATGCCATGCCCCCCCCCTAACCCTAAACCCTAAACCCTAAACCCCAAACCCAAATTGCCATAAGAGGCTCCCGGTCACGATGAATCCCGAAGGCCCTCGGGCCACGAAACTTAACTCCTTCTCTCGCGAATGCGTGGGGGACTCCTCATCCCGCAACCCTAAACCCTAAACCCTAAACCCTAAACCCTAAACCCTAAACTGCGGAGTACCAGGATGGGCTATTCGGCCTGACACTACCCCAAAGGGGCCCTTGTGCTAGTAGTTGCTTAAGAACCCCCCTCAAAAAAATGAAAAAAGAGACAATGGTAGCTTAAGGAACGCTTTGCAAGAATGAACCGCTTGCGAAGAGTGATTCGGTTCTTGGGGGTCGGCCGGGGGAGTGGCTTCAGGAGCACTTCTAGCAACTTGAATCACGTGCTCAAAAGCCCGGATTTTTGGTTTAGGGTTTAGGGAATTTAAGGGAGTTAGGGGATTAGGGGTTTAAGGGGTTTGGGGGGCTTAGGGGGTTTAGGGGGTTTAGGTTGGAGGTTTGGGAGTTCGAAGTCGGGGTCTGGCAGTTCAGGTTTAGGGTTTTTTTGGCACCCGTCAGGTTTAGGGTTTAGGGTTTAGGGTTTAGGGTTTAGGGTTTAGGGTTTAGGGTTTAGGGTTTAGGGTTTAGGGTTTAGGGTTTAGGGTTTAGGGTTTAGGGTTTAGGGTTTAGGGTTTAGGGCGTCCAGGCGGCTGTCGACCATGATGAGGTCGATACTCCGAAGCAGGTGGCAATCAATCCTCGGCTGGGTTGGCCCTTTAAACCTTCTGAGGGACTTTAAAGGTTTAGGGTTTAGGGTTTCGGGTTTAGGGTTTAGGGTTTAAGGTAAACATGTTCTAAACATGGCCCTCTTAAACGATATGCAAGAGGACCTATACAAGGTTGGCCGTTTTAGAGCCTCTGAAAAAGAACCTGTTCTTGTTTTGGTCCTCCTGCCTAGTTGACTTCAAAGCCGCATTGCAGGGGTTTAGGGTTCAGGGTTGAAGGTTTGGGTTTTAGGGATATTCCTAACTACTATCCCCTTAAAGCCAATATCAGGGAACATATCCAAATATCCCAAGGGCCTACCCAGTGGATGTGCTGACAGGTAGCTTTGAGGATCTGGCCTGCACTAGGGGTTAGAAGGTTTCTGACACAATCTGTCAAGTATGAACCAACACCCTAAACCCTAAACCCTAAACCCTAAACCCTAAACCCCTAAGGCCCTAATGTGAGCCTGGCTCCGCACCCAGTGTTCACCGCAAACATCTCAACTCGCAGATGCGGCTTAGGGCTTCGGTCAGGTACCCAGGGACACACTGAACAAAGTGACGAATGCCCCCGGATTTATGGTTTAGGGTTCCTTGTACATCCGAGTACCAAGCACGTTCCCAGGCCATAGGGCGACTCCCTACACAACCCCCCCCCCCCCCCCCCCCCCCCACCCCGCAACAAACAAAGACCCTAATCCCGCGAACCCTAACCCTAAACCCTAAACCCTAAACCCTAAACCCTAAACCCTAAACCCTAAACCCTAAACCCTAAACCCTAAACCCTAACCCTGCATCCTACACCATCAGCTGCAAACGCGACGATGATGCTCTGCATCAGCCCCTATCAGGAACCAGATACCTCAAACCTCAATCGCATCTGCATACGAATATATCTATATCTATATCTATATCTATATCTATATCTATATCTATATCTATATCTATGTCTATCTATCTATACATGTGTTCATCTGTACATACATGTATACATATATGTATATAGGCGTTGACCCCCTAAGTTACCCCCAAACTACGAAGGAACCCCCTTCAAAACAATACGTCAAGAAATCTCTATGTTCTGAAGCCATGCATACGGAAGCCACAGCCCGTCAAGTCCAAGAAAAGACACGGCTCAGGTATACGTGGACACTTGTTTCAACTTCAACCCCTTGGACCCCTAAGTCACCATATGTTGTAGAGGTGGAGGCCGTAAACCCGCCCAGACGCCCCGCACCCGTTAAGAATTCCTTCTGTTGGCGTGGCCCCCCCCCCCCCCCCCCCCCCCCCCCCCCCGAACCCCACCCCGCCCCAACAACCCAAAATCCTAAACGCTTGCCGACATCAACTTCACACCCCCGAACTCCCCAAACCGCATCTGGGTGAGGGTAGCCCTAAACCCTAAACCCTAAACCCTAAACCCTAAACTCAGAGAAAGAATCTCGATCAATAGTGGAAGGCCCAAGGCCGCCGAGGCCGCCCGCGAGCAGATGATGGACTCGGTTTAGGGTTTAGGGTTTAGGGTTTAGGGTTTAGGGTTTAGGGTTTAGGGTTTAGGGTTTAGGGTTTAGGGTTTAGGGTTTAGGGTTTAGGGGTGTAGGGTACCGGCGGCGGCGTTCAGGAGTTTGGGGTTTTTGTTGGGAGGTTCAGGATGTCATTAGGGATTGGGGTTCCGAGGTGGTTGTTTTGGTTTCGGGCTTCTTGATTTTTTTTTTTTTTTTTGGGGGGGGGGGGGGAGTTTTGCTTGGACTTAAGGTTGAGGGTTAGACGGGCTGGCATTGTCTGCCACCCGCCTAGCTGCTGTGCCTCCTATAGGTCTTCGGGGTAGTTAAAGGATTGGGCTCACTGATGTCTGGGGTTTTAGGGTTTAGGGTTTAGGGTTTAGGGTAGCTGTCGCTGAGAGTGGGGGGGCTCTAAGCAAAGAGCAGTTAAACTTTGTAAGTATGCCCGTTGCAACAGGCTTATACCCTAGACCCTAAACTCAATAACTATACCCCAAACACTTTCATCCCTACCTGCTTCGGCTCCAACACTAGACCCAAGAGTAAGCCGGGAAAAAAACAGGATACCCTTTTTTTGGCTTAAGGGGCTCATAAGATGGGAACCTGAACCCTTTAAAAAAGGGAACAAGGGCCTCCCTAAACCCTAAACCCTAAACCCTAAACCAAAAACTGGCAATAGATCAGGCCGGGAAGCCGCGAAGGCGCCACGATGAGGACCCCCATTCCGGACCAGCACCCATATGACGATCGGAAACGTCACAGCTGCTGTAATCCTTCGGTTTAGGGTGGGTTTAGGGTTTAGGGTTTAGGGTTTAGGGTTTAGGGTTTAGGGTTTAGGGTTTAGGGTTTAGGGTTTAGGGTTTAGGGTTTAGGGTTTAGGGCTTGGACCCCCCCCCCCCCCTCCAACCCAACCAACCGGGGACTGAACAAATAGAATAGTTTTTTTTTGGAGGGGGGGGGGGGGGTGGTTTTGTAGAATAAATATAAAGGGACTGAAAGGGAATATTATGAGTGAGTCTTCCGACCTCAAACAAGTGTCTTACCAGACATTCCACAATCAACGCTTACGCCGAAGAAGGCACTCTTGGTAGCCCAGTAACCATAGTATAATACGGGCACCCTTCTTTGGGTTGGGTATGTTACAAGGGTTTCTTGAAGAAACAACAAGGGCAAGGGCTGCGGAGCACTTGACAACCGAGCAGTACAGCCTAGACCCAAGAGCATGCTAGGAAGAAAAAGGGTACCCTTTTTGGCTTTAAAGGGCTTCGAAGGGAACCTAAGCCCCTACATGCCCCTACATAAAGGGAAAAGGGTCCTAGCAGCTGAATGCAGCTGGGGGGCAGAAACACGATCGACACGTCGAGCCAGAATGGATGCAGCTCGCAGTTCACAAATGAGTTTTGGGAGAAGCCGATGGAGTCCACGATGGACAATGCCCAGAGGATGACCACCTGAGAAGAAAAGAACCGTGCAGGAGCAACAGGGTCTAGGGTTTAGGGTTTAGGGTTTAGGGTAATGATGTTCACTCTGCAAAATGAAAAGCAGGTTCTTGAGAAACAAAGGCCCAGCAGCGAGAAAAGTCTTGACGACAAGGTCGGTGTTCCCAAGGCCTTTCACGCTCAAGCCAGCCTCGTATGGGGATTTCCGGAAGTGGGGGCACCCCCTAAACCCTGAATCCTAAACCCTGAATCCTAAACCCTAAACCCTAAACCCTAAACCCTAAACCCTACACCCTAAACGCTTGTTTAACAGCAGGTCTCTGCACCCAAACCCTAAACCCTAAACCCCGAAAAAAGGGTACCCCCATTATCAAAAAGCCTCGTATCGGCGTCGCAGGCATTCGTTGTAGGATCCAGCTTCCATGAGGACCCGGATTGCCATGTCCACTTCTGCCTGTTTAGGGTTTAGGGTTTAGGGTTTATGGTTTAGGGCTTAGGGTTTAGGGTTATTTTTTTTGCCACCCGTCTAGCAATGCTCCACCGGGCAACGGCAGAGGGATTGCTGTGTACAAACTTCAGAGCCCAAATCTACGAAATGCCAAGATCCCACGCCAACCCATGCCTTCCCGCCTTAGAAAACAAAGATGACAAACCCCAGATTCGCAACAAATCCAAGACCCACATGCATGGCAGGAAGGGTAGGGATGGCGTGTCGTGTCGATGACGAGCCAACTTCCAGCAGGTTTAGGGTTTAGGGTTTAGGGTTTAGGGTTTAGGGCTTAGGGCTTAGGGCTTAGGGTTTAGGAATCTGACCCTCATGGGGCTCGTAGGGTTTAGGGTTCCGGGGTTTAGGTATACAGGAGCTCACCAAACTCCCCAGAAGGGCCTCACGGCCGGAGATGGCAAGGCGGATACGCTCCTCATCCAAAGGATGGGAGCACGTGGCCTTAGCTGCTGAGTTCATATGCCCCCCAGAAGTGTACAGTTTAGGGTTTAGGGTTTATAGGGTTTAGGGTACACTTTTAGTTTTGTAGAGAATATGGTATCCCAAAAAGTGTCAAGTGTACTCACTCAGCTACTAAGTGGCATCTTCCAAGGTCTGGATGTGGAGGTTCCCAGCCTGCCTGCGCAGCTCGCGGCTCTCCAGCTGTTGCTGGTTGATTTGAGCAACACGCAAGAGGTTGAAGAGCGTCACGGCCACCGGGATGAAGTAGTGCAGGAAGCTCTCCCAACTGTTGCCCGTGGGGCTCGGAAAGCTCAGCCACATGCACGCCAAGGCTGCGCTGGTGAAAGTTAAGCCGATGTGCACTGTCCGAACCTGAAGTTTTCAGTGACTTCCGGTGGAAAAAAGGTACATGCTTTTTGGGCTACTTATCTAGTATAGGGAACCCAGAAAAACAAAAAGTGGTGAACAAAAAGTATACTTCTTAACTGCCTAGGGACTTTCTATTCCTTGTTGACTTTAAGTACCCTTAAGAATGTAACAATGATACCAACCCTAAACCCTAAACCCTTACACCCTAACACCCTAACCCCTAAACCCCCACTACGGCAAAGGAACGATGGCGAACTTCACCCAGGCCCTCCTCGAGGCACTACCCAGCTTTGCCATGCAGGACGTGATGAAGCAAAGGGCAGTAAGTGTCACATTCCTTGGCCCCATCGACTCCACAGGGTTTAGGGTTTAGGGTTTAGGGTTTAGGGTTTAGGGTTTAGGGTTTAGGGCAGCCCAACTGTAACCGTAAGGGTCCATGCACCTAAACAGGGACTACTTGGGGCTTAAAGTCTCTCCTATCTAGGGACTTAGGGGCCCAAGGATATAAGAATGAGGGACATGGACCTTTAGGGAATAGTGCGTTTACGAGGGACTCTGATTTTCGGCCATCGACAGTAAGTAAGATATCTAAGATACAAGGGTTCGTCGAAGCCTACTGGCCTACGGATAGTACAGGCTTCCAGGCTTCCGCTGCAAGAGCATCAATTCTGGGATCCTTCGTCCTAACGATCGACGACTCCTTCAAGAGCCCGTCGCATCAGAGAACATGCGAGGGAGCCCACGATGCGATGCGACGCCTGTAGGAGGGGAGCATAATTTGCTTTGGCTAGGTTTTTTTTGGCCGGGGGACAGAAAAAAAGACAAACGCATGCCAAGAAGCACGAACATGGCGAGTATGATCACCAACTTCTGTGTCTGTCTGAAGTGTATCAGCACCGCCGTCAGAGCTGAGCCGACGAGCACGCCAAGCGACCAGGGCAGAAGAAGGGTCTGCATCACCGCAGCACACTGCACAGAGGGCCGTGGCCTGGTGTTTCTTCTATGCTAAGGGACTTAATTAGAATAGAGTTTCGGGGAAGTACAGTATATTCATGACGAGACTATAAGGACATACTAGTGCTTATTCCGACCCCTATATTTCCCTCAGCGCTCAACCCCGAATAGGCCTTCAAGGGCAAAACCCAGAATGAGCCCCCGACATCTCCAACATCCTGTGATGCTGTGCCGAAGGCTGAAAGTTCTCAGTTTAGGGTTTAGGGTTTAGGGTTTAGGGTTTAGGGTTTAGGAAAACCTGAACCCTAAACTCTAAAACCAAGAACTGATCCTAAGTTCAGCAACTAGCAGTGGGAGATCGTTGGAGAAGGGATCTCAGCGGAGGCGGGCCCCTGTGTGAGGCCTGTGCTCTTGCTGCACTACTATTTGCTTAACAAGCACCCCAAGAAAAATAAATAAATAAATAAATATATATATATATATACTGATATGAAGAAGAAGAAGAAGAATAGTACCTATTTTGCACTTCTAAGGAAGAATATTTTCAGGTTTTGGGGTCTCAAGCCAATGAACCCAACAATGACACTAGGTTGCGCAGTAACCTCGGACAAAAAAGGGTGCCCTTTTTTGCTTAAAGGGGTTTATAAGGGAACCTAAACACCCAAAAAGGGAATCAGGGCACTACTGGGCATCCTAGGACGACTGGACCAACTTGAGAGGAGGGTTGAATATAGGGCCCCAAAAAAGCACGTAAGCAAAAATTAGGATAGGGATATCCCATATAAACCCCCTTATAATCAAGCCCAATAAGGTAGGGACATCCCTATAAAATGCTTCTGCTTATGTCCTTTTGGGGTCCCTAATTGAAAGCCTCATCGGCATCATCACGGTCTTTGCCCAGCGCGTGCCGAGGTAGGCCTGCTGAAGGGAAAGGCAACCCCAAAACCCTCTCCAACCCGAAGCACTAAGACACTTAAATCAAATCCTCAAATCTTATACCTTTACCCTAACTGTACCCTAGACAGTTGAAATGTTGAAGCTTAGCCCTAAACGTAGCTATCCTGAGACGTACGAGATATGCCAACATCAACGTGGGGAGGGCGAGTTCTGCTCTAGCACCTTCGATCACCATGGAAACTTAAACCTCAAGCCCCAAACCCTAAACAGGCCCTACACCCTAGACCCTGAACCATAAACATTAAACCTGAAACCTGAAAGGTTTCGTGCTTTGGCCTTGGACATGGGTAGTAGGATTCAGGCTGCAGTTTAATAGGCCAGCTCCTACTTCCGAGGGCGGCGCGAACGGACAAAACCAAGATGCAAACAGATCTGGGTAGTTCTCTAGATCAGGGTCCCTTTTTTTGGGTACTATATGCAGTACGGCACCCTTACAATATGGACCCCAAAAAGGGGTGTAGGGTTTGGGGTTTAGGGTTTAGGGAACTACCGACATTTTCAGCAAACCTTTCAGCGATCACCGGGCCTCATACACGCACCACAAACGCGTGTAAATACTCACCGTGTCGTTGGGGATCACCTTGCATGTTCTGTTGAAGGCTGCATGGGCTACGACTGCGTGAGTCTTTAAGGGGATCTATGTCCGGATGTTAACGCTAACCTAAACCCTAAAACCTAACCCTAAACCCTAAACCCTGAACCCTAAACCCTAAACCCAAAACTCTAGACCCTAAGAGGCCCAGAATTTAGGAAACACTGGGGTAACAAACCTAAAGCCAGTCTACAGCTCGATCTTACACAGCCATGCAGCCAGCACGTGCGTTGCACGCTTCATTGCTTTGGCAAAGGGGCTCTCCTGCCAGTGACCCTAAACCCTAAACCCTAAACCCTAAACCCTAAACCCTAAACCCAAACCCTAAACCCTAAACCCTCACGACAAAATAAATGGAATTTGTATGTGGTACCATTCTGAGTTTCCCAAGTTACTTGTCTAAGTTGCTCTGGCTAGTATGGTCATGACGATTACTATGGCCATATAAGGGGGTGTCCGAAACTGGGGGGGGGGGGGGGGGGTGCCCTGTTGGGAGGTCCCTTTTAAGGGGATTCTATTCTGCTTGGGTACAAAAGGGGGACCCAAAGTTTGGGAAATACCCATATCAGGGTTTTTGCTCATAAGGGACCCTACTGTCGACTCTCAGATGATATGATCCCCTTAGCAAAGGGACCCCAAGAAGGCACCCCTGTTATCGTAAACCCCCCATATCCCTAAACCCTAAACCCTAAACCCTAAACCCTTACTTGGCATACCCAAGTACCTCTCCCTCTCAGTCCATCCCTGGAGACAGGGAGGCGATTTTGAACCCACCGGATCAAGCTCCCGAGCTGACGATGCCTAGAAAGCCACATGTCTACCTTACTTCTCCAATAACCAACGGGGAAAAAAGGTTAAACTTTAATGTTCCTACTAAATAAGGAAACCCAAAAAGTTTAAAGTTCAACTAAAGGCGAAGTAAGCTACTAGTGGCATAAGAACCCCAAGCAAAGATAAAAATCATCCCTTTATTACCCTTGTAAGGAAGAATGCTTTCGTGCTTCTTTTGGAGGGGTTCTTAAACAAACAGTAGATGTTGCAGCCCACCCAGGCCATCAATGGAGCCTGCTTGGGCGTAGAGAGGGGGGGGGGACTGCGGGTGAAGCCCTAAACCCTAAACCCTAAACCCTAAACTAGGAGTTGTACCTTGGACCCTTAAGGTTTTACCCTTGGGTGTTGGGGATACTGGGAGTATGTTAAAGGAAACCTTTAGGGTTACAACCTCATAGGGGTACGAGCCTTAATCCCTTGATAGTAGGCCCTGTGTTCAGCCAGCAGAGGTCACACAATTACGGAATGAGATTCCTGAGGCACTGAAGTTCGCGACTGAGGTTCCTTCTACCGACTACCCTAAACCCTAAACCCTGAACCCTAAACCCTAAACCCGCTAAGAGAGCGCTGTGCTTTGTAGTGCCAGTCCTCAGGAGGAACGTTCAGCAGGACCTCGATGTTTAAGTTCTGTGGGTTGGCCAGGAGGCAGCAGTACCTCGGCTGTGCAACTCATGAGAAGGGTTTAGGGTTTAGGGTTTAAGGTTTAGGGTTTAGGGTGTGACCTTTCTTTCTTTCTTTGGTTCTTTCTTTCAGTCTCTCTCTCTCTCTCTCTTGCGCTCTCTCTGTCTGTCTGTCTCTCTCTCTCGCTCTCTCGCTCTCTCTCTCTCTCTCTCTCGCTCTCTCTCTCTCTCTCTCTCTCCCTCGCTCTCGCTCTCGCTCTCTCTCTCTCTCTCTCCCTCCCTCTCCCTTTCGCCCTCTGGACCTCAACCCTAAACCTGTAAAAATCAACGGCATACAGACACATGAATATATATATATATATGTAAACATGTATATACACACATATACATGTATACCCCTTTCTAGTGGCCTACCTGTGCAAAATGTGCAGAGGACCCCTTCAACCTCGCGCCACACAGCAGCAATCAACACATCTCCCACGCTAGCTTCGGCATATGACGCCCCAGGGGCTGATATGCTTTCAGGCTTTGAGGGTTTAGGGTTAGGGTTCAGGGTTTAGTGTTTAGAGTTTAGCGTTGAGGGTGTATATAGGGCTTATATAGGTTTATGCAGGGTCATATAGGGTTTATGTAGGGTTGCTAGACGGGATTGTACAGTTATGCCAGGGTTTGATAGGGAAAGACAAGCGAAGCAAGAAAACCCCTGAACCCTAAACCCTAAACCCTAAACCCTGAGAGGACCTAACCCCAAAAGTGCGAGATCAGCCCGGGAACACGTTGACCAGTCCCTGTAGGCGCGGCCAGCCACGGCTCACCTGGGTTAAGGGGGATGTAGGGTTTAGGGTCTAGAAGTGTAGGCTTTAGGGTTTAGGGTTTAGGGTTTAGGGTTTACGGTTTATAGCTTCTTAGGGTTTAGGGTTCATAGGTTAGAGGGATTATAGGGTTTATAGGGTCCATAGGATTTAGGGTTTATAGGTTAGAGGGGTTACAGGCTGCATGGTCCGGGGCTTACAGGTTTAGGGTTTATATGCCGTATCTCAGCATCGCGCCGATCTTGAGCGGCGTTCTTAATTCTAAAGCCCAACCAGGACTTCTTGCCAACAAAAAGGGGTTTTGCTTCCGCGAGCTTGCGCACTTCAAGCCTTGCGTGATTTCAGCTTTTGTGCTTCGAGCTTTCGTCAACACCGTGGAGCGCACTCCCAGAGGGTCCTATAAGTACCTATATAGTAAAAAGTAGATGGTTTCTTTAATAGGAGTTACTAGTATGGTTTGGGTAAGTGTCCCCCATATGGGTACTTAGGACCCTTTGGGACTGTTGCTTACCTGAGCTTAGGCGCTTCGGGGATTCTGGCTTGCGGAGCCCATCTTACCGCAAGCGCCTGCATTTGAGGGGCTTTGACCTCTGCTCTACTGGGGTAGGTTTGGGGGCCCATAACAAAACACAATTTTTATGGTGTTATAAGGATTATAGGGGAATAGTGAAAAGAAAATAAAACATGTATTCTGTTCAAGCCTACCCCTGTCAATTGCAAACTCAACAATGGCGGGTTAGCCGCCGGCCGACATCACAGTGCACATGCTTCATGCTTGAGCCAAACCTGCTTCGGGCTTAGGCCTGTCCAAAACTTTTCCCATACACAGCCAACCCCACCGCCCGCTGAACGAACCGTAAACCCTAAACCCTAAACCCCCAAACAGCCCTTCTCAACCCGCTGGGGCGTCCGAGCAGCTAAGTCTCCGAGCTCGAAGAGGCCCTCGGCCCAAGCATGGGACAAAAAGACCTGCGGCAATTGGGATGTTCCCCCGTATACGAACAGTCGGAAATAGGGACTACAGTACCCCCTATTCAAATCCCTACTAAGGACTGTTAGCATAAGGGCAATGAGCAGAATTCAAGGGTTCAGCGTTTAGGGGCTCTGGCATTTTGGTTTCGAGCCCCTTTTTGTTGTTTCGTTAGAAGGACCCAGACTTTTCGTCCTCAACCCTGAGCCCCAAACGACTTTGTTGAACCCAGTCTCTTTTCCAGGGCAAGCCGCGAATACCGAAGGGGAGCAAGACGTATGTTGGTTTGTCAGAGGTTCCCCTATTGTGGGAAATGCCCGGTTCTTTGTTGTGAAATGGGTTTATTGGAGCTGGACTTTACTCGTAACCCCAACTATGTGACTACTTCTAACACCTACTTAGAGGACTTATAAGGGGCTTATAAGTTCGGTTATACTTGGGCATAGAAGCCTCCAAGCAAGGGTATTCCTTGGGCTGTTCCCCCTTATACTAACAGTCCTTAATGTCGATGATAGGACCACCCCCCCCCCCCCTATTCTAATCCCCATTAAGGACTGCTAGTTTAAGGGGGAACTTTTAAGGTATCCCTAAACCCTAAACCCTAAACCCTAGTAGGACCAGCCTGGCAGGGCAAGCCTTCCGCATGCTTCATCAACGCATAGGACATGCCCCCGGCTGCGCAGGTCACAGGCTTCACGTAGTGCTCGTTCACCTCCAATTGTGGGGGGGGGGGGGGTTAGGGTTTAGGGTTTAGGGTTTAGTGATACTACTATTTGCATAAGAACCCCCCCCCAAGAAAAAAATCTAAAAAAGACTCTTCCTTATAAGGGAAACGTAGGGATCATTCGTAATTATTACGACCATTACTATGAATATTACTATTGCATATATATATATATATATTTATTTATTTATCTATCTATTTGTTTATTTCTTTAACTTTTGGGTTCTTAAGCAAATAGTAGGACATGATGGCCCTGCGAGCTCCCAAGCATGCTTGAAGGTTCAGCCCAAGTAGAACGTCTGCTTGTAACCTACTTCGAGGACTGTTAGGGGCCGAAGCACACCCTAAGGGTCTTCGGAGCAGCTTTACTTGGGTCTAAGGAGGGTCATGGGGGGGGGGGACGGAATAAGTAGCCGGAACCTCCAAACGGGCATTGTTCCGCGTTACAGGGCTTCACTAGCTTGGGGTGTGGTCCTCAGAAGTGACTAAAGGTTTCAGGTTGGGTGGGCGTGGTGTCGCCCTCTCAAGTGGGAACACTGGTTTGGGGTTTACGGTTTGGCATTCGAGACCAGAGAAAAAACCCTAAATCCTCAACTCTTGGTAGCCCAGTAACCATAGTATAAGGCAACACCCATTTGGGGATTCGTTACGTTTAAAGTAAATAATAAAGCAGGCACCCATTTTGGGGTTGGTTACGGTTAAAGTCAATTATAAGGGAACCTGGAACAAAAACAAAGGGGGTAGAGGGTACCACTGGGCCACCAAGACCCACCTCCTAAACCCTAAACCCGAAACCCGACACCCCAAACCCTAAACCCTAAACCCTGCCTGGTAGAGGTTGGGCCCATGGTTTGGATCGCTGTGCGACGGGTTCGGGCGATCGCCGTCAGGAATTTTGTCGAGCTTCCAGAGCAAGCGCACTTCCTCAGGGCGGGCTATTCAAGAGGGGTTATGTAGGGCTTACTTTGGGGCTACTTGGGTATATAGAGACCATGGCTCCTCATGTTCCCAGACCCTTACACGTATATATCTTCAGCAAACTCGGGGAAGGCAGGAGATGCACAGTACTCTGCGGCCTAAACCCTAAACCCTAAACCCTAAACCCTAAACCCTAAACCCTAAACCCTAAACCCTAAACCCTAAACCCTAAACCCTAAACCGCACCTCGATGAAGGCGAAGAACTCGCTGCGCGTGATGCACCAGCGGTCCGGGGGGACCAGGAGATGGCGGTCCATGGTTCATGTACCCTGATAGGGTTTAGGGTTTAGGGTTTAGGGTTTAGGGTTTAGGGTTTAGGGTTTAGGGTTTAGGGTTTAGGGTTTAGGGTTTAGGGTTTAGGGTTTAGGGTTTAGGGTTTAGGGATTATCGTAGTATAGGGTGTATGATCCCAGTTTTGTTCGTCTAGGAGATGGCCGTCCATGCTCCAGAGCTTCTTATGATTCTTGTGGGTATAAGGTTTGGGGCTATAGGGATTTTAAGTCGCGGCAAAAGGGCGTTGAAGTTCTAAGGTGTATGCAGAAGCGTATTGAGGTTAGGGCCCGGATCTCTTGGTCGGCTTATTTGCAGATTGGAGCTCAAGGGGCTTGCTTGCTTGCTGCAAGGACTAGCTGCGCAGGGGGGGTGGGGGGGGGGCTAGTTCTGCTCACTTCGCCTCCTTGCCGGACCGACAGTCCTTAATAGTAGGGATCATCATATAATGGGGATACTATAATCCCTATTAAGGACTGTTAGAAAAAAAGGAGGAACATCCTAACCCTAAACCCTAAACCCTAAACCCTAAACCCTAAACCCTAAACCCTAAACCCTAAACCCTAAACCCTAAACCCTGAACCCTAAACCCTAAATCCTAAGCTAAGCGGGAACATCCCAACCCTGAACAATCAAGTTCGAGTATTGGCTCGATCAGAACATCCAAGAGCTGCCCGGACATGCGGGGCCCCAGCCGCCATGTCGAACACGTGCATGCCCTCGCCACCTGGAGTTGTGCGTTTAGTGTAGGGTTCAGGGTTTAGGGTTTAGGGTTTAGGGTTCAGGGTTCAAGGTTTAGGGTTTAGGGTTTAGGGTTCAGGGATCAGGATTTAGGGCAGTCCGTGCAATGCCTGGTACGAAGCTCAGAATCCATGGGCATGTTGACGTCTGCGCAGGCGAGTGCCTTGCAGAAACGTCTCCCAAGATGCCACGCGGTTTAGGGTTTAGGGTTCAGTGTTTAGGGTTTAAGATTTACGGTTTAGGGTTTACACCCCCCCCCCCCCCCCCCCCCCCCCCCCCCCCCCCCCCCCCCTCCCCGCCAACTACAAAACCACGATCACGCAGTGATGCAAGGCAGCGCATGCTGAAGACATGGGTCACACAGCAAACTTGGAAACCATGCCTCCTGTTTTGTCACGGAGGTAATGGCCCAGCACCTCGGCAAGAAGCTGTACCATCTACTGCTTGCTTAAGAGCCCCGAAAAAATGAAAATACTCTTCCTGATTAAGGTTAATATAGGGGTTTGTTGCTGTTTATTTCTTTTGGGGTTCTTAAGCAAATAGTAGCCATCAAGATGATGTCAATGACTGCTTGACTGAGCAGGTCTGATCGTCACCAGCGAGCCTCTCACACTAGCAGCGGGAACTTGGATCCCGTGCCAGCATTTGATGTCGGGCATGCCATCTAATTCTTGGACAAGCACCCCCCCCCCCCCCCACCCTGGCCCTAAACCCTAAACCCTAAACCCTAATCCCTAAACCCTAAACCCTAAACCCTGAACCCCACATGCAGGAGTCTTGCAATTCGAAGGCACCTCGTCCAGCGGAGCCAGCATCTTTCCCTCGCAGTCAAGGGCCATGCAACTCATGCTCGTGAGCCCTGTGCCACGAGGACCAATACTAGCAAAGCTCGTGTGAGGAGGGTTTAGGGTTTAGGGTTTAGGGTGACTATGAAAGCCTCTGGACTGGGACTGGGGTATATACTGGGGGCACCAGCATGAAACAAAATAACAAGCCCACGTGTTCAAGCACCGTCTTGAAAGCAGCCAGCATGTCCTACCCTGCAACCCATTGAATCAAAGCCAAAACATCCGTCCTTGGCGACACCGGGTTCCACGGCTGGCGGTTTCGCTGCCGTCCTAGCCGCAAAGCGCAGCTAGAACTGAAGGGGTCATTCGAGGGTGTGCGGATGCGCATAGCGATGTTTCTTTGTCGAGAGCGAGAGAGTTGGAGAGTTAGAGAGACAGAAAGAAAGAAATAAGCAGGCAAAGGCAGTGAGTCGACATGGTTTAATCTTTAGGGTTTAGGGTCTAGGGTTTGGGGTTTAGGGTGTAGGGTTTAGGGTTCGAGAGCCAACCTTAGAACCGAGCCCTGATCTAGATTTGACCCTTGCAACCCTATGGCACATTGCGAGGTCCACTGATGCCAAACAAGGGACAAGTGACAAGAACTATCAAATCCTAAGAAAAGCCTGCCTAGACATGAACTGCATTCATCTAACCAAGTGCGGTAAGAACTCCGAACCTCCATTTTCGTGGGTCATTACTAGGAGATTTCTAGGTAGCCTACCAAAAAAGAGGTTTTAGGTTCTCCAGGTTACACCCCAAATCGCAAAGACAACTTGCCCTGAGGCCGAAATAGGGACTGCTTGGGCCCTAAAGAACCTCCAATTTCGGGACGTTGGGGCCAAAGTATATCATAATGAGTGGACCCGTAGGCTTAGGGGCTGTATACCCTAACCCACAACAGGTTCACCTTTTAGATTTCAAAGGACTCTAGATAAAGGCTACCTACCCAGTCCCTAAGTCGGGCCTGGGACTCTATTTACCTACAGTTTAGCCCTAACTAAACCCTAAACCCTAAACCCTAAACCCTAAACCCTAAACCCTAAACCCACATAAGGCTTACCCTAAGGGTCCATGCACCTAAAGAGGGACGATTGGGAGCCTCAACCTGCGATCTACTTAGGCACTTGCTTGGGCCCAAGTAATACGGGGAGGGCTTACGAAACTATACTGCCCCACCCCACCCCCCCACCCCCCCAGGCTAAGCAAGGGGGGGAACCTAGGTAGTATAGACCCTAAACCTAAACCTCAGGGGAAACCCATGATGGTATCATTCAAGCAAAGGCTCATGGCCGTGCCGGCCGTGTCTTCGGGATGCCGAAAAGGGAAGGTCTCTGGCGGCCCAACCTTTGGGCCCAAGAGCCAGGCTGCTAAAGGGGTTTCTAGGGTTTAGGGGTTTAACCCTAGACCCTAGACCCTAGACCCTAGACCCTAGACCCTAGACCCTAAACCCCAAACCCGAGGGTTTGGGGGTTTCAAGGTGGGCAAGGGCCGTTCTGGAGGCCCATGGCATGTAGAGACCCCTGGGTGAGGCGGGGGGGCATTCGCAGCCTTTGCCTTTGCCGTTCTCTCAGGGTAAGTACATGGTCCCTTAATATGGGCCCTTCATTGGGTACCCCGTCTATACCCCTTATATACCCTAAGGAACCATGGGGACCATGTAGCTACCCTTAGAATTCTTGACCACCGCCTCTCCTATGGGCGCACTACTTTTGCTTTCTCCTGGTCCTTAGTAGGAAATGAAGCAACTGGGTACCTTACATATCCCCCCCATAGGGGGTCTGGTTCCCTCATCTCTTTAACGGGCCATGTACCGCACTATTTTATACTTGGGCCTCGAGGTCCCTATACAAGAAGCACTTTACGGCCCAAGTCTTCCGTTTTCGGTACATGGACCCTGTTTCGGGGGGGAGGGGGGGAATATCCAGGGCGCTGCACATGGCTGTACCTTAGGGGTTTAGGGTTTAGGGTTCTAGGGGTTGTACCTTGGAGAAGGGGCCATCGTTGCGGAATGGCGTGTGCCGGTGGAAGCCTAAACCCTTAATCCTAACTCTTGGGAAGGTGCCATTAGCCACCCGCGAGACTAGACGCGGTGTAGGGTTTAGGGTGTGGGGATGTGTGGGGTGTAGGAGTGTAGGGTTCAGGGTGTGGGGTTTAAGGTTTAGGGTTCTCTCCCAGAGAGGACCAAGCCCCGGACCATTCGATTGTAGCCTCCTGACACCTTCCACTTGGGACTGTTCAGGCTTTGCCCCCCCCCCCCCCCCCCGCAGGCGTTGAGCACGATCTCTTTGAGGGTTTAGGGCTAGGGTTTAGGGTTCGGAATGTGCCAAAAAGATCCAAAAAGATGTTGGGAGCGGTGATTCGAGGTTTTCAGCCTACCATTCGGGAGCCTGAAAGGACAGGTCTTCTGGAAACGATGTGCAAACAAAGTGGGATCGCATTCGGGACCCTATGCCCTCAACCAGAAACCCCAAAAGCACGTCTCTTTCTATCCCTGCGCCCTCAACGGATGGTCGGGCTGTCGTTGCCCCTCCCACCCCCCACCCCCCCCCCACCCCCCGAAAAAACGGGTTTCGAGGGCTTGGGGGGGTGCTTGGTGCTTCTGCACCTTCCGAAAGGCCTTGCATTTGCCTGGCGTAATGCCAGAGTAGTCCTCCCAACAGTAAATCCCCAAACCCCAAACCCCAAACCCCAAACCCCAAACCCTAAACCGAAACCCTAAACCCTAAACAAATTTCAAGTGCTGCCCACTGCTCAAGGGTCTTTGCGCTCATCCGAAAATTCATGGCACCTGCATAGGCCTGGGTTGCAGCAGCAGAGTTGGCCTTGGCTCCAGATGGTGGCAGGTAACCAGCTGTAAGGATTTAGGGTGTAGGGATTATGAGGGATTTAGGGCTTTGGGTCTAGGGTGCTGAGAGATTCTATAGGGGCTTATCGCATAGGATCTCGGGGGCAGAAACGTTTTGGGCTTAGGGCTCCTATCTCGAACTGACGCTTCAGAAGCAGTGCGCACCACCCCACGGATCGCAACATGGACTCGGGGGTGTTTAACAAAGCACCTCGCTTAGGGCTTGGGGTTCAGGATTCAGGGTTCAGGGTTCAGGGTTTAGGGCTTAGGGTTTAGGACGTTATGTAACTTCTGCCATCACCCCTACAAGTACTGATGCGCCGCCCAGAAGTCTGGAACAAAGGCCCGACTGTACCTAGGGTCTGACCCTAAACCCTAAACCCTAAACCCTGAACCCTAAACCCTAAACCCTAAGACAGTTGGAGTCTGGCCTCTGAGGTGCGTTGAAATGATACTTTGGGGCACAGTATACCTTAAGAACCCGAAACCCCCAAGAATCCTATAAGGGGATTTCTACTAAGAACCTAGAAAAAAGTGGGTTTTGGGCTTCTTAAGGTATAATAACTAGGTACCT